TTCTGCGGTTTCAAGTGTTATTTTAGGCCCTTGAAAAGTACTTGTTAGGTCCTTGAAAGTTCCTGAAAATCCTTGAATTTTGTTTCACCCAGGTGCTATGAACCCTCTTTAGACAACCTCAGTTTTGGCAATTTCAGTTTGAATTTGTAATGCAAAGGCCGACTTCAAATAGGAAAAATCTGGAAAAAAAAAAAAAGACTTAGATTCAAGTAAATAGAGCACTTCCAATACAGGTTGATAGATGTACCAGTGCACTTATCTGGCATTTTTCCGCTCAGACAGCAAACTTTTGTAAATATGCAGAGTATTTGCTGGAAAAGCAACCTAACCGCAGCCAGTCTAAATTCGCTGCTGTTGACAAGTGCTGCCAATGCGGACGGCTATAAATGCGATGCTTTATAAAAAGTGTTGTTCAATATGTGCCCATATACTACAAGCCTTCATTTGTTTCATTTGAACAAGGGACGAAGAGAATAGCGCCTCTCTTGTATGACTTTGCAATAGTGCATGGTTGCAGTATCAATGAGCATCTCTGAACTAGAACATGCAACACAGTAGCTGAGGTGGCAGAGCAAATGATGGATGTGTGCGTGGTTATACCGCAATATTTAAAAAAATTAAAAACACGGCATTTTTATTGAAATGCAGTGTTTTCTGCATGCTAAAGTAGTACAGTGAACACCTCTTAAACGGAATTCGAAGCGGCTAGAAAATTTGTTCCATTTCTCAGAAGTTTCATTTAAGCAAAGCCCACAAAATGAATAAAATATGAGTTTATTTCAAAAGCACCAACTGTAGCTGACTGAACAAAAACATTTTGAAGTATAGAATACTACTATAGGTGATTAGAAAGAAAAACTTTGCTAATATTGCTGACTTGGAAAAAAGGAGGTGATAACAATTTGCTTGGCCTTGTCCAAGCACTTTCTCCCATAGTGGGAGTGCATTGCTGAAAGCACGGAGGAAGGAAAGATAGGAGAGGGCATGCCCAGCCAGCGCGCTACATGAAAAGTGTGGAGGAAATGACATAATGGCGGCCATATTCACTAAGCACAATGGCAGCGTTGCTATGGTTGCGTGTTGCGCAGTGTTGCTGGTCTAGCAGTGAGCGGCGGCGGCTGGCGGCGCCATGTGTGCCTCCGCAGATTTCGTGCCTAGCCGTGACGGACAATGTCCGCGCTCTGCGCCGCTTTATTGGTTACGCCGTGTTTTCCTGGCAGTTACTGTACTCCTAGCAAGGTTTACAAAACCTTTTTTCGACCACGGGGCCTCAACAGCGCATAGAATGAGCGCATATCCATGTGTCAGGCGGCGGATGATGCAGATGAAGCATTCGGAGTGTTGAGCGATATTGCAATGGGCACTATGACGAAGCGCAACGATGATGAACGCCTTGCAGGTCAGTGACGGTTGTGCAGTGCTCCTGCCTGTGACGATGGACGAAACTGTTGTGCCGAGCAAGAGGCAATGAGGACCATGTGTACATACGTAGTTTCCTGTTCGTTATGTGTACAGTAACGACTTGCATGTGCATATTAAAACACCTTTTCTGTTCCGCTTGTTATACTCGAACCCAGCATTGTAATCTCAATGTTGAAGCAACCATGTTCAAGTGTCACTTGCACCGTGCTCAAAATTACCATGGTCAAGCCACGGTTGCAGAATGCTGACGCCGGTGAGTTTTACGCGGAACACTGGCACAGTGGTCGGGCGCCGCGTTGGCCGTGTGGTGGAAGGCAACCGTAAAAAAAGGCGCTCGACCGATCGGGTTGTTTGTACAGTTGCTGAATTTATGATGTGAAAACATTCGCCATTGTCAGTGCATCTAGCTCGCGTTCTCTTGTACTTGCTTCGTTGGCGGCGAGCCGTTACACGCTGTTAATACTTGGACAAAATGATTTCGCCGAAGGTGTCCCGCTGGCACAGAGTGTTGAGCCCCGTTCTATTAGTTTCGGATCGTCACGACACGCGCGCTGCGCAGCCCACGTGCTTTCCGAGCCAGAGAGAGAGTCGCGCCTTCTGCTTTATATTCGAATGTAAACAAGAGAGGAGAATTTGCCCGGTCAATATGGCCGACTTCCGACTTCACCACGGCTTCACAACGAGTGATGTCAGGGCCTCTCCTAAGTTGTTTCCTTCCTCCATGGCTGAAAGACTGGGCAGGAACTCTGTGCCACCATCGTGTTCAAAGTAGTGCTGCAACAAGATGACAGCATCTCTTGCTGCACTGTCAGCCACTGAAATAAGTTCAGGATCACACACCATCTCATCACCACTTGAGCACAGGTCCTCATCTTGAACTTCAGCTATAGGTTCCTTAAGGCTGTGCTCAAGTTCACGATGAGACGACGATTGCTGCTCGGCGTGCGCGGGCATGTGCAATCATTAGATTGGCTTGGAATCATTAGAGGCAAGCTTTGGCATTTGCTTCATGGTTGCTAGACTGCCGTGGCCACTTCTGCCGTTCACGGATTTTGCCTGTTTTAGTTTCATTTAACCGATGTAAGCGAAAAAAAAAATGTTCAGATTCCCCGAAGCTCTTTATCAATAAATGTATAGGAGACCAACCAAATAAGCCTAGATAGTTTCGTTTATGCGGCTTTTCCGTTTAACCAAGTTTTGTTTAACAAAAGTCCACTGTATAGGTCATTTTATTACAAGTAATTGTAATGTAAATTGTAAGATTGCAAGTATTTGTAATGTAAATTTGAAGATAGAAGTGTGGATGTAATGATAACTAGCCGTGGGCATGAACAGATCCTGCGACCTTCGAATGATGCATTCCCCCTTTTACCTCTCTGGCGTTTTTGTCTGTAAGTTCTCTATAATATTGTGCCTAACAAAGAAAGCGAGCCCTTGGTATTACCATCCTTTCCTTCATTCATAGCATCTCGTTTGGTAGACTTGATGCTTTGAGGAGATGTGCGAGGGATTATCGGTCAGCTGCCACCTCATAATAACATCACGTACGTGACGCCAAACAGGCAAGAAGAGTATTCCACACTCGCCGCCATGGCAACAGGTGGGGCTTACCGACGCTTCCAGATTTAAGGCACATACATACCCTATAAAGTGGACGGGGAGATAGTTGCTGTGGTAGCCCAGTTGATAGAGCATTGAACGCATTATTCGAATGTCGCGGTGTTGATTCTGCCTACGGCAAGTTATCTTATCGTCCACTTTTCTTTCTTCAAGTTTACATTGCAATTATTTCAAATGAAATCCCCAATACTTTCTTTGGCATTATTTTTTTTTGGTTCTCATTAATATTGCGCCTAAAGAAAAAAGTGAGCCCTTAAGATTAAACTTCTTTGCTGCTTGTTTGTCATACGATTCAGCCACCGGGCAAAAGTTCAAGCCTTTGCTCAGCACACAGCCGTCTTGAAAACACGCAGCTGTGTTCATGCTTGTGGACATTGTCAATCAAAAAGCAAATATTGCACACTTTTGAGACGCAGCATCAATACTCTAGTGTTAGGTGGTGTGTTTTATTATACTAGAAACTGCATAAATATGGAATTCTAAAGACCCTAGTGCTTCTTAGCTGCGCTGACAAACGACGCTATGCTAAAGAAAAAAACGGGTGTTTCTTACATTTCGTTAAGACGATACGGTGCCGCCACCTACCAGCAATTTGCAATTTGCGCAGTTCTTGCCTGCAACGCCTACTTCGAAAACTCCGTTCGAAAATGTTGATGATCATGCTTTTCAGCCAGAAAACATTGTGAATTTCATCCCACTGGCCATTATGAAATTATTTATATAAAAAAAAATGAGTGAATTATTGCATTTTGATTTGCTGACTCTGCAAGGAGCAGGGGACATGCTGCTTGCGTGTTACTACTGTGTTGCAGTGAAGCACTTGTTTTCTGCATGGGCCCATTTCAGTTGATCACGGGAGCGTCACGTTTATTTTAATTTTTTTTTCTGTGGTGTAAACGAGGCCCGCCATTTCTCTGTGTTTGCGGCGAAATTGGAACCAAGTATTGCTGGAAAACTTAACCATTAAAGCCACAAACTAACCAGCACAGCAAATGACCACCCTATTTACTTTAAATAATGCAAAATTCCTTGTGTCCCACTTTTTGTATGTTTCGTTTATTCGAAAACCCGCTTAATTTAAGGATTCCTCGCAGTCCCATTGACTTCAAACTAATTAGGTTTTACTGCATTAGGCTTTCTCAGTCCTCCCTTGTCTGTAATTCCACACTTCTGAGCTCCACGCTGCTCATCTTCACTATGGTTCCGTTGGGTTAAAAGCTACATAAGTAGCTTGACGAGACCCAATTACCAGGCTATACTAAATTATACAGGGCAGTAATGACAAGCAGTTCCATACATTGGTGAGCAAACCAACAAATAAAACAATTTAAATAGATTATCATAATTACTTATACATAGGGTTAATTATATTTCCACCTTGACAACTGAACAAGAAAAAAAGAAAATAAATACACGAGCATAAAAAGGTGAAAAAAATGTTACATACAATAAAATGTCATATAGCAATAAGCAAAAAACAAAGATAGTAACAATACAAAATAATAACACTGTATTACTATAGCATTACTAGCTTAGAACACAAAAAATAAACATTGGGCAAATAACGTATAACCCCACAAGAAATTGATGTAATCGTAATAACTACGTTAAAAAAAGACATCATTTACACACAAATCAATTGCACAGAATGTCACAGTATGTGACATTATGTGCGAACAAAATATAAACACTTTTTTATTAAGCATGTGAATTTCTTCATATTTTTTTAAAGTAGACGGCAGAGTATATACCAACGATTTGGTGCTTATAATGTGTCCTGTAATATAGAACTGACCGTGTTTCAGGGTTCCTAGTGTTCACATCTTTTGCACGGCGTTCTAAAGAGGCCAAATGTTCTATGTAGTTCTTGATAGATTGTTAGGTAATCCTATGAGATTGGGTGTTTCTGTAGTTGCTTCAGAAAGCCTCAATGCTCACTTTGTGTTCACATGATGCAGCGTCCCGAGCCCGTGCGAGACAGTTTTGGGCGGGTGATAATGGAGCGACCACCGGATATATGGGAGCCCCGGAGCGGCGTGGGACTTGCTCTGGGACAGTTGGCGCCCCTGGTTCCTTCGCCTGCCGTGCCGGAGCTGATGGAGTTTTACGTGCACGAGGCACTGTCCGACCCTCACCCAGTGGTGCACAAGACCCTCCTGGATGCGGCCACAGCCCTGGTCGACTTTCACGGAAATGTGAGCCTCGCACACCGTTTAATTTCAATTCTCGTTACTTACAGGGCCTCTGGTGGCCCTTATCATAAGCTGCTTGTCTGTCTTTTTTTGTGCATCGACCTGTTCACATATTGAGCATGGCAGACCAGTCTGCAGTGTACAAGAGTAGCTGGGGAATTTATGTGCAAGTTCACCCGTCTCGGCTGTTGGTTTTTTTCGTCGAATGTTGTAGCATAGTTGCGAACCATTGAAGTCAGCTTTTAATCTGCAAGTTCACTAACATGTGTTTGCATCATGCAGTGATGTTGTGTGATGCATAACTGACAAAAAAGTCTTTGAACTAAGAATCTCACCATGGCCAGAGCCTTGTTGGAATAGTGGCTTTTGCAACATTCTTTGTTCAAGCGTTTCTCATCAGTCCAAGCTGTTGATACAGTTGTCTGTGTTGTTATGATGCACCTAAGACTATGAATCAATCACGGCACCCTTCCTTCCGTTGGTGCCTCCTGTGCCTGAAACGACAACAAATGGTAATCTGTGTCGAAGACTGCTTCCCAGCACCCCCAAAGACTGGCCAAGGTTGCTCACACCTTTCAGTAGCCAATCCTTGGGAGCAAAACACTTGCCACGTGCAGGCCTGCATGTTAAAGCTTGTCCAGACTGGAGTTGACATCTGCAATGCTGTTATGTGAAAAAGCTATCATGGGAAAAATAAATGTTTAGAACCTAAGGGGAACATCATTACTTAATAGTTTCGAATAATCGTCAAATATTGCATTTGTACTGTTCGTACTAGATTCAGTAACCACATATTCGAAAGTTTAAATATCCCAAGTAGCACGAATATTCGAACTTTTCGAATCATGGCTAAGGTAGGTTATTGTAAAGACTTTCTGATTTTGCGCCTTTATGATAAGCGCATCAACAGCAGACCATGCAGCGATTACTGGAACATCGACGGGAGTGCTATGATGCGTGCACGAAAATGCGTGGGAGCGTGATAACGGCTACTGACAAACACGCCAGCGCATTATCGTTACAAATCTACCAACGGCATGCACCTTGAAAAATATAAATCATGAACTACTGCTTGGCAGTACGTGTGGCTCGGTGGTTTAGCGCTGTTACTGCTCGTGTAAGCGTACTGTAAGTGTGCTAAACGCACCGTTCGCTGCCGTGTGCCCATGTGCACTGGACCACTTCAATAAAGTGTGTATTGCTTGTAGAAAAGAAGGCAACTTGCCACCGCCACATTATCCCTGCAAAATGCCCATCGCACCTTTGACGGTCCTGTGTCAAGCGAGCATGGTAAAATTTCTCTGCGCAAAGGCAAATGTACGCGTATGTTACAGCAACGTCTCTTTTATTTCTTTCGATGCCAGTGCAAATGCGTGCCTATCAACGGGAGCAGCAGTCCGCCTTAGAAATGGTCGTGCTGCGAAGCTGCTTGAGGGGTCTCGCTGCTTGCATCACACGTGCGTCTGAGCTCTTTACCCCGGATATGCGATGGACGTGTTTCCCACTACGTTATCGTACGTCTGCCAGATTTGTTCCTTCGTGCTCCTTTTTTGTGGCTCGAAGCAAGGCCGCAACCACATCACGACACAGTGCATGTAGTAGCGTTGCAGTGACACTTCCCCATTGGTTACTCGCACAGTGTCACGGTGACACACTATCTCAAAACGCCGCACCTTTACAGAGCCAGTGTGACCGCTAACATTGTGAACACGAGAAATGTGAGACGCCACCCCATGGATGTGTACACAACTGAACGAAAAATTACTTCGTGTGATTTTTGTCGTGAGGCACTGCATGAGGGGGCACCCTACCCCATGACAGCAAAGGATGCATGAAGGTTGGGCGAGAGCGGGAAAGGGCTAGAGGAGAAGGTGGTGAATGGGTTGATCGGGTGCGTCTGGCTGGCATTGATAAAAGAGAGGAGGCGTTGGTTACAGTGAGTGGCGTTGATGAAGTGAGCTTACTAGGCGACGCACTGCACGCAACTAGCTAGGGACGCCCAGCTTGACGATGCATATGTGTAGCTGTGCTGGTTTTCATCAATGTATCCCCGCGAGAATGCACAGTCTGTTTCACTCTTTGGGGAAATCTTAGAGCGCAAGACATCGCGGTGCGACCAACGCTGCAGTCAAGTGCCGGCAGCAGCTCTTGCGTGCACAGACACTTAAAGGGCATAGTGTCAAACCACATCGTCCGATACGGCAACATGCGTCTGCAGTGCTGGCCACACCACGTGTCATGTATTCCAAGATTTTCCCTAAGTGTGAAACTGAGTACATACAGGCGTCGACGAAAAGTTGACGAGTCGTTCATTAGCTGTGCCACTCTATCAGCAACATCAGCGTCTATTCCCTGTCATATGTATAGTTAGGAAATGATTTGATGGTAGCACACTATTATGCGTATGAGCTGAACTGTTTTTTCACGCAATGGCAAACAAAGAAAAGGTCATGCAGTTTCAGTAGTGTCACCATATTATGTGTCACCACATAATGCTAATGGAGATGAGTGTAAAGTGACGGAAGTTCGAGACAGTTGCTGTGTAGTTACGCTGCGTTCCTGACGGTGCCTTTGGCGATTTGTTGTCTGTGCATCACAACACCTGTTGCCTCATTGATTCTCAGTAGCTCCCGGGGCCTCAAAAGTTTTCAGTAACTTCCTTGCTGCGATCTTTTTTTTCCTGCCAACAGCTAGTTTACTGTTGTCAGCAGCCAGTGCACCGAAAGTGGTTCACAATGCGGCAAAATAGTGCCCTTACAGCCGGAAGTGGCAGTCGCATCTTAATGAATGTGAAATTCTAGAGGCCCGTGCACTGCGGGATGTCAGGGGGCGTAGAAGAAAACCAGGTGGTCAAACTTTTCGGAGCCTGACACTTCACCATCCCTCATAATCGTAGTGTGATTTTGGGACATGAAATCCCAGATATCATTGTTATTATTATCTCTCCTCTTGTGTCTAGACTAGAATCGGTTAGCAAGATTGTGTCTGTGCCTTAATAGACCCAATGATTTTGTACTTTTTTCTTATTTGCCTTCTCATATGTAGGAGTTGAGAAGCTGCATCTTCTTAGGCTACTATTTCACTTGGTTGATATCTTCAATTTCTTTATTTATACTTTGGCACACTTGTTACACCAGTTCCACGCATTCTGTGCAGGATGATTTGCCGAAGTCACGTGCTAAAATCTGTCATTTTGTCTGCCTGATGTAAAAGTGTTCAGATGCACGATGTTGATTCCCTGGAAAGAATGTATTGTCTATTGAGAGGGGGGAAACATGTTGTTCATTTTGTAATAATAACAATTTTCCAGGTGTGCTGTGTTTTTGTACTTTGCAGGCACGATCAACGGCTTTTAGTTTGTCCCTCTTTCTTGTCTGCAAGTATCGACGAAAGCTGGTGACCCTTTAGAGTGTATCAAATGTAGCAAAAGATTCACAGCCCAGAAATGTGATTAGCTCATCCCATGCACTGTGCAGAGCAAGGTGAACATGCTGCTGCCATTGTTTGAGCACTTCATGGATGGTGCGCCGAGGGACCAGAGCTACGACCAGGTGCGGCAGAGTGTGGTGATCCTGATGGGCACCCTGGCACGCCACCTGGACAAGGACGACCAGAAAGTCAAGCCCATTGTCAACCGTCTCATCGACACCCTAGCTACACCTTCGCAACAGGTTGGTAAAATGCCTTATGCTGTTCTGGGAGTTCAGTGGTCAATAATGTGTTAAGGCTAGAGCCTCGGATGCCTCATTAAATGCGGAAACAAGCCCTGTTCCATACTGCGCCCCACTTTTGCATTCGCTGTTGAATTCAGTGGTACGAAAATGGGGAGCGTTTCACCTCTAGTTAAAATTGTATTAACTTCGAGAAATGTATGAAATTTTTTATCTTGAGAACCAGCATACCTAGCATGTAGACTTGTGCGAATAGTGAATTTTTGGTTCGAAGGGAATATTGATTTTGGTCGAATAACTTCGAGTCGAATTCGTATAGTATATATGACTTATAAAGAGAAATAGAAATATTTATCATGGCCTAACTGACCTCCACAATATCTTTTTTTAATTGAAATAGAGCCTTTATGCCAATGAGGGGTCTTTTCTTTTTGTTTCATTGAAAGGAAGCCGAAATGATTTTGAGAAGTAGCAGAATTAGACTTTTGGTAAGATGCGAGTGATAACCTGTGACTTACATAACATTTAAAAATGTATATACATATAGCGTATAAGCCATTATAAGCTTTTAAGCTTAATAAGATGAGAAATTTATTTGACGGTGGTAGGTTCGATTAATTAGGCCCTGCAGCCCTTTTTCAAGTAGCCATGAAATGGATTCACTGAAAGAGCTTATTGCCTCACAAATTCACCACCACAAACATTTTTAGAATTCGTCCAGCTCGAGCGGAGTTGCAAAGATTTGTTGCACGCTGCTCTCTCTTCTCGTCCCGACGAAAGCGCTGGGGGGAAGATCAAGTTTGCCTCATGACTTTCGCCACTTTTTCTCTCGTTCTTCGAATACGCGGCTTTTCAGTGCGAACGCGCACATACGCATGGACAAGTGGCAGTCCCAGGAACGACTAAGCGAACCATGCCCATGGCTGATACAATGGCTGTGACGGAAATTTTTGAGCTTGTGGCATCATTTGCCGAAAGAAGAGAGCAATATTTAGCTGACTTTGAGATTTATTGTCAATTGCAGGCTGCGTGCTGCTCTATAACATGTGACTCGCATTTTCTCGGTAGCCTCGACCACCGAACAGCAGCGTTTTCTGACCACGGTCAAAAAGTGTTGCAGAGAACCCCTTTAAATTTGAAGGAGCTTCCTGGCAGGGCGGATTTCTTTTGTAGAAATGCTCTCATGGTTTAGCATTCTTATACTGCAGTGAAAGCATTGAAAGCATCTTTACAGGCAGTTACATGTGGATTAGTATACATTAATCCGCATGTAATCAGATTAGTATACACTAATCCGGTTAGTGAATTTTGGGTTTGATGTGAATTTGAAATGAATAGTGATTTTGATCGAATAATTTAGAATCGAATTCGAATGGTATGTATGACATATAATAAAAAAAGGAATATTTATCATGACCTAACTAATCTGCACAATATTTCTTTTGAATCGAAATAGGGGCTTTATGCAAATGCCATTTTTTTTCGGTAAAAGGAAGTCGAAGCAACCTTAAGTTCTAGTTTCGGTTGGATGCCAGTGATAACCTGTAAGATACCAAACGCTTTAAAATTTATTATACTTGGAGCGTATAAGCCATCATAACTAGCTTACTAAAATGAAGAATTGATTTGAGGGTAACATGTTCCTCTAAAGGGGTCCTGCAACACTCTTTCATGTAGCCACGGAACCGGTAAACATGCTTATTGCCTCACAAATTTACCGCCGCAAAGTTTCTAGAATTCGTCTAGTATGAGCAGAGTTCCGAAAATTTGTCACACACTGCAATTGCATTCTCTCTTCTCGTCCCGACGAAATAGCTGGAAGTTAAGCAGAGAGGAATGTCATGGTGAAAAAAAATACGTCACACGCATTTCGTTACCTTGAGCATCTCTTTTTTTTTTTTTCTTCGAATACCTGGCTTTTCATTGGGATTGCGCACGTACTCGTAGACAAGCGGCGGTCTCCCGCGGCGGCACCGGTAATCTAGAGCGCGTCATGCTCAAATCAGCCAATGGCTGTGACAAGTGATTTTTGAGCTTGTAGTGTCATTTGCCGAGTAAAGAAAGAAATTTTTAGCTTTGAAAATTTTTTGTAAATTGCAGGCCGCGTGCTGCGCTATAATATTTGCCTCGCGTATTCTCGGTAGCCTCGACTACCAATCGGCAGTGTTTGCTTACCATGTTCGACAAGTTTTGGAGAGCCCCTTTAAATTTAAAAAGGGGCTTTGTGGCAAGGAGAATTTCTTCTGGATAGCTCTTTCACGGCTAAGCATTTCTACATTGCAGTGAAACCATCTTTACAGGTGGTGACATGCAGATTAATATAGACCTATCTATTCATTCATTGCGAATACTTCGTAAATATTCGATAATTTAGATTGGAATCGAAGCAAATTCGAATACTCAGCTGTTCGTTTGAATATTCGAAGCATTCGAATATTCGTACTAGCCTACTATACACCTATTCGTTTATTGCGAATACTTCAAATTTTTCAATAATTTAAATTCGAGTCGAAGGGAATTCAAATACTCTACTATTCGTTCGAATACAGTTGTCGACCGTTTATTTGGACTTGACAGGAACCGCCAAAAAGTCCGAATAATCGGGAGTTCGAAAAAACGGATTCACTCGAAAAAAAAAAAACACTTTTATAGGCCCTATCGCCCAAAAAAACTGTCATGTCTGCACACATGCATGCTTCAGAGAAGGTTTGCTTGAAAATAAAAAATTCTCAAGCCATTTCAAACTGAGGTCGGCCGCCTTCTACCTGGCGAATTATCTCCACTTTCTTCGTCATCGTGAGCGTCTTTGTAGCTCCCACGTTGGCCGCGTTTCTTTACTCCCGACGGCGCAACAACGGGTGGCGTCGGAGCCATTTCAGCACGCCATGGAACACACAAGAGAGCGAGAACACAGAGAACAAGACGAACCAGGCCTAGCCGCAGAAGCAGCTAACTGACACCACGGCTGACACACGTCAAATGCCACAGCGAACAGACTTTGTAGGTGGCTTGGCTTGGCCGCCACCTACAAAGTGGTGGGGGCCAAGCCTACAAATAATAAAATAAAGACTGGCTAAAAAATAAAAAGCGTCGCCACACATAGCCTTCGAGATCGGCAATGGCGATTTCTGCGTGCATTTTGACACTGGCCCGACATTCATACATAGGTAGTGCAGCATATCAGTGCTGGCAACCTAGGAAACGTATTGTTAACTTTGCTGTCAGCATGTAATGGCGTACGGCGACGCATCCTGTCAGTCAAACGGAGTCCGAATAATCGCCCCGCCGCGGTGGTCTAGTGGCTAAGGTACTCGGCTGCTGACCCACAGGTCGCGGGTTCAAATCCCGGCTGCGGCGGCTGCATTTCCGATGGAGGCGGAAATGTTGTAGGCCCGTGTACTGAGATTTGGGTGCACGTTAAAGAACCCCAGGTGGTCGAAATTTCCGGAGCCCTCCACTACGGCGTCTCTCATAATCATATGGTGGTTTCGGGACGTTAAACCCCACATATCATCGGAGTCCGAATAATTGAATGGCGCACAGTGAGGCGTCCGAATTTTCGGTCGTGAGTTTACATTAGGATCAATGGAGGGAGTGGTGGTGCCATGAAGATGTAGGAATAAACGGGCATGTCCGAATTTTCAGCATCTGAATAAACGGTCGGCGACTGTATTTGAACCATTCTAATATTCGCACAAGCCTACCAGTATGCTTACATTGATCAGTCAAGCATATTTCATGAAGACTTGTTTGTTATAAATCTTGACATACAGTAGAATATTGTACTGCTAAACGCTGCACCTAAGCTGTCTGTTTTATGTTTAACACTGAATCGGAAACTAGCCTTCCTTGGTAATCAGTCCAAATATGTACAAATATATGGTTATGTAAGGAAGAAAATAAAGCACTTGGAAAAAGCATAAGCATCCGGTGGCAGTGTAATGAAATGTGCTTGTCGCATGCCTTGCCCAGGTGCAAGAGGCAGTGGCCACCTGCCTGCCTCCTCTGATCCCGGCCATCAAGGAGGAAGCGCCCGTGCTGGTGCAGAAGCTGCTCAACCAGCTGCTCAACTCTGAGCAGTACGGCGAGAGGAGGGGTGCGGCCTATGGCCTGGCTGGACTTGTGCGAGGCCTGGGCATCCTGTCCCTCAAGCAGCTGGACATCATGAACACCCTCACCGAGGCTGTCCAGGTTCGGAACACATTTGGTACCATTCGTTAATAAGGATATGCGTTGCCAAAACAACACCAGGTGTTGTTTTGGCAACGCCAGGTGGTCAAAATTTTTTGAGCCTCATAATGATATTGTGATTTTGGGATGCAGAATCTCAGATGATATTGTGTGAATGAAATCTACGAGGAGCTTTTCGAGGTCCAGATACTTTCCCTTTTGTGGCTTCTGGAGACTACTCCTTGCCGGCAGGCAGCTGAAGATCTCTTTTTGTTTGTGCCTCCAATGTACGCGAACATCAAGCATGCAAAAAGTAAATGATAAGAATGCAAGTGTCATTGACATACAGTATAATTTTGATATGATACGAGAATTCTAATGAAAGTGGCACATCAGTACTTTTACATTATTGGGTACAAATAATCTATACATGTGAAATTGAGCTTGAAGTTAACATATGCGAACTGACAACAAAACATGCTCTGTTGCTGTTTTGGGATGGCAGGGACCCTGATTCTGTCCTGACTTCTGCCAGTGCGGCAAATATGGTTCCTATTTCATGCTTGATTCTTATGTGTAGGCAATTTTTTAATTGATTTTACCAGAAAAATGGTGCTTGTTAGCTTCGAATAAATACAATACACATATTGCCCGACACTATCAGTTACAGTCTCGGGGTTCATGCAGGTCCTTGAAAAGCCTTGAAGCTGAAAAGTGCGTTTTCAAGGTCTTGAAACTTTTTGGAAGTCCTTGAAAATCCTTGAATTTACTCTTGTTAATTTTTAATAAACATTTTGCTCGTTTCACAGACCATTACTTGTGATGCTGTGAATGTAGTAAGTTGCATATTTAGTGTGCCTACCAAAAAAAAAAAAAAAAAAAATTGATACCACCAGTAGCTTTTGCGAGGAACCACACATTTTTAGTAATAATAATATCTGAGGTTTTACATCCCAAAACTAAAAGATGATTATGAGAGACACTGTATCGGAAGGCTTCAAAAAGTTTGATCATCTATTGTTCCTTGACATGCACTGACAGTGCACACTAGATGGGCCTCTACCTTTTCACCTTCATTGGTCTGCAGCCGAGCACCGTAACGACTGCCCCACTGCGGCGGACAACACTGTGCATTTTTGGAAACTTACAATAGGCAGCGGCAGGAGGATTTGAAAAAGAAATGTTGCATTGAGGAGGAGGTCGAAACTCTTACAAAAAAAAACCCACAAAGAAATGAGAACTCACTGTTACGGAATTAGCAGCTACAGCCGACTAATATGCAGAAGAGGCAGAGGCAACTAGCGACTTGACGGGCAATATCAAGTCAAACAGCCTTAGGAAGACTGCTAACACCAAGCAGCTGGAGATAGTGGACATTGATACAAAAATTCAGGAGAAACAGCAAGGATTAGCTTAATAACTGTTTCTCTAGCTTTGCCTATTTGAATAAACGTTCGCATCTTATGTCATACTTCTGAAAGAGATTATATATGCACCTCTAAAAAATTATGATTGATAGTTCTCTAGAAAGAAAATGTTATTAGAGCCATGTTTTCGATGTTTGCTTCAGCGCTGTTACCCTTTTTTGTTATATTCTAGTTGTTTCAAGCTTGCATCCTCCCTGGAAGATCTGTCAATTGGGTTTCGAACAGACAAAGTGGCCTTTGAACATTCATGCGTGTAGCTTTAAAAGTCCTTGAGAACCCTAGAATTTCTGTCATGTAAATGAGCATGAACCCTGCAGTCTGCTCATTCAGGCCATACGAAGCAGGAGAAGGTTGTACTTTACTTTCCATATGGAAGATACATTTCAGGCATTTCCATTTTGAATGAATATTGACTCGCAATTGCCGATCATGATGGGATCAGTTCAGAAACGGTGTACAGTCGAATCCCGCTACAACGAAACTGACGAGGCACGGAAATATTTCGTTGAAGCAAAAATTTCGTTGTAGTGAAATAAAAAAAGCATAGCTGATCTGAGCTAGCAAAACAAAGGAACGTTTATTCTCAAAATTCAAAAAATGTCCGCTGCCTCCTATTCTTTCCCAGCAGTGTCACGATGTCATTTCTCACCCATGCATAGCGAGGCCACAGTGAAAAGCACGCTGAAACAACGCGTAAAACTGCCTTCCGGAACGAACCAAAGCTGTCCGCCGTCAAAAGTATGTGACAACGCCAACATGGAGGCAGGGTATTGTGGAGCGGTGACTTTTACATTATTCTATGCCATTCTTATCATTCATTACTCATGGCTAGCTGATTTTGTTGATACACTCTGATTACAGTAAAAGCTCGTTAATTCGACACCCGTTAATCCGGAAATTCGGATAATTCGGAAATTCAGATAAATCGGACGGCTCTATTGGTCCCGGCCAAAGTGCATGTTAATCTATGGGACCAAACCTTCGTTATTTCGTCGGGAATTCGGCTCCGCACCGCTTAATTCGGACAAATGCTGACGGCTGCTGCTACACAAAAGTGTGATAAAGCAGCGCTGGCACCACTGGAGTGAAACCGAAACCTGAGTGGCATCGCCATCATCATCAACTAGTGGGGGCGATCGCAGCGTCACCGAACGTCGGCGTCTTCTTTGTCCTCCACTCAGCGCCTCCGACGCCATTTTCCCTTGTGTTGTCGTGTCGGAACCATCTCTTCTTGCAGAGTTCTCTTTTTCTTCCATTGTGAGCGTTTTTGCATGCCACCACCATCATGCGCTACAGTGATGGCAACGCCGAAAAAGCGGCAGAACTACGACGCAAAGAACTTGGCGACTAAAGTGGAAATTTTGGAAGCACTGAAGAACGGCAAATCGCGACAGCAGGTTATGTCCAAGTACAACGTGAAGCGGAGCACGTTGGGAACGTACGTTAAAAATTCGACAATCCTTCGAAAGCGAGAAAATTCATTCCTCTAGAAAGCGGTTGCGAACCGCAGCTCATCCCCAGCTCGAAGAAGCTTTGCTCCGGTGGATTACTGACTGTCGCAACGCGCATCTGCCTTTGAGCGGACCTCTCATCATGGCGCAAGGTGAGAAGTACGCTGCAATGATGAACATTGAATCGTTCAAAGCGTCAGAAGGGTGGTTTGTGAGGTTTCGAGAGAGACACGAACTTGTCTTCAGGAGTGTGTGCGGCGAAAAGGCCAGTGTTGACGAAAGCGTGACCACCAAGTGGAGAAATGTGAAGCTGCTGGAGCACATCGCCGCATATGAACCCACGTGACGTGTTCAATGCAGATGAAACTGCTCTATTTTTCAGAGCTCTGCCCGACAAGACGGTGACTTTCAAAGGGGATGCGTGCATTGGTGGCAAGAAGTGCAAGCAAAGGATAACTGTGCTTCTTGCCGCCAATATGACTGGCACGGAGCGCTTGCCACTACTTGTCGTCGGGAAGGCGCTTAAGGCACATTGTTTTAAGAACGTCAAAAGCCTTCCTGTCGAGTACACAGCGAACAGGAAGGCATGGATGACATTGGACATTTTTCGTGGCTGGCTGCAGCAGTTGGACCGGCACTTCACGTCGAAGGACCGCAAGATAATTATGATTGTTGACAACTGCAGTGCCCATAACTGTACAGTCGAACTGAAGAGCATCAAAGTAGTTTTTTTGCCGCCCAACACTACGTCTGCTCTTCAGCCGATGGACCTGGGTATCATTCACTACGTGAAGTCGAAGTACCGCAAGCACCTGCTAGAGCGAATGATCCTATGCTCAGAAGCTAGAAAGTTTTATCAAGTGGACTTACTCGGCGCAGTGCACATCATCGCCCACGTGTGGAAAAACACTCCGCCGCAAGTCATCGCCAACTGTTTTCGGCACAGCGGTTTTGTGAGGCCCGAGCATGCAGCAGTAGCTGACGATGGCATCGAGGAGGCGCCAGCCGAGTCCAACGACGATGACTGCCCGGCTTTCGATGCTGTCCTTCCCACAGATGTGACCTTTCAGGACTAAATCGCGATTGATCATGGTGTCGCCACGAGTGGTCTCCTGACCGATCAAGAGATTAATAATGATGTCACGGGCGCCCATGAAGACCACGATTCCGACGAAGAATCATGTGAGGAGATACAGCCGCGACCTCATCGCACCTCACGGAAAGTCTCGGAGGTGCTGTTAATATTAGAGGACGCTTGCCTGAACACTCCCGACAGCTTGCGTGCTGTTGGCCATTTGGAAGAGTTAAGAAAAATTGTGATGTCAGCCGGAATATGCGCGAAAACGCAGATGACAATTAGAAAATACTTCAACAAATAAAGGTATGCTTTTGCAGCTTGATTTTAAATGTTGTTTTCCCTGTTCATTCGTTAATTCGGTTAATTCGGACAGTTTTTTCGGTCCCGTGAAATCTGAATTAACGAGCTTTTACTGTAGTTATAACACTGGCAAAGTGCGAACATGATAAGCATAGTATGTAATCGGAAAAAGCATCGTTCTGCGGTTGCACTCAGCAGCTGTGTGAAAGAAAACTGAGCGACTGAGCTTCAGCTTCGAGTCGTCTGCTGCTCAAAAGCACCAGTGGCAAAAGCAGGGCAGTCTCATTGCCATCGCTATCGAGCAATGGCGGCGCCCATGCTTGCTGAACAGCGGCGGTTTCTGGTGGTGCCAATGCGCTTTTAAACTTCGTTGATGCATTTTCAGGCTCTGGAAATGCATCGAAATGTTAAAGATTGGGCTTACTGGGGAGAAATAAGTATCTGAGCGTGGAATTGCATTGTAAAATTTCGTTGAAGCGTGACGATCGAAGAAAAAGTGTTCGTTGTGGCGACAATATTCATGCATTGACTCCTATGGACTGCTGACGAGGAATCGTGAATTTTTCGTTGTAGCGGAAATTTTGTTGAAGCGGCATTCGTTGTAGCAGAGTTCAACTCTATTTTGACGAAGTTATTGAAAGGTGTCATAGGCAGGCACTATGTTTTAGCCCACAGTGGCAGTTGCTGTTGAAACAGCCAATAGGGAACTAGGCTGAGTCAACAGGATGGCTGCATTCATTGCGGAATCAGTCAGGCTTAGTCCTCAGTTTTTGCTTTGGATGTTCCATTGAATAGTGGGAAATAATAAAGATTACTTCTTGAACTCCAGTGTTTTCATGTGATCCTGAACCTCTTAAATTGCAGTCTGCACTTACAAATTTATTAAAATCAGCACCTAGACTGTGCTTCCAGCAAAGTGATATCGATGCTGCAAAGTTTTTTTTCGCTGATGCTATAACGAGTGCTATACCAAAATGTTCAGCAATTTTCGTAACCTGATTCCAACATTAAGATTATGTTTGTGCAGTTGGTTGGTGTAACACAGTATATTGCCCCTAAACACTTTGCAATATAAAACAGGGCTGATAAGTTCAAACAAAAAAAAAACACATAAGTTACATGGCATGAAGTTACATGGCATCTTGTGTTTTCTTGTAACTTTGCCATACAGGACCAGCATGATGCCGTTGCAAGAATGTTGCCGAGGACATGTGCAAATGATGGGCACTCTGGTCTTCTTAAATGGGCTGGGTGCAGGGTTATATTTTATCTAACTGTGTTCGGTACGAAAACTCAGACTTTGTGGAACAGTCTATTTCATGAACGAGTGCACTGGCAGCGACTGTTTGTGTATACCACTTCAGTTCAACGAGATGTTCTGCCTGCAGGACAAGAAGAATGCCCGGCGCAAGGAAGGTGCCCTGCTGGCCTTCGAGATGCTCTGCTCGGTGCTCGGGCGCCTCTTTGAGCCGTACGTGGTGCACGTCCTGCCGCACCTGCTGCTCTGCTTTGGCGACAGCAACCAGTATGTCCGCGAGGTGAGGCGCTGTCGTGCAGAAAGTGGGCCAACTCCTGCTGCGAGATTCCGTGTGCACTACAGTCGAGGCTGGGTCACTGTAATGTTCCAAATGCAACTCCATTTCACCAGAGGAAATAAATCTGTATGTTCACTGTGGGGTCTCAAAGCGAACGCCGCTCTCAAAACACACGGACACGGCAGACGCGGTAGGACAAACCAAGGTGTTGTGTACATTTATTCGATTACTTTTGATGTCGGCGATATTGTAAGCCGAATCAATTACACCTCTAGTGATGAACACGCTAAACATTACCTCATACAATATTCCAATCCACTCAATTAACGTAACAAATGCAAGGCAATGCGAAGGCGGTGTCGCCAACGCTCGACTCACCATGAGGGGCCCACATAGAAATGACCCGCAGCGCCACACCATGAACTCACCGTGGGAGACGACCGTTTGTGCCAGCCGCCGCACACCAGAAAAGACTCGTTTATGTCTCATGTGCCGCCACCCAGCCTTGCCACCAGGCGTCAACACGCGTCACTGCAATTATGATGAGGATGAACCCTGCGCCACCTACCGCTCGACGGTTGTTAAAGAGACACTAAAGGCAACTATCAAGTTAACGTTGATTGTTAAAATAGGGAACCAAAGCTGAAGTTTGCGGAGCGATGACAATGCTGCGCCTGGCCCTGGCGGCGAGCTCCGGAACACTTGAGGAGAGACGTGAGAGAGGTTGCAGGCGAGTGAGTGCGTTTCGTCGAAACGAGAGAATGTGCGACACGTGCTCAACGCGTTCTGCAATCGGTGTGGCGAACTTGGGCGCCGTGCAGTCACCTTGGCGTGTTAAAACGAGACGCTCGCTGTGCGAAGTTGCCTTTCCGTGATGGAAGAAGCGGCCGCATGGAAGTATCGCCGAGGTTCAAAGTGTTGTGTTGTGGGCTGCTACAACAATGCAGAAAACTCCAAGGGACGCTCTCTACATGTAAAGCTGTATCAGTTTCCCATCTAGTCACAGCCGGCGAACACAGCTCCGTTCACGAAAGATAGAGCAAGCATGGCACGAAAGCCGGGGGGGGGGAGGCGAGCACTTCAATTTGACTTGCTGTGGTTAAACTTAGCTTGCTCCTTCATGGTAGCGTGAGTGGGTCGTGGGCGGCACGGAGGATATGACTAAAACTTCTAGAACATTTTAATGCCATAATCCTATAACTTTAGTTTTTATTTATTTTTTCAGCATGCTGCAAATAACAGTATGCACATGACAGAACACGGCTGCTATGTACTGCTAGATACCACATCAAAACAGCAATTATATGCTTTCCATAAACGTCAACACAGCACATTGATAGAGTTTGCGGCTTCATGTCGGCAGAATGAGCCTTACCTAGAGGCATACGTTGTACACTGTATTATCATTGCGGACCCGAGAAATGCATTTCACAGTGACTCTGACGTCCTCGTCTTCCGTCAACTGCTCCACATCATAAACTTGACTAATGAGCTTTACTCCTTTGGTTTGATTCACTTCTCGGAAGTGCTTGTCCAGCTCAGAGATCTTTGTGAAGCCCCACTGCAGGCGGTACATTATGAGGTGACTCAAACGCAGCGCGCGCTCTCTGTACAAGCACGCAAGCAACCGGCAGCGCATTGCAGCGGAGGGAAAATGTGCCATCTACATCCCCGATTTCCACTTTTCTATCAAAGGTGGCGCTGCCTGTCCAAAGTCGCAGTGCCACCATGCGTTGTTTTGGCTTACTATAGCAGTCCAGAAACCTTGTAGTCTTAATTTTGTGCCTAGGAGGGGCCTATTTTGAATTAAAATCGCGTTTTAGTGGTCTGCATCGGGTTAGCGCACTTTAAATTACTCGCCTCAAGAAGCAGACTGAAGGGACTGAGTCACGTCACTGTTGTTGTGCGCAATGTTGCCCGGCTTTACTGCGCTAGTTGCAGCAGAGCGCAAGCTGCGGGAGACACAGCAGCAGCAACGGCCATTTATCGATTTCCCGCCATTTGCTTCGAGATTTCAGACATTTTTGTTTCAACTGCGCCCTGCTAGTTGGCACCACCTGTCCTCGCACCACTCGCCATAGCGACGTCCGATGGTTCTTTTTTCTATGAATTAAACAAATGAGCAGCATTTTATTGCGTCTTTTGATGCAAGGAAGGTTCTTTATTTAGTGCAGCTAGATCGATTACTGGTGATTAATTGTAGGCGGTCCGTCTGATGTCATTGGGATTATTTCAAAAATGTCCCACTATGGCGCATGTGTCCTTGTGCGCTTACCTTAATTTCTCGATAAGTGGGTTGATAATATTGTCGTTTTAGATGTTGTCATACATTGGGCTGTCACTCTGACGTAAATTGTTATTTGACCTTAGTGTCTCTTTGACCCTAAATGCAGCCTATCTGCAAGACACGTGTGCACCACAAGGCCCAAACAACTTTACAGGGGGTGATAGCACCCTCACATCATCTAGACGCCTTCTCGGGCTATGCCTTGAGGGCGGGCTTTTGAATTTAAAAAAATTGCAAGTCGGCTTTCTTTGAGCAAGGTTTGTTTGTCTAGCAGACAATGTGCCTTGAAGAGGAAGTGTTGGTAAAATAGATATTACCTGGCTGCATGTGTGAGAATACTGTCGTTTAGTTAAAAACATATTTGGGTTAGTTTGAATGCCAGGAGCAAAATTGTTCGAACAGGTGGGCTCCCTGAGAGGGCAGTGTTTTCGTGAGAGAAAAGTGAGTGCACAGGCACATACTGATTGGAAAGTTTAATGGTGCACCCAAAAACACAGGTAAACTGCTCTGATTCCTGAGTGTTGAATTACTGGGCCTTAGTAGTCTTTCTCCAGCTATGGTCAGTGTGCTATATGTGCTTGCAAACTCTTTTCTCTTTCGACCCCCCCCCCCCCCTGTCTTTTTCAGGCCACGGATAACACTGCAAAAGCAGTGATGAGTAAGCTCACAGCACACGGTGTCAAGCTGACTCTGCCTTCGCTTCTTGCTGGCCTGGAGAATGATCTCTGGAGGACTAAATCGGGTGAGAATCAAGCACGGGTACAAGTCTGAAGACAGGCTTTTGAATGGAAACCAGTGATAAGGGGGACTTACTGTTTGAGTGCTTGTAATATATACTGTAAACTACACTTGTGCAAATATTCAAGCACTTTGAATATTCAAACAAACATTAACGCATTTGAAATGAACGAATAGGCATATATCAGTCAGCATGTACCTCCTTGTTAAAGTGGTTTCACTACAGTGGAGGGTGCGATACCATGAACACACCTTTCCAGGAAAAATTTGCAGTGCCACAAAGCTTCAAGGTTAAATGAACATGTGAGAATTTGTGACAAATTTCTTTATCATCTGTACATAACTATTATCGCATGGTGATCGTCATCATTTGTGGAGACAAATCTCAAGTTTTTTCTGTGCCTCAGAGGTGAACGATGTCAAGCAAGCCACCATCGTGCACAGTTTCCTCGTGGGCCTCGGTGATAGGTGACGACTTATATTAAGTCATCTCAGCTGACAACAGTTCCCCAGTGAATTTTTCTGCTTACCATATTTACTCGCGTAATGAACACACTCTATTTTTTTCCGAAAAATCGAATTGGAGGTGCATTTACTATGCGGGGCAAGCTTTATGAAACTTTTTTTCAAAATGAGCTATAAAATGCGCTATTGCAAAAAAAAAGATGAAGTAAATGAAAAAGTTAGATGACTTAGCCTTTTGCAATTTGCATACGCGTACACTGTTGGGAAACAGCTCCTTTGTTGTACTTCACTCATCTTCGGTGGTTGATAGCGCTCTCTTCTGCAAGCTGTCCCCACGCCACTCGCGCACTCCCTAAAAGCATTTCACAGCTTTCTTCTCTCAATCGTTTAACCGTGACAGTGGTATCACCCGTGATCTCGCCGGGTACTGAAAAGCGAGAGCTACGACGCACTTTTCAATCCTTGTGGCAATCTCGGATGACGACCACGACGACGTCATTGACATTACAGCAAGCAACCAACATTGTAGCGTGCTACCAGTGAAGCATCAAAACAAACCATCAATAATAAAATACGGCAGCCGTGTCTCTATCTACATGAGCAGTGACTGTAGAAGGGGTAATCTTGCGTTTCGTAAAGCATGCGCAGATAACAAGCATGAAGGGCTAAATGCAACTGATGCGAGGATCGGAGGTGCTACCATGTTTTGGGAATTGTCAAGTTTGTTTTGGGCAGGAAGCGATTTTTTATGGTTTTTCAGAAACTTGTGACGCAATGGCGACGAATGGCCCTTCACAACAGCGATGGGGACAGCAAATTCTGTCGTCACTCAAAAATCGCATGCATGTGGTTAGGCCTTGAAGGGCCCGCAATTTACCCAGTGATCGAAATTCAGTTGTGGGGAAAATGTGCGTGAGTGTACGATGAACATGGAGCCATGAGAATTTTCGAAGCAGCGCTCTAATAGCCGAGTTAGATTGTTTGATTTGGGTAACATCGAAACCGCGAAGATCCTTCCTTTCACTCTCTGTTGCGCTACCCTTCATGATATCCTCTCCCAAAGCCATTTTGCCCTCTCGTTGAGCCCCCCTCCACGCCCCTTCCAATCTTGCGTGTCTTCGCTGACGCGCTGCTTGAAACACCGTCTACTTTCGGTTTCCCTGACTCCGTCCGTCAACTCCGTATGTAGCTGCGTGCTTGTTGGCGAACCGCGGCTGTCTTGCTTATACGAATCGTGCTGGTATGGACCCTGCATTGCGCTCACGGCTTCAAAGGATCGCCAACACGATGGACCCGTACGGGGACACACTGTGCCAGACAACCTCCATAGCCGATTCATGAGCAAGTACACGCATGCGGGCAACATAATAAACAACAAGCATAGTGGACAGCTGCTTGCAGACTGATCGGAAATGATAGGCTCTTGCTCGGCCAATCACAGCATATTTGGATCGGCACGACAGAGATATTGGAACGGCGCGTTAAGTGGAGGCACAAAAGGCCCCCAAAAAAGGAGGGATTGTTTCTTGAAATTTGTGGCGTGCCGGCGGCTCGTAGCACTGCCACTTGTAGAATCGTTGATCGTGACGGCATTCTGCACATGATGCAGTGTTTACTTGAAACATTTGAAAAGATATTGGGGGTGGTTTGCGGGCGCTTTAAAGTTTCGCATTTGCAGGAAGCGGACAGTTTCATGACCTTCGCTCGCTCTGTGTTTGCCAGCTGCGATGTCTCTACACTCGCACCATTCGCTAAAAAAAAAAAAAAAACGCAGGACATGCCGCATACAGATAGAAAAAGAAACGATACGGTGCGCGGCAGCGGGCGAAGTGGAGGGGGGGGGGGGAAGAGCAAGCAGAGGTGGCTGAGGGAGATCTGGTATATTAATAAAAAGCGGAAGAGATCCAACCGGCAAGAAGGCGCCATGTATCTGTTAGCAGGACTGCAGCAGATGAATGTACGGGGTGTGTTTAATACGAAGGGGAAAAAAATCTAATTTTTGACAACCTAAGTTGGGGGTGCATTCATTATACGTGTGAATTCATTACACGAGTAAAATACGGTAGTAGCATTTCTGGGCACCATCTTGGACGGGAGTACAGAAAGCCACGTCATCGTTGCAGGAGACAACGTCGCTGTTTTTGACTGCATCAATGCTGATATCGTCGCTTACATTGCCAATGCTGCTGAAGTGGGCCTGTGGGGTTATGAAGATGCTAACAACACCACTAAATATTTTGCCTCGCTACAGAGCTTGCATCACGCACACCATCAATCACCGCTGTTGTGGTTGAAAGCATGGAATTTGCTTATTTGAAAGCTTCAGTGCAAGATTAATGAGGATGGCTTGATAAAATTGACGGCACGCTAGAGCTAAGACAAGTCTACAGAATATTTTTACGCGAAAAAAAGTGTACAGGGGTGGAAGTGCTGCACCAATTGCACCATGTTGTGCCAATCTGACCTACTGCGCCTAAACGGCAATTTGCACATGCAATACCAAATCCAGTCTAGAGTTTAATCATTAACCCAGCAAACGCGTGTGCTACTCAAAGGGCGCAACCACATTTATATCAAACGTCGTATTTCGAACCATGCATAAATCTTGTGCCATTGAACGCAATGCGTGATTCTCGTTAAGGTGGCGTTTGTGTGCATACCTCATTATGCACTTCTTTCTTTCTATTTTTTGTTACCGCACCATTACGTGTGTAATGCTGCCTTTCGCGAACCGCGCCTGAATGACTGGGAATGATCTAGATAATTTCGGAACCTTCCGATGAGATCACGTTCACAATGCGTACATTACAGTTTGTTCCGGAATTTACGCGGCCGCTAGCGATAACGCTGGAATTCTCGATGGCGCTGCACTTCGCTGCATGGTAGATTATCGACGGCCGACGCTCTGTTTCCTGCTATCAGTCTGCAGCATGTATTGCTTGTAGAGTGATGTTTTGTTTCCTGGGCACAGGTTAGCCCAAATAAAAAGTTAACTCGTAAAAACAGCGGCTGCTGCCTTCATCGACTTCATGAGCCCAACAATGCGAATGCTGACAGCTCTTTGGCATCAGAGATCGCGACACTCACAACTACAAAACGCTGGTGTAAGAGAATAAGTACGTCCGCTCCAGGAGAAAATGCTCTTATTGCACAATCTCTGCCCATTGAGAGTGCACCACGCAGAACACTTTGAGCTGTGTGCTGGTGCTTGCCGATATCGCGCGTGCCAGCTATCGCAACCAGGTCCTGCATTAGAATCAAAGTTCATGGCTGCTGCTCGAGCGACCCCCTTTTGCTCCGTGCCTTTCTTGCTCGTTCAAGACAGGCGGCGTGTCTCCTTTCTGCTTAAGCATTCGACGGCAGTTCTAACACGCGATGCGCCCTCTGAGGGACGGAGATCAGCCGTCTGGCTTGATCTCTGCTTGAGCAGTGCTCATCTCTCCAGCTTGCACAATATTCAGGGCGGGTCGAACGTATGATGTGCGGGAAATGTACCAACAGTAGTTTACGCAGAACATGGCGGCGACAGGGAAAACCCGTCGAGTGTCCATATAGCTCCTATCGTAATAAAAAAAAAAACTTCACTCAATTGCCTAGCAATGGCGCAGAGAGTGCATCTAAATTTCCCCGTGGTTCCCATGTCAGCTGTGGCACTTCAATGACCGGAACATAATTTTTTTTTTACATTTATTTTTACAGAGCACTATATTTTTAGTATGAAGATAACTTTTATTATATAATAGCTCATCTCTAGTTTTGAGTTGCTGTTCATGTTGGATGCGGCATTTTAATCACATTTTGAACATTGCAACATTTTAACATTAATTTTTTATTCGTTTGATGTTTAGCATAGCTGTCCAGAACGCCGCTTATGTTTTTTCTTTGAGTTGCTGGGCTTTCACCTTTGATGTTTTAAGGTTTAATGTATATATGAATTTAGGGTAAGTCTAGTTGTTTGATCAGCATTACATGCTTAGTAAAAACCACTGAAATGTTTTGTGTTAATCGTAAAGCAAAAATTCTAATTAACCGTGATACTATTAATTATAACTGCGACACGAGAACGAAGGGGACAGGACAATCGTAGTCCTGTCCATTGCGATCGTCCTGTCCACTTCATTCTCCTGTCTCGTTTTTAGCGCAGTTATAATTATCTAAATGTTTTACCAACTAGCCCCATTCATACGCCTCTCAAGTTAACAGCGATGTATGGCCCAAGAAATCGGCTCAAAAACTAAATTTCGATGCTCCAAAACACCTTTTGCTGCTTCAGAGCTGCTCCAAAACTCCCTTTTTACTGCTCCAAAACTGCATTATTCCTGCTCTCAAAGCTGCTCCAAAAGACTGAAGCCCCCTTCCACCCCTGGCTTTAACTTGCAAAAGCTGTTACCTTTTTCTTAAGCATACTTTAAGGGAATGCGTGCGTGCAACGTGTGCGTGCAACACGTGCAGGGCGCGTCGTGTCCCCTTACTGGTCCATCGCATTGGCGATTCTTTGAAGGAGTGAGAGCAACGCAGGGATCCATACCGGTATGATAACGCCAGCCTCGATTCGCCAACAAGCACGCAGCTACAAGGTAACTGACAGAGTCTCGGCAACCGGAAGTAGACGGTGTTTCAAGTACGCGTCAGTGATGACGTATGCCACGCGAGATTGGGAGGGGCATGGGCGGGTGCTTGGCGAGGGGGTGAAGCAGTGTGGGAGAGGATACCAGCAGAGGGAAGTGCAGGAGAGAGCAAAAGGTGTGGTTTTCAGGGTTTCGATAATAAAACACGTCTAACTCTGCTATTACTGCACCATTCTGAAAAATTCTCACGGCTCCGTGTTCGTCGTACACTTGTGCACAATTTGTCCACCACAACTGGATTTCAACCTCTGGGTGGTTTACAGGCCCTTTAAATATGCATATTTCTTATTTCGAATTGTATGAATATCGAAATATTTTGAAATTCTCTCCGAGTGCGATATATCCGAGATTCACTGTAGCAGCAGCAAGCGAGGCTGCGGCAAGTCAGCAAAAGCAGTCATGTTTTGGTCTTTTGGAGAGACAAAGGCATGCTCTTGTGAACTTGATGTGCCGTAGCAGACACGCCAACATAAAAAAAAAAGAAAAAACCTGCGAACCCCTAGCAGAAGACAGAACAAGCCCAATACCTGTAATTGTTTTTGGACTGTATGGTCACTCAGCCCGACGCAACCGTGCGTGTGTGATGCCCATGCCCCCCTCTCCCCCCACTCCACAAAGAAGGGTGGGCATGGTCGTTTCGTACTCTTTGCTCTTCAATTCATGTATCAGCACAGGAAGGAGCGAAAGTACATGCTTTTAAAAATATTTAACAGGTGGCACAACCAGTGGATTCACACTAAATCACACCACATTTGTTCTTAAGTGTGACTTTTTGAACACACCAGTACGTCAGTGTCGTAGAGGTGGGAAACACGAAAGCTTATTTGTACATCAGGGACAGCGAAAAGCAGGTTTATGTCCTTATTATAGGCATACTATTTGCTTATGACAGACGCTTGGCCAACCTAGTATTTGTACTTTTAGTGTGGACCTTCAAACATTAGTCCAGAAGAATGTCTTGATCCACTGCTGTGGTCTGAAGAGCCTGTTCGTCAGGAGCTATGGCATATGACTGCTGACTCGAAATTCGAGGGATCAAGTCGCAGTCACTGTGGTCGCATTTTGATGGAGGTGAAATGCTGTTGGCATGTGTTTTCAGATTGCGACGCTCTTTAACTCTTTCATTGCCGCGCGAAAATTGTTGTTTTTCAAATATCTCAGGAAGATCATTTTTGCCAGTTTGAAAAGTACTCCAGCATGCATCACAGCATACCAAACTTTGTGCAAATAAATGCTCTTTTCAAAAAATATATGTTGTAGAGCAACAAACATATTTTAGAATGAATAAAAATGTGAAAAGTGGAATTTTCGGTTGCCAGATAGTAAACAGTGCAATAAAAAACACTATATATGCAAAAATATTCAAAACAAGGAAAATTCAGAGTATACATTATGTAGATATATGACCCATAAACAGTGTAAAAAATAATGAATGTTGTGCGAAATGTTCCTCTTCACATAGATAAAGAAAATCAGCACTGAGGTGCTGCTCCATTGCTCATGCCGTGAGGTGAAGCATTGCATAGTTTTTTGTGAGACACAAGTTTATTCATACTCTTTCCTCAGTAAATTTTTGTTGTCTTGTGATAAGAATCTCCAGCTGTTCTAATATAGATGGCTACCTGTGGTGTGGATAATTCTTCTATAAATGAAGTGTCCAATGAACTTCTCTATTTCATCTAGCGTCACCTCTTTCCATGAGCCACCTCATTTCACATAGGTTGGCCTTCCCATATATGCATCCAAGCATATCTTTTTTTCATTTTTGCACATATTGTATTAAAAAAAGGATAATATTGTGTGCAGTTCTAAAAGGTTTCACACACCTCTGTAGTGGATGCCAACATGTGCTCCGGGAGCCTTCTTGTAGTTGGGAGAAGCTCTGCAGCCAGCACCAGCACCCCGCGCTCCAGCGAAGTGTGGACCACGCGCTTGACCAGAGTAACTATAGGATTGAGCACAAAGATCAGAAGCTATACGCAGTTGTGACGGAGGAAACAACTTGAGGATGTATACAGAAGAAACCCATGAACAGCTGCGAATGTCTCTGGCAAGACATCATTGCCATATAACTTGAAGCTGATGTGCTGTCATCTTCGAACTAAGCCTGTCCTCACACAGTTCAGGTGGGGTAACTAGAGAGTTTTTTTCGAGCACATGAGTTGTGCAGCGCTAATGCGCACCCATGCATGCGTGACGACGGCGTCATAGGAGCGACTAGGGACACTAGATGCAACCCTGCAGTGTGTCTGATATAACAATGCAAGTGAAAATAAAGTTGCTGGAAATGGTCATATAAGGCCACCTAGACACTTTAAACACGCGGCTTGCAATTTTATATTCGGCTTGCAAAGGTTCTTTTCATTGCAGAACTTCTATGTTACTGTACCATAATTATGAACGGCACGCACTTCTCTCAAGTTCGCCAGCCTAGTGTACTTTTCGAACGATACACGCACATTGGTTTGCGCAAAGGTATGTAAAAAATCACTATGTTGCCGAAACAGGCAAATTCAAGTTGATTATGAAAGTTGAGTGCCTGAACTAAGTACTAAAAAGTGCTGGGTGCATTGGAAACAAGTTTAACATGCCAAAATGGACAATCCAAAAGTGTCGATTACCGATGATCGATTTGAATAGGTGTGGTAACAAAAGAGTTTAGGAACCCCAGGTAGTTGAAATGTTTTTGTGTTTTGCACTACGATATCTTTCATAATCACATTGGGATTTTGGGACATGAGACCTCGACAATTATTATTATTAATAATAATATTTTGATATTGTTAATATTATTACTATTAGGAGGGTGTCTTGCATGGAATTCAATGTGAAAACACAATGAACTTCTGAATTAATTGTGAAATTCTGCTCGGACAAACACTTGCTTTGTTGCAATGTTTTTGAACGTAGTTCTGTTTAAGGCAAAGGCAGTACTGTTGTGTTGCTGTCATTTTTCAGGATCGGTGGAGCTTCTAGGTGCGATGGCATACTGTGCACCCAAGCAGCTGTCCTCCTGCCTGCCTTCCATTGTGCCCAAGCTCATCGAGGTGCTGTCCGACTCTCACGTCAAAGTGCAGCGAGCAGGCGCCCAGGCCCTCAAGCAGATTGGTTCCGTCATCAAGAACCCAGAGATCCAGGTCTGTCACCTGTTTTTCATTACAAGTGCCTTACACTCCCATGCTCGAAAATGAATATACAGTCGAATCTCATTAATTCGAACTTTCACTTAATTCCAACTGATGCTGTGGCACCATCGAAGCTATGTGTATTTCAATGGGCCGAAACGCCCTGTAATTCGAACGTGCAAGTACTTGTGACGGTTAATTTGAACATACCGTGCTTCGAAAATGTTCTCTGCACCACGCCCAATACCGCGATGGCACCTCCGACACCTGAACGCTGCGTGCAAAGAAGGAAAAGAAGGGGAAAAAAAATACTGCAGCGGAACGTTTGCTCTCTTTCAAATGCCGATCTGCGACGCACCTGTGCCACGCTTCTCCCTTTTCCGTTCCTACCACGTAGAGACCCTTGTCTTTTCAAAGCCGCGGGCGAAGAGGGAGAGGAAAAAAAACAAAAGAAAGCTGTCACGGAGTGTTGGCTCCCTCTCTAATGCCGATCTGCGACGCGCCTGTGCCAGGCTTCTCCCTTTCCCATCCCTGCCACGTAGAAACCCTTCTTCTTTCAACGCCGCGTGCGAAAAGAGCAAAAAAAAAAAAAAATTAGAAGCTGCTGCGGAGTGTTAGTTCTCTCTAAAATGCTGATTTGCTTCTCTCCGCATGGAGGCGCTCCTCCTTTCTTGTCATGTGCTGGCCACACTCCGGCTGCAGCGCAGAGGGTAGCAGCAGAGACGCAGTCTTTGTCCGTGTTTTTAGAGTGCCGGCGCTGGAGATCGCCCAGCGCAACTTCTTTTGCTAGGAGAATGCTGAAGTCGAAGTAGAAATGCTTAGCAAACTGCAAGCGAAATTGATTGACTCGCTGCAAGGCAAACGTCCAAAGACGTGCATCACCGATTACTGCAATTAATGATGGATGTCCTGTGATTTGTGAATAAGTGTAAGTCTTCTGAAAGTTCCCTCCTGCCCTCCCACGTGTATTAGCTCAATGCACATGTGCCAGTGCATGGTTGAATTCTCCATTCATTTAGCTTTCATTTGTTCAAACTTCTTTTAATTTGAACAAACTTTCAGGCCCCTTCGAGTTCAAACTATCGAGATTCGACTGTAGTAGAATCTCAGTGTTATGCACTTAGGCAATACGAATTTTGTTCCCATACAATTCGTTAATTTCCCCAGCTGAATTTCATTGAGTCCAAGGGGTCAATATTCAGATGTCCTGAACACTTGTCCACATTGCAGTGGGTGATCGTATGGTGGTTTTGGGACGTTAAACACGACATATCGATCAACATTGCTGTGGGTGACATGAGCTTGGGTGACATAAGCTTGGGTAGTGAAACCAGTAATTTTGAGCGTTACAATTGTTTTTACTTAGCTTTAACATGCATAACAAGATTCTACTTTATTATGTGAAGGACATGCATATGTTATGCTCACAATGCAAAACAAATTCCATAGAATACTTTCTTTGAAGGCTTCGTTGAATTTTGTGGTGGTGAAATAAAAGCTCTCTTGAAGACAAGATGTAAAGCTGAGAGGCATCTTGAAAATTGTAGCTATCCGAGAATTCGATGCAAAACATGTGTTTCGATGGTTGCACGATGTGCCTCTTTCGAGGCTGCCCAAGACGACAACTATCACTACTAAGAGTGCCCTAGGCCCATGTTGCCCAATGCTAAGCAAGACATTAATAAGCTTGTACCTTTGTTAGAAATTCTGTAGTACAGCCAAACCTTTTTATAAGGGACACTGATATAAGAGACAAATGGGTATACGAGACACCAGTGTGCCTACAGTAAAATACTGATGATATGAAAATGCATACAAGGTCCCCTGCTTATAAGAGACATCTCGTATAAAAGTTGAGAATCACTGTCCAGAGCGTGCCTTTTATAAAGGGGTTCAACTGTACTTCTGTGCCACGTGCATCTTAAATAGCTGTCAACCTTCACACAATAAAACAGCTAGTTTCCTTTTTTTTTTTTTGACAAGGCCTCAACCTATTATGAGGGAATGTCCTTAGGAGTGCAGGACACGAATGCTTTTGTCCTTCATTGGCGCATCCAATAACTCTGCATTGCAGTGTTGTGGCACATATTGACACATATGTGCGAGGTACAGAGATGCACTTTGTCAGTCATAGAAATTAACTTAGATTAACTTAGCGTGGCATAAATTTACTTGTTAATTAGGCATTGCCGTCCGCCACAGTGCATCAGTGGCTCGGGTGCTTGACTGCTGACCCGAAGGTTGGGGGTTCGATCCCGGTCGTGGCGGTTACATTTCAAAGGAGGCGAAATGATTGAGGCCCGTGTACTGTGCATGCACAGTACACGATGGACACTAGATAGACGAAACTTTTGAAGCCCTCCACTACAGCATCTCTCATAATCATACCATCGCTTTTGAACATAAAACCCCACATATTTATAATTATTGCTATAATTCAACACGAATGATGTTCCAATCTAGGTAAAGTAAGTTGGTTTTGCAGAGTATTAAGAGGGAGATGAAGATGTAGTTCTCTTGAATTAAATTGAAATGAGCAATTGCATCTGTACGTAGTTAAATGGTTTTTGTAGTGAACATGTTCACCTTACCATAAATTTTCTGTGAATCTGTCTCATTGTGACTTCTTCAATCCACACTGCAGGCCATTGTACCTGTGCTATTGGATGCCCTTCAAGATCCAGCTGAGAAGACATCTGGCTGTCTGGCGACACTGCTGAATACAAAGTTTGTGCACTTCATCGACGCACCCTCGTTGGCATTGATCATGCCCGTGGTGCAGCGTGCCTTCCAGGATCGCTCGACAGAGACCAAGAAGATGGCTGCGCAGATCATCGGCAACATGTACTCCCTCACTGACCACAAGGTGCGCCTGCGTTTTCTTTTAAAATTACTTTTATCCTAATGTTGCATCGCTTCAAAAGTCAGAGCCTTTAGTACGTGATGAGCTGAAGCAAAGCACTCTAGGAGGTTAAAATAATCTCTCGGCTTCGACTCGGCCTCCTGTTGTAGCTTGTTCGTTGTTTTGAGTTTGACACATTAGTGCCCAACTAAAGCGATCCGATTGTTTTGACATGGAGATGAATATGCATGGCTTGCCTGTTCAGTAAGCACTTATCTCGAATTCTGATATCTCCAAATTTGAGTCGAATGAAATTTTCCTGTTGTCACTGTGTCGATTTCATATACAATAAAATCTCAGTAGAACGAACCCCACATTAACGAACTTTTCAGAATAATGGTCTTTTAAAAAATCCCGTGCCGACTGCTAATAGTTTCAATGTAAAATTATTTCACTACTATGTACTTCAGAATACCGAATTTTTCAGAATAACGAGCGGTAATTTAGTTCTGCATTATAATAACAACGCCTCATTACTACGAAGTTATGTTCTGAAATCCACTGCGACCACTGGAGCGGCACACCTGAGCTTGGAAGTAGCTTTGCCGCAATAGTAGGCTATGATGAGGTGAAGCATAGTACAGATCTGAAGGGGTTGCTTTGATTTGGATGTTGACTGCACTTGTCTTTGGGAATAGCAAACGAATAGGAAATAATATTTGAAAAATATTTGAAATCTCAAATATTTGCACATCCCTACTATTTACTCAATTGTAACGGGGCCACAATGCTGATGCGAAGAGAAAGTGACTTTTCATTCTGTTCAGAAAGAAACACAAAATAAATATGAAAGAATTGTGTGCATCATTCTACTTTGTCAGCAACTTGAATTATGGCATTTGATTGTAATGTGAGGGTCGACTTCAGCTTGCAGAAATCTCAGAAAAAAACTTTTGTTGGATTCAAATAAATTCAGTACATTTACTGCATATTAAAAAAAAAAAGGTTTTCTAAGCTGAGCTTCAAATATTTAGTTCTTGACAGCAAAAACGGTCAAGAAAAATCATCATGTAAAGTTTCTGTACTTTGGATGTAGCTGTGCTATCAGTTAGTGGTAACAGTTCTGTATTACCGTATTCTAGTGTGGGAAACTTGGCACGCAAGTTCAAGGAACGCTTCTGAGGGTTGATGTCTTTTTCGTAACTGAGTGTCAGCCTCTTGAGTTCTGTCATTAGCTTGGTAGTTTATAGTGAGTCTTACATGCTGGCCACCTTGCTTGCTGCCAGTGTTCAGAACTGTCTTTACTGTCTGCAGGACCTGGCGCCATACCTGCCAGCCATCATACCGGGCTTGAAACAGGCCCTCCTGGATCCTGTGCCAGAGGCAAGTTTCGTCGTTAGATGAAGTCATAATTCACAAACTCCGTGTGCATAGCCTAAATCACAGTGGACAAAGTTGGCATATTCTGATGGGCTAGAGATGTGAAGCCAATGGGCTTGTGCAAATAGTAGAGTTTAAGTTCGAAGATAATTAGAAGCTCATTTTGATTGAATATTTTCAAATTCAATTCGAATAGTACCATATTTACTCGATTCTACCGCGCCCTCGATTGTAACGCGCACCCGATTTCCACCGCGAAAAAAAAAAAAGTAAGACATCGATTGCAACGCGCACCCATTTTTCTCGCTGGCCCGCATGATCACACCACTCGAAAAAACGACTCCTTTCGGGAGTGTCTTCCATTTAAATATGAGGTACGGGCGAAGCTTGTGCCCCTCTGACGTGTAACAGAGCATTGCCGTCACTGTAGTTTTACCGTGGACCGAAGTCAGCACGCGAACTTGCTTCGCCCCCTTTTTCTCGACGGTTGTGGTGCCAGGCATGTCGAAGTAAAGAGGCGTCTGATCGGCATTCCCAATTTGCCTAAGCAGGTAGCCGTTGTTGCGCCGTAAGTTTAGGACGAACCTCTGAAAACTGTGAAGCTTTTCATCGTACTCCTCCACAAAACTTTTCGCATATGCATGTTCCCCTTCGGAGGGAAAAGCCTTTCCTCTTCATAAAGTTAGTTAGCCAGCACCTGCTCGCTTTAAACTGGCTCTGCATTAGACCTTTTTCCAAGACTAATTGCATAGCCCGCACTTGGAGCAGTTCTGTCGTCACGGGCCGCAGTGCCGCTCGCTGCTTAAGCACATACTCGCCGAGCAGCTCTTTAATTTGCGGAAACCGACCCTGCTGTGGTCCACTGAAGCCTTTGCGTGAAGCTTTGCTGTCGACAATCTTCTGCTTTTGTTTCCGCCTGTCCTGCACGCAAGTTTTGGGAACTCCGAACGACTGCGATGCGGCCCGATTTCCGTTCGTTTCTGCACACGCGATGACTTTTCTTTTAAAAGCGGCATCGTGGTGCACTCGAGTTTTTGGAGTAAGCCCTTCCACGCCGTCGATGCTAATGCACTACTAGATGACGAACTCCTTGGCACACGTACGAAGTGCCGCACATGGGAAACACATAGGCAGAAATGGCCGACGCGCCGTGCCAACGCACGTAGGGGGCGGCCATTTTGGATTTGCCGATGGCGATAGATTGACCGTAATTTTTTTTTTCGTACTCGATTCTAACGTGCATGCGATTTATGAACTCGCTTAACCAGAAAAAAGGTGCGCGTTAAATTCGAGTAATTACGGTATATATCACATGTAATAAAGGAAAAAGGGCCTATTTGTCACTACATTACTAATCTGCACAGTATTTTTAGAACATTGAAACAAGGCCTGTGCAAATTTCATTTTTTTCGGTACAAAGAAAGTGAAAACAGCTTTGAACAGAGCCAGGATTTGACTGTCCGTAGAGTGCAAGTGATAAACTGTAAAATATGTTGCATTTTAAAATTTAATACACTTAGATAGGCTTGTGCAAATATCAGAGTATTCAAATTCACTTCGATTTGAATTTAAATTATTTAAATGTTCGAGGTGTTTGAAATGAATGAATAGATATTTATTAGTCTGCGTGTAATACCTGCAAAGGTGGTTTTACTGCTGTAAAGGGGTGCTAAGCCATGAAAGCATCTATTTAGCTATGTATAAGTCGGCAAGTAACTTCTTGTAAAGGTGGTTTCGCTGCAATAAAAGAGTGCTAAGTCGTGAAAACATATATTTATTGGAAATCCGCTCTGCCCCGAAGCCCCACTTTAGTTCAAATGAACATATCATCCTCGCATCGATTCACCATTTTTGTCATTTGAAAAGCTTGTTGTACCGGCTTATATGCTCTAAGCATACTAAATAATCAAACCTGAAGGGGGGAAAGCAAATTTGGTATCGCAAAAATGGCAGAAAAGAAGAAACGTTCTTTTTTTAATTAAGTTTTCAGTTTTTTGGAACCCTTTTTCTATCAAATTCCAAAATATGTACCTTGAAAACCGCACAAAAGTGCTTTGAAAAATTTGTTTCACCCTCCTAGGTAGCAAAAGTTTTCCTGGAAATGGCGAGAAAACATCGATTTTCAAAAAATTATACATTCGCGAGGGCGCGGCCGGGAGCCGTCTTCTTGGGCTTATCGGATAGAGCGTTTCTCCATGTTTGAATTTCCTGCCTCAGCCTGCTCCTCCCTTTAAAAACAAGTGCAAAATATTTAAAGGTCGTGTTGAGGCCCCTGATTGGCTGTGGCCGCCATGCTGCCCCAGCTCGCCTCGCCATTGGCATTCAAAAGATTGTCGTCTGCTGCTTGTGCGTTTCGAGGAGATGGCTGTTGAAAATCGCTACTTCATGACGTGTTCACAGCTCGATGATGACTTAGGATATAATTACGCCTTAGTTAGGAGCTGTTAGCCGATGCAGGATCACATTACTAGGAGTGGATCTATGAGCGGATCTAGGAGCACAGCGCATCGTCTGAGTTGTCTCTAGGCCAAACTCCGCTGATGGCGAGACTGCAGGCAAAGACGACGCGCTAGCACACTCGTGGCAATGTGCTTCTTTGCGAGCAACGAAGCTGTAAGCGGATTCGCGATCAGATTACTACGAGCGTGCGTGCGGTCTACGAGTGCGGCACGTCATTGGAGTTGTCTTTAGGCCTAACTCTGCTCAAGTCGCCACGCACTTTGTGGCTACAAGAACGCCGCGCTGGAGCACTCGTTGCAATGTGCTTTTTCGCAAGCAACGAAGAACATCACTCAATAGATCCTTGGAACTGCGGACGGGCATTTTACGTATCGGCAGCAGACCCCACTGTCAAGTACGTCAACCCCCCTGCCCACTGCTAAGGATTGCTCGGAACAGCGGCTAGCAGTTTCGCGTGTCGGCATTAGAAAATGCGATAACAAGCGCAGTGCGCGCCAGTTTTTTGTCATTGTAGGTACACATTTCACACATTGTCACCGAACACCGCCGACAAGTGCATCACGCGTCGGCTGCACTGTCCATGCGGCCGCGCTCTTCACGGTCATATGGAGGGCTGTCAATAAGCTTTTATGGTTCAATTTAGACATGCTTGGAGCTTTGCTTGGTATCACCGCGAGCGTCATTCATATGACTGTGCGTTTCACGGCTGAAGTGGCAAAAAAGTATGTATGAAGCAGGGGCAAGAGTTTTTGTATGTGCAACTCACGTCATTAAATAAACCGCTAAAAAATTTCTATGCCACCAGTTTTCTGCCCATAACGGTTAGTCGTTTGGAGAAGGCACAGGCTGTCATGGTGTGAGCCATTTTTCGTATGCAATAAATGTCTCTCTGTAAAAAATGTTCAGTGATTATTTGTAATCAAGAAGTACCTAATTACGATAATGACAGCTTGAACACAAAAAAATCTCTAATCATTTTAGTATATGGCCTTATTCAATTTTAATCGATTCTGTCATGTCAACTATCACAGTACTCCTTCATATAGAGAACTTGATTTGAAATGTATACTTGTTCTTTGTAGATAAAAAAAATGTTATGAAAAAAAAATATATATAGGCAACAAAGGCACACTGGGCAGAGGCCAGATGCCTTAGAAGTCAAATATCGGAAGACAAACCTAAGATCACAATTTTTAGGTGTTTTAGAAACGTGAAGAGAAGGTGAAGCTTCAAATGCAGTCTCCTCAATACTGCTTTTTTTTTTTGCATTATGCTCAGCTCGGGGAGCAGATATCTCTGCAACCACTGCACAGATTTTGATTCCGTTTGTTTTGTACTGCTCCTTGAACTGTGATCAGGAGGCTGCGATCTTAGTTATGTATTTTACTCCCTAAAGAATTTTTCGTAGGGTTTCTTGTTTGTAGTGCAAGTGTGCTCATTGCAGTGTCGCTGGAGAAAATGTTAATTACAAAATTTAGTGTTGCAAAAAAATTATTATGAAAATGCAGCACCTTTAGCATACATTTGGCATACATTTTCCATAAATTTTTATGGAAGCACTCTGAGGCTATTTTCAGTGTCTGTGCCAATTTTCATCAACATCCAACAAGAAACAAGAAAGTTCGTTTCGAAAGGCACGTCCCTCTTTAACAGATTTCACAAGTCATCACTTCAATTCTACCAAAAGTCAAATCATGTTACTATTCAAAGTTGTTCCCACCTCCTTTGATATAAAAGAATGGCATTTACACAGGCCTTGTGTCAATTAAAAAAAATATATATTTATATATATATATATATACAGTCAAACCTCAATATATCGAACACGGATATATCAAATTATTGCCTATATCGAACGGTTCCTATAACACGCGGGAAATTGCATGCAGTATTGATTTTTTATTTCGAACAAAGTTTGACGTATAATGGATATATCAAACTCAGCCACCCCAAACCGCCCGCGCTCCATTGACAGGCGGCGAGCTTTCCCGCAACTCTCGAATGTAGCGGTAGAGCGGCGGGCGTTTACGAATGCTGCACACATCGATGGCGCCGAGAGCGCCACTTTAACGTAGCGGCGTACGCGTGCCGTAGCCTTGCGGTAGAGGTTCTTGAATGAGGAAAGTAAAGAGAAAAGCGCGGAGCTGTTATTATCTTTCAATACGAAGGCACCGACACGGCTTCGCGAGGGGGAAGGGGGAGTGGGAGGTAAAGATTGAGGAGGAAAGTATAGCAGGGAAAGGACGCAGACGACTGTCTCGGACGCGGCCCGCGCTGCCGCCGGGAAAGGGAAAGCAGTCAGGCGAGCCGGCATGGGCGCGCCATGTGCGCGCTTTACACCCAGACTCACGCCGCAGCCTCGCAGCTTGCAGTCGTTGCAGTCTCTATGGTGTCAACGGCACACTGCGCACTTGTTGCAAGCTCCTCCCCCGTAGCATCGGCAGGCATCGGTCGTGCTCGCAGTGTTCGTGCGTTCGGAGTTAGGCCTGTCGCGTGCTGTGGCGGGCGACAGCGCGCGACAGGCCTAACTCCGAACGGCGGAGCTCACGGATGTGGAGATTGTCGCCGAAGCTACTGCTGAGCAGCCAAATGAAGACTCTGCCGAGGTGGATCCCTCAAGCGCTGATGGTGCCCCGCTCCCCACATCGGCTGAGGTCGTAGCTGCCTTGGCCCTTGTGCGCCGCCACTGCGGCGCGATTGAAGGCACCGGCCTATCACTTATGGATCGCCTGGGCTATATTGAGGAGGCAGTCGTCAAACACACCATGGCCAACAAAAAGCAGGCTACTCTTCTTCAATATTTAAAATCTACACAATAAATACTATGTTTGAATCTTCAAGTGAGTATTTACTGCACCACGCTTGAACGGTTCGTTGGTTGTTTTCAGCAAGCTGTTGACGCAATTTTTTCGTGATTTTCTTATATCGAATTCTGGATATATCGAACTACTTCGCGATCGTCGCGCCGTTCGATATATCGAGGTTCGACTGTGTGTGCATATATATATATATATATATATATATATATAGTGCAGGTTAGTTACATCATTTTTCTTTATAACATATGATATATACTATTCATATTCGATTCCAAATTGTTCTACCAAAATCACTATTTGCTTCTAACCTGAATTTCACTATTTGCTCAAGCCTAGACTTAGAGCGTAAGCCAGTAAACAGCTTCATTTAACCTTGAAGTGAGACTTTGCAACAGCACAAAATTTACTTGTGTAGATGTTTTCACAGCTTTGCACTCATTCACTGCTGTGAAACCACTTTTACATGAAATCACATGCGTACTTATTAACGCCTATTCGTTTATTTCGAATCGTTCGAAATTTTGAAAATTTCAATTTCAGTCGCAGTGAATTTGACTACTGTAATATCTGTTCAAATATTTCAACCATTCGAATATTTGCACGAGCCGACATGCCAAGCACTTAGTGTGCTGCATCATTGCACGTGAGGCTGCAAGCAACGGGAGTTTGGTTGCACCGTTTGCACCATTTTGTTGCATTCCGATCTCTCTGTGCCTTGCTGCGCCCTTTCGAGTGTAGCGTGCACCAGCTGTGCCTAAGTTCACTATTCCACCTGCTGATATGGCAGTGGAGTTTTTCTGGCCCAGCATATTTTTGGTCAGGCTCAGGGAGAGCTGTGCACCTCTCGCTGTATTCAAACGATGTGCTTTTTGTAATTGTGTACAGCCAAACAAACATCTCTCAAAGCCTTCATGATTGGAAGTTTACCATGTTGTCAATAGTCTGGTGCTATTTTGAATTTACTTCAATGGACCTCTATGCACTATCTTTTTTCATCAACTGTGTTCGATCTAAGGTTTTCGATGAAGTTGTATGGCCATACTGATTTTATCAGGTGTTAGGTCCCTGTCCTATTCATTTTGTCTTGTGCATCGGTCATGTTTGCAGTTTGGCTTTTCATTTTGTCTCCTGTGCACAAACATTGAAATGCATGCCTGTCTTCACGTCGTTCCAGGTGCGAAGCGTGTCCTCACGGGCCCTGGGTGCGATGATCAAGGGCATGGGCGAGACGTGCTTTGAAGACCTCATACCTTGGCTCATGCAGACGCTCACCTCGGAGTCCTCGCCCGTCGATAGGTCAGGAGCAGCACAAGGTGCGTGTGTTTGATTCACTACAGTCATACTTATTCATTTCTGGACTGACACGCATGGTAAAAACACCCACAGCGGTATACCTTATAATTAGATTGAAGTTAGGGCACGTACTACTTTGATAGTTATCGATATTAACTTTCTCTTTATTCTGTGGTGGTGTAGGCCTGAGTGAAGTGCTCGGAGGCCTGGGTGTGGAGAAACTACAAACACTGATGCCGGAGATCATCTCGACGGCCGAACGGACAGACATAGCACCGCATGTCAAGGACGGCTACGTGATGATGTTCATCTACCTACCAGGCGTATTCCAGAAGGAGTTCACTCCCTACATTTCACAAATCATCAACCCCATTCTCAAGGTCAGTCTAGCTTTTCAACCCGTTCTTCACTGCACTTAAACCAGAATATAATGAAATTGAGAAGCGCCCTGCTGCGGTGGTCTAGTGGCTAAGGTACTCGGCTGCTGACCTACAGGTCGCGGGTTTGAATCCCGGCTGCGGCGGCTGCATTTCCGATGGAGGCGGAAATGTTGTAGGCCCGTGTGCTCAGATTTGGGTGCATGTTAAAGAACACCAGGTGTTCGAAATTTTCTGAGCCCTCCACTACGGCGTTTCTCATAATCATATGGTTGTTTTAGGACGTTAAACCCCACATATCAATTAAGTCAATCAAATTGAGAAGCCAAAACCATTTATTTACATTTTGAGTAATACAAGAAAAAGAAACGCACTTTATTTACACACAGGAATAAAAACAAATGCACGAATCCTACTTCCAAATCACTAGTATGCTCCTGGGGCATAGTCACTTTGACCCACACCTTTATGTCGTTTCTGTAATGTCCACTGCACACTGTCTACCGATACACGTTTTCATGCAGATGAAACTGATCGCTGCTGGTCTTTTTCTTGTATGCGTTCCATGCTTCGATGACCAGGGTTCATGCATACCGTATTTACTCGCGTAATCCTCGCACTCGCATAATTCTCGCACCCCACATCGCCCAAGAAAAAATACGATTTTTTTGTCCTCGAGTAATTATCGCACCCCTGAAAACTGCCGCAATAATGTCGTCTATTCGTTCCAGCCATTGATCATGATAGCGCGCACCATCTGGCGCCATTTCTTAAGCATCACAAGCGTACTATTGCACTGAGGTCGCGGTCGTGCTGAGATTCAATCCAATCCAAGCCAAGCCGAAGTGGCTCGTGTGCTTTGTGGCGTGCTTTGTATGTTGTGTCGATAATCTTGGCACGTTATGGGGCGATACTGAAGCCACACGGCTGCTTCAAGTTGCAAGTGATAGATCATGTGCTAAACAACGGCAACAGGGCCGCCGGTAGGCGCTTCGGAGCCTACGAGTTTTGTGTTCGCTACTGGTGACGGCAGCTGAAAGCCACCAAGACGCGTTGGGCCTGCGGTGTGCCTAAAACTGGGATTGATGGTAAACTTTATTTCTTCAGAAGGAAACTGCGGACGATTCTGTTAAATCGCCATCAGCCCAATACTGACGTCCTACGCTTACCTTTTGAGGGCTCCTGTTGAGCGCCGACTGCTACCGCTACGCTCGCAACGTCCACAAGCTTCGCGTATGGTATTCTGATTCTCGACTATTTGCTTCCACTTTTCGTGTCTCAAATAAATCTTGCCTCATGTTGAACCTCTGCTTTTATTGTTGAGGTAAGTTCTAATTAGTACTTCTTAAAGCTTGCTGTAAGTTCCTGGTGTGAGAATCCCGATTTGCGGCCACTTCGTTTTCTTTTTCGCTCTCTGCGTTATGGAAAGTTTTCCCCACGTAATTCTCGCACCCTCCAACTTTGCATCGGATTTCTGGCAAAAAAAGTGCAAGGATTATGCGAGTAAATACGGTAGTTCGTGCAAAATTTCTGCTGAAATTTTTTCACGGCCTGCATTTAAAATCATGACAGCTTCACCCATAGCTGCCTCAACGTTGAAGAGAGATGCGTGCTGCTTTTTTGGGGCGAGTGACTACACTAGCAAATGCGGGCTCTCATTGCTGTTTTGTGTTTTGCCAAGCACACACCGTTTGAGAAGCTTGCTCTCAGGTAAGCGCTGGTATATGGGAAGCAGAGTCTTTGCCACATTATCAGAGAGATTGTAATGATGTCCTGGTGCTGGCTCTCCTTTAGCTTTCGCAGCATTTTGCAGGAATCTAGACCAGTTGAGCAAAAGCTGTGATGTTATATGGTAATCGCCATCACAGTCTTTTCCACTGCCTCAATGTCATTACTATGAGACTTTATTGCCCAGCCATAGGAAGAGCTGACTTTGTTTACAAGATCCTCCCTCATCCTCCCCTTTCCACTTAGAGTTTATGGCATCACACCCCTTCTGTTTTGCCAGCAGATTGCAAAAGGCTGTTTCCATACACTTCTGTACGTAGTTGACACACTCCTTCTTTTGGATGTCGCCCCGCCGCGGTGGTCTAGTGGCTAAGGTACTCGGCTATTGACCCTTAGGTCGCGGGTTCGAATCTCGGCTGCGGCGGCTGCATTTCCGATGGAGGTGGAAATGTAGGCCCGTGGGATCAGATTTGGGTGCACGTTAAAGAACCCCAGGCGGTCGAAATTTTCGGAGCCCTCCACTACAGTGTCTCTCATAATCATATGGTCGTTTTGGGACGTTAAACCCCACATATCAATCGATCCTTTGGATGTCATTGTATCCGTACACTTCCGCCTCCTTGAAAGCGAGGACGTCCTGCTGTCGCCGTCCGACAAAACAGTTGTGTCATTTTAGTAGCATAAAGCCAGCCTCAACTTCTATTCCACCCAACTTCTTGTCAGAGCTTTCTTGGCATTTGTGTGTGGCCTTCCACTCTTCATAGTCGGGGTCGTCTGGTTTAGGTTCGCGTTCGCAACCAGCGCAGAAGTTGCTCAGTACAACGTGGTCTAAGAGCCATAGTTCAATTACAGCGCCAATTGCAATGTGCGACGTATGGACGCGGGTCATCCATGACCCGTCGAAGGACTCGGCGATATTGCCGGGATTATCCACATCGAGCTCACTGTATAATATCCTCACCGCTCCCACGCTCTTTTTTCTAGCGTCTCAACCACACGCATTGCGGCCAGCGTCAACTTCGTCTTCTGGTAAGCCTGCCACGTTTTCGTGTCGAGTTCGCGATGAGAGATATTCATAGTGGTGAAAATATCATTCAGGGCCGTTTGTCTGTTACCAGTAGTTTGCATTGTGTGCGTGGCCAGCATGTTTATGGCAAACGGATTCACTTTTTTGCCCCTGTTCAGGAGCGGCGAGCTCCACACCGTGGCTTTATCACCGCAGTTGCTGCGATAAAGCACCAGTTTCACGGCAAGGCCATATTCTCGCTCGTCCTGGTGAATTTGGCCTTCTCCACCACATACCTTGCATTTCATGTGGTTGAGAGGTGTGTTTACTAAATCCAAGCACACCACAGCGAAACAGGCCTTGTCTAGCGGGCTGGCACCAGAGTCATTCGCAGCCAGCAAGTAAGCTTTTCGTTGCATTGCGGCTGTCGATGCTAGCTCTTTCACTTTTTCTTCGGCCCTATTTTGCCACTCATCCATATCTGGAGGTGCCAAGATAACAGTGTCACGACGAACGCGGCCGGCGTCGGGGTAGAGGTTGGGCTCTCGTTGTCGGGCTTGTTAGGCCTACTCCTGTAGGACGCTCCTCGATCCGCTCGGCGGCTCTGTCGTTCGATGCGTGCGGTCATACATCTTCGGCATCCACATCATCCTCGACGTCACTCGATCATTCCGCGAGTTTTCAAATGTTTAATATATGCGACTTTTTTCTCTTGCCGTACTTATGGTCGCGTGGAAACTTTCTCGGTGGCATCGTTGCTGCAATGCAGGTGGCAGGAGAAAATGGCAGCCGCCTCAACGACGCACTCGCGCTTGCAGATGATGCTCTCAGCTAATCGCCTAGCTAGCTTATGTCACTTGTCTGGAACAACCAATAGGTACAGGCTAGGTACAGCAATAGGTTTCGCGCTGTTTTTCTACTGACACAAGTGAATGAAGGAAGGGGCTAGTGTGCAAAAATTCAAGACAAACGGCTGCTCTTTCAAATGAGACCAATGTAGTGGCATGGGAAGCTGTGGCACGAGAGCTGTGCATTTTTGAAGTTGTGCGATTTTTGGTTTAGATCTACACAAATTGATGCAAAAAAGTCATATTGGGGTGGAAATAGGTGTGTTTTAGATATGACACTTTTCGGATAAGGACGGTAATGAGTAGATTCCGAAAATAGCATTTTCGAAAATTTTTTTCACGACTTTTGGGTGCCAAAGACCTGTGTCAAAGTTAGTAGAAACCTGAGTTTTGTTGTAGAGTTCTCTGGCTATTCAATGGCCTAAAAGTTTGTTTATTGCTGTTCATCTTTCATGTAGCTTTCTTGTAAGGTGCACTTGTCTAATCGCGTAGGGTTTCCGATTTATGAAACTACGTGCCTGTAAATTAAATACAATATAGTGTTACTTCATTTGCTTACAATATGTAATTATACAGTCAAACCTCAATATATCGAACATGGATATATCGAATTATTGCCTATATGGAACGGTTTCTATATCACGCGGGAAATCGCATGCATTATTGATTTTTTATTTCGAACAAAGTTTGACATATAATGGATATATCGAACTCAGCCACCCCAAACCGCTCGCGCTCCATTGACAGGCGGCGAGCTTTCCCGCAACTCTCGAAAGTAGTGGTAGAGCGGCGGGCGTTTACGAATGCTGCACACATCGATGGCGCCGAGAGCGCCACTTTAACGTAGTGGCGTACGCGTGCCGCAGCCTTGCGGTAGAGGTTCTTAAATGAGGAAAGAGAAGAGAAAAGCGCGGAGCTGTTATCGTCTTTCAATACGAAGGCACCGACACGGCTTCACGCGGGGGGGGGGGGGGGGGGGAGGTAAAGATTGAGGAGGAAAGTATAGAAGGGAAAGGACGCAGACGACTGTCTCGGACGCGGCCCGCGCTGCCGCCGGGAAAGGGAAAGCAGTCAGGCGAGCCGGCATGGGCGCGCCATGTGCGCGCTTTACACCCGGACTCACGCCGCAGCCTTGCAGCTTGCAGTTGTTGCAGTCTCTATGGTGTCAACGGCACACTGCGCACTTGTTGCAAGCTCCTCCCCCGTAGCACCGGCAGGCATCGGTCGTTGTGCTCGCAGTGTTCGTGCGTTCGGAGCTCACGGCGGAGCTCACGGATGTGGATGTGTCGCCGAAGCTACTGCTGAGCAGCCAAATGAAGACTCTGCCGAGGTGGATCCCGCAACCGCTGATGGTGCCTCGCTCCCGACATCAGCTGAAGGCGTAGCTGCCTCGGCCCTTGTGCGCCGCCACTGCGGCGCGATTGAAGGCACCGGCCTATCACTTATGGATCGCCTGGACTATATTGAGGACGCAGTCGTCAAACACGCCATGGCCAACAAAAAGCAGGCTACTCTTTTTCAATATTTTAAACGAACACAATAAATACTATGTTTGAATCTTCAAGTGCATATTTACTGCACCACGCTTGAACGGTTCGTTGGTTGTTTTCAGCAAGCTGTTGATGCATTTTTTTCGTGATTTTTTTATATCGTATTCTGGATATATCAAACTATTTCGCGATCGCCGCGCCGTTCGATATACCGAGGTTCGACTGTAGAAGGGATCATGTGCATTTAGAAGTTACTCGCAAGGACTCAGTGCAATGCTACGTTCAATATGCTGGATATTCAGGAAAACCGTTTTGTATGCATCTAGTGCAGTGTCATACTTTTCACAAGATGATTCAAAAAGTTGAAACGGTTTATTACAGCAAACAATTCTGTACGTCCAGTTGCATCTATTTTGCTTGAGGTACTGTGATAGCTGTCTTTAAAGTAAGGGGTGTTTCTCAAAATTTTTTTTATTTAAAGCAAATCCTTGAAGTACATTCAAATAATTGCAAAAACCAATCACATTAGCATTCTAAATTGCTTGACTTTTTGCATTATGTTAGCAACTTTCATGCTTATGTTTTGGTCCAATCAATGGACAGGTACAGTCGAACTCCGCTACAACGAACGCCACATCAAGGAAATTTCTGCTACAACGAAAGATTCACGATTTCCCGTCAGCAGTCCATAGGAGTCAATGCGTAAATATTGTCACCACAACTAACACTTTTTCTTCGATCGTCCCGCTTCAACGAAATTTTACGATGCGATTCTAGGCTCAGATATTTATTGCTATGCAGTAAATCCAATATTTAACATTTTGATGCATTTTCAGAGCCTGAAAATGCATTAAGGAAGTCACCACCAGAAACAGCTGCTGTTCAGCAAGCATGGGCACGCCACCATTGCTCGACAGCGATGGCAGTGAGGCTGCCCTGGCCCTGCTTTTGCCACTGGCTTGCTTTTGAGCCACAAACGATCCGAAGCTGGAGCTCAGTCGCTCAGTAATGGTTTCCTTCACGCAGCTTCTGGGTGCAACCGGGGAACATTGCCTTTTCCGATTGCGATGCTTATCATTATGTTCGCGCTTGGCCTGTGTGGTAACTAATCAGAGTGGCTGTTCGTCCGCATTATCAACAAAATCGGCTAGTAGCGAGTGATGGGTGATAAGAATGGCATAGAATAATGCAAAATTCGCGGTTCCACGATACCCTGCCTCCAACTTGGCGTTGTCGGATAGTTTTGACGGTAGACCGCTGCTGGTGTTAACGTTTGGTTCGTTCACGAAGGTGGTTTTAGGCGTTGTTTCAGCGTGCTTTTCACCATGGCCTCGCTATGCATGGGTGAGAATGACGTCGGGACGCTGCTGGGAAAGAATAGGAAGCAGCGGACATTTTTGGAATTTTGGGAAGAAACGTTCCTTTGTTTTGCTAGCTCAAATCGGCTATATTTTTTCGATTTCACTACAACGAAATATTCACTTCAACGAAATTTGTTCTGCGCCCCGTCAGTTTCGTTGTAGCAGTGTTCGGCTGTTATGCAAAACTATGATTTGGTTCTTGTTGAAATCGATGCAGTTCTGACAATTAGAAGGGCTCAGTAGAGCTTTAGTGCCTTGTAAACTTTTGTTGTGACCCAGTCGGTATACTGCATTGCCCCAAAGGCCGCACTAGACGTCCCATTTCATCAGGAGGTCTAGCGCAGCCTTTGACTAAAATAGTTGTGCAACTTTTGAAAGGAATAAAATTTCAAGCACATTTCACAGTACAGAAGATGACTTCATGCTTAGCTGATTGCTTTCAAACTTAGTCTCACTTTCGCAAGACTGCTCTTCTTGGTATGGAATCCTGCCAGCATGTAGCTGACAGCACTCTTAGCACTGTGCAAGGGATGCGAGCTTGGCTTGGCACCAGAAACACAGTCCCAGGCATATTTGGTGGCTGTCATGTAAACTTTTGCTGAAACTATCTTTGTTTGTGTTTGCCCAAGAATACCACCCAAAGAATGTCCCTCCTGAAGGGACGACAGGGGAAATCGCTTCCCAATTGAGATTTCCTGAATAAAATTTTCACTGTCATATGTTACATATCGGTTTAATTCAATTTTTATTTCAAGTGCTGGTAACTCTCCCACTTGTGTTAGAATCGCAGTCATGTTGCATTCTCCTAAATATGATAAATAACATAGGCTGTCCACTGCATTAAATTAATATTTGAGATTGGGCCAGTCGGCAATCCATCTTCAGCAACAGTTCAGGAGTGTGCAATGGACAAGCGGAGGGGGGAACGGTGCTCGTCATTGTTTCATTCTGTGTCCGTTGCCCACCTCGGCACTGTTGTTGAAGACAAGGAGGTTATCTCGTTGTAGTGTGCTTACACCGTCTGCATATTGCACGTTACAGGCGCTGGCAGATGAGAACGAGTACGTGCGAGAGACGGCACTGAGAGCGGGCCAGCGCATGGTGAACATGTACGCAGACACGGCCATGACCCTGCTGCTGCCTCAGTTAGAGAAGGGGCTCTTCGACGACAACTGGCGCATCCGCTACTCTTCGGTGCAGCTCCTGGGCGATCTCCTTTACAAAATCTCAGGTGAGCCGGCTTGCCTCTTATGTGTCCGTGCTCGTCAATGGCTTTGTGGACCCGAAGATTCGGAATGATATATTTCACGCCTGGTATACTTCCGTCTCATATTTTTCTGTAGAACCCTTGCTGATAATGATTTTTGGCTGATTGGGAAATAAAATGCAGATGCCAAAAAAACAGTACCAATTCAAAAAAAAGTTGCAGTGGAATGCTCACAATCTTATTTTATTTATTTTTCAATATACTGCAGACCTTCTCTTCTCGGTTCAAGCAGGACTGGTAGAACATAAAATAATTACACTTGTGTCAAAACTGACACTCCAATGAAACAGTTCAATTCTAGACAGCATGTTAACAACAGTTTCAAAGATACATCGTTTAAATCACATGCGAGTACAATACAAAAATGTAATACACTATTTTTCTACAGTTAAATCTTGGTATAACAAACTTCAGGGGGCCGTGCTATTAGTTCATTTTTTTTAAAGGTCGTTGTAGCAGCACAGAACTCAACCATTACTGCCAAGACATCCAGGTCACTTGGATACCTGCGCCGGAACTTGTGGAACTCACCAAGCAGTCTAAGACAACTCACCTATGAAACCATCGTTCGTCCGCAATTAGAATATGCTTCACCAGTGTGGTCTCCTCATCAAATCTACCTGACTAACAAGCTTGAGTCTGTACAAAACAGAGCCGCTCGTTTCATTACTTCCAACTACAGCCCACATTCCAGCATAACGCAGATCAAACATGACATACCGCTTGTGCCATTAATTGTACGTCGTTCCATTTCTCTTTTATCTTTATTCCATAAATATCGCTATAGCATCAGGCCATCTCCCTTACCACTGGAAGCGCCTTCACGCATATCACGCCGCTTGCATAATCAATATAGCATTAAACGCATCAGTGGACGAACTAACACTTTCAATTCATCAGCACTTCCCCGAGCCATTGTTCTATGGAATGATCTTCCCGACAATATTGCATCTATCAGTAACCATCAAGCATTTCTTGACCAATTGCGTAAGCATTTCTTGAAATAGTATCATGTCGTCACCATTGCTTTTTATTTCACGAATTCTTCCGCCATTCTTTCCTTTGCGAGTGTGTGTGATTGGCGAAAAATCGCTTCATGGAATAAGAAATGCTGTTTCTCTGTTTGAAAATGCTTTGCACTGTACATATGTATGTGTGTGCATATATATATACATATATTTTTTTTCAATTTTGTTTCCCTGTATTTATTAATGCATTTTTCTCTGATATTTTTTGTTTCGTACTTGCTCCCCTTACTCAATGCCCTATCGGGCCCTGTAAGGTATCATGAATAAATAAATAAATAAACCATAAATACTTAATTTCCACCGACCAAAACGACTTACTTTTACAACGGTGCGTCCTTGAACTTTTTTCCAGAGAAAAACAAAAAACAAATGCACAAGTGAACACCAAAAAATGCAAGTTTACTGTAAAGAAGTCTGTGGTTTTTTATTTTTATTTATTTAGTTTTTACGCTTGCAGCACAAGCTTTGAAGCTCGAAAGCCTCCAGCTCATCCACGTTCCTGTGGTGCGATTCGGTTCTTTGGTCACAACAGTCTGCTTTTTGCCTTTCAATTGCCGAAGAATATCTACTTTCTCGCTTAGCGAAAACTGCTTCCGCTTCTTCGTCGTAAGCAGAGATGAACTCATTTGTAGTAGCACTGCAGCATGAATGCAGACTTGCTTTGCGAACGCGATAAGTAATTACCGAAAATAGATGGACACGACTGACACACAAGGCCTCCTAGAGCACATGTACAAGTGACAAGTAAAGAAAAACCCGAAGCGTCACGGCTGTCATCGCCTCTTCCGAAGAAAAAAAGTGCCAAAAAAGAATATTCCTCGCATCTCATTTTCTGCTTCCTCGCTGTCTCAGGTTTTCCGCCCCCATGCTTCCTGCTCCGCGACTCCCACTCTGCCTCGCTGACCTTGCCCTCCCGTGTTGCCCTCGCCCCTTGCCTCTGCTCTTGTAAACCTGCAGCGTTGGCATTTCAACAAAAAGAAAGAAAAGAAAGTCGCCCTTTGGATTTTTTCCCCCCCTCCGCGCCGTCGCGCGTCTTGCGAGAAGCAAGGCGTTCGTTTGCTTTGTCGTCTGCTTGCGTACCGCTCCGGTGGTCGGGAAGGATTTCAGAACATGAGTTCGTAGTACTGAGGCATTGTTAATATAATGCAGAACTAAATTAACACTTGTTATTCTGAAAAGTTCGGCATTCTGAAGTACGTAATAGTGAAATAATTTTACATTGGAACTATTTGCAGTCGGTACGGGATTTTTAAAAATTTCGTTATCTGAAGAGTTTGTTATTGTGGGGTTCGTTCTACCGAGATTTCACTGGACTATTTTGCAGTTCACCGCAGATAATGGTGCGCTATTTCAGCATACTATTGAGGATGGAAAAGCAGGCTTTATAATGAATGTCGTTGTGACTTTTAGGCAACTGTGTTGTCTTGTTGAATTTCAATGCTTACTCTTGAATAAACACCGTGCAGTATTGGCCGGGGCATTTTTTTCGCAGCTGACTTGTACAAAGTGTTTTTCTCCTTTTTTTTTTTTCAAGCATTTGCAGTGCCATTGACACTTGCCATGATACTTGGCTCCACATTTATTCTAGATGAATCTAGTGCCTTTACAGTTGATGAGGAGGTTAGCCTTTACAGTTGATAAGGAGGTTAGGACGGTGAGTCATCACCTCAAGTGGCAGTTACCACTGAGTAGAGACTACAAATACCAAAGACTGTGCTTTTTCCTGCTGCAAGTGCTGGATGCAATTTTGCAAGCCAGAAACATGCTATAGTTGGCGTATTTCATACACCAGCTGACCAAAAGCGCAATGTGCTAAGTGGATCTGTCGGCAAGGATTCTTTTTAATGCCAAGGCACCTTTTTCAAAATCTTATTGTGTTTTGTGCCGTGTCACATATTTCTTATAATCTGTAAAATCATACCAAAATATCTCCTTGCTGCCAGTTGTAACGTACTTGTGGCATACAGGAGACCTACCAGTCCACGGGATTGTTGATTCATGACTGCAAAATAGATTTGGCTTGGTGCGTTCTGCATCACTATTCTTGGCCAATTGCTTTTTCCCAGATTTGTCTGACTGTGCGAGACACACACTGGTGTCTACAAACGACAGCTCTTGTTGTACATTTTGTACGTTGCTGAGCACACTTGCTTGGTGTGATTTTAAAAATGCTGCCAGAGTTAACCACTAAGTGTTTGGCATTGAGTTGCACGAAATCTTGCGTATGCGTGATTCCTCTTATTCACAAGGCAAATTTACAAAAGTGTACCTCACCATACATTTTGCCAGATATACCTTGTAATTTTTGAAGGTAACTCACGTGCTTTTTTTCTTTAGGTAAGATTTTAATTCAGTCCTTGGCTCTACTTTTTTTCTGGCTTCAGGTGTGACCGGAAAGATGACCACAGAAACTGCGCATGAGGATGACAACTTTGGCACAGAACAGTCACATAAGGTGAGGGAGATTGCATAGTTTCAGTTGTGGGGTAGGTGAGACACTAAAAGAGCACACACTTGTAAAACTAGCCATAGGTGCCTTTTCTAGTCCCTCTCTAGTTGACAGTAAGCTACACTTAGCATAATATTAGCTTTATTGGCAATTATTCTTAGATCTTATGTACAATTGTTGCTAGCTTCTTCACTATTTCGCAGACCTCAATAATGTGCTTTTGAAGAAGTTCTTTGCACTTGAAGCATGCGATATGGTTCTTTGCTCTTACTGGCAACAGACATGAATGATTGGTTGATATGTGGGGTTTAACATCTCAAAACCACCATATGATTATGAGACAGACATGGAACAAACGAAGTTTTTGTAAACTGCACATTTTTAGACATGCCTCCTAAAGAATCATATTAGTGCCTTCACAGAAGTCAGTCTTGTTGCAGTGCAGTCGAAACCACTTATCATCATCATAATCATCATCAGCCTGACTATGCCCACTGCAGGACAAAGGCCTCTCCCATGTTCTGCCAGTCAGCTCGGTCCTGTGCTCGCTGCTGCCAATTTACACCTGCAAACTTCGTAATCTCATCTACCCACCTAACCTTCTCTCTCTCTCCCTAACCCGCTTGCCTTTTCTGGGAATCCAGTTTGTTCCCCTAATGACCAGCGGTTATTCTGTCTACGCTCTACATGCCCGGCCCATGTCCATTTCCTCTTCTTGATTTCAACTATGATATCCTTAATCCCAATTTGTTCCCTAATCCACTCTGCTCTCTTCTTGTCTCTTAAGGTTACACTTGCCATTTCCCTTTCTATTGCTCGCTGCGTCGTCCTCAATTTAAGCTGAACCCTCTTTGTATGTCTCGAAGTTTCTGCTCCGTAGCTAAGTACCGGCAAGATGCAGCTGTTATATACCTTCCTCTGTAGTGATAGTGGCAATTTAGCTGTCATGATTTTAGAGTGCTTGCCAAATGTGCTCCACCCCGTTCTTATTCTTCTAGTTACTTCAATCTCGTGGTTCGGCTACGCGATTATTACTTGTCCTAAATAGACATATTCTTTAAAAGGCCACTCACCAGGCCCAGACAGTGGAAGTTGTTGGGTGTTCGATGAGGAACAATCTGCCACAAAAATTTTTTTAATCAGTTCATCACGAGCAGAGAAAACGGGTTTCTTGAAGCAATGCAAAAGGAGGATAAGAGGAGGCAAGCTCGAAACCCTTGCCACTTCTCCGCGTAGCCTTCGCAAGCCAAATCTTTTCCCCACCCTTTCAGGCATCCGACCAAGAGGTCACGTACGCGTGATGAGCCTAAACAAGTCCGACCCCCGAGCACGCAAGCGGCGTTGCTTTGTTGACCAGCGTTATTTTGTGGTCTTCTGCCTGTTTCTGCAGGATGGTTTGGAAATGCTGGCTTAGACGCGGTAGAATAGATGAGCACAATGAGTGCGCGAGCGCATAGGAGCATTCCACGGAGGTCGTCTGCTCAATGCGCTGACCGCGAATACACTAACGCATGCGAAACGCCGACACATTAGCTCCCCATCTCGTTGCAATTCACGGGAAAAAAATAGAAAAAAGACGCTCACATTCCCTTATTGCGTCTCTATATTTATCTAGAGCTTTATTACTCTCTTAGAGCAACAAATTAATAAACTACGCATGCCGTGTTAAATAATTTTCCTCATGTCACGCGCCACTGTTTGCAACGTCAGAGCAGAGTCATCTACGTAGAGGACCAACGTCACTGCATTGCTGTGTACGTAAGGCCATTCATACACGCACGTCATGTCCTCATTCTCTGGGCACGCACCCGCATAAAGAAGGGGGAGCAGCGTTCATCTTGAAATTCGGCTAATTTTCGTGGCACGCAGCATTGCAAATTTTGGCAGATGTGATCATGAACGCCTTGTCTACGCGTTGCGCTTGTTGGCTCAAAATTGTCAAACCTGGTGAGTGGCCCTTTAACAACTTCCAGCGCCTCTCCACGTATCACAAAGTGCTGTTTTCTGCTGAGATTGTTGCACATTACTTTCATTATTTTCAGGCCTACTTTTCTGCTTTCCATGTTCATTGCAGTAGTCACAAACTGTAATTTGTTCCCTGATTTATTCATCAAGGCAATGTCATCAGCGAATCGCAGGTTACTAAGGTACTCTCCATTAACTCTTATCCCTAACTCTTCCCAGTCTAGGGTCCTGAAAACCTTGTGTAAGTGTGCAGTAAATCATCACATTGGGGAGATCGTATCCCTCTGTTTTACACCCTTGATTGGTATTCTGTGGCTTTCTTAAGGAAGCACTTTGGTAGCAGTTGATCCCCTGTAGATTTCTTCCAGTATGCTTATATATGCTTCATCGACACTCTCATTCCGCAGTGTCTGCATTACTGCTGATACAGTAAAAGCTCGTTAATTCGACAACCGTTAATTTGAAAATTTGGATAATTTGGACGGCTCTATTGGTCCCGGCCAAAGTGCATGTTAATCTATGGGACCAAACCTTCGTTATTTCGTCGGAATTCGGCTCCGCACCACTTAATTCGGACAAATGCTGACGGCTGCTGCTACACAAAAGTGTGATAAAGCAGCACTGGCACCACTGGAGTGAAACCGAAACATGAGTGGCATTCGCCATCATCATCAACTAGTAAGGGCGATCGCAGCGTCACCGAACGTCGACGTTTTCTTTCTTCTCCACTCAGCACCTCCCTTGTGTTGTCGTGTCGGAACCATCTCTTCTTGCGGAGTTCTCTTTTTCTTCCATTGTGACCGTATTTGCATGCCACCACCATCGTGTGCTACAATGATGGCAACGCCGAAAAAGCGGCAGAACTACGACACGAAGAACTTGGCGACTAAAGTGGAAATTTTGGAAGCACTGAAGAACGGCGAATCGCAACAGCAGGTTATGACCATGTACAACGTGAAGCGGAGCACGTTGGGAACGTACGTGAAAAATGAACAACAGATTCGACAAGCCTTCGAAAGCGAGAAGTTTCATGCCTCTAGAAAGCGGTTGCAAACCGCAGCTCATCCCCAGCTCGAAGAAGCTTTGCTCCGGTGGATTACTGACTGTCGCAACGCGCATCTGCCTTTGAGCGGACCTCTCAGCATGGCGCAAGGTGAGAAGTACGCTGCAATGATGAACATTGAATCGTTCAAAGCGTCAGAAGGGTGGTTTGCGAGGTTTCGAGAGAGACACGAACTTGTCTTCAGGAGTGTGTGCGGCGAAAAGGCCAGTGTTGACGAAAGCGTGACCACCGAGTGGAGAAATGTGAAGCTGCTGGAGCACATCGCCACATATGAACCACGTGACGTGTTCAATGCAGATGAAACTGCTCTATTTTTCAGAGCTCTGCCCGACAAGACGGTGACTTTCAAAGGGGACGCGTGCATTGGTGGCAAGAAGTGCAAGCAAAGGATAACTGTGCTTCTTGCCACCAATATGACTGGCACGGAGCGCTTGCCACTACTTGTCGTCGGGAAGGCGCTTAAGCCACGTTGTTTTAAGAACGTCAAAAGCCTTCCTGTCGAGTACACAGCGAACAGGAAGGCATGGATGACATCGGACATTTTTCGCGGCTGGCTGCAACAGTTGGACCGGCACTTCACGTCGAAGGACCGCACGATAATTATGGTTGTTGACAACTGCAGTGCCCATAACTGTACAGTCGAACTGAAGAGCATCAAAGTAGTTTTTTTGCCGCCCAACACTACGTCTGCTCTTCAGCCGATGGACCAGGGTATCATTCACTACGTGAAGTCGAAGTACCGCAAGCACCTGCTAGAGCGAATGATCCTATGCTCAGAAGCTGGAAAGTCGTATCAAGTGGACTTACTCGGCGCAGTGCACATCATCGCCCATGTGTGGAAAAACACTCCGCCGCAAGTCATCGCCAACTGTTTTCGGCACAGCGGTTTTGTGAGGCCCGAGCATGCAGCAGTAGCTGACGATGGCATCGAGGAGGTGTCAGCCAAGTCTACCGACGATGACTGCCCGACTTTCGATGCTGTCCTTCCCACAGATGTGACCTTTCAGGACTACATCGCGATTGATCATGGTGTCGCCACGAGTGGTCTCCTGACCGATCAAGAGATTAATAATGATGTCACGGGCGCCCATGAAGACCACGATTCCGACGAAGAATCATGCGAGGAGATACAGCCGCGACCTCATCGCACCTCAGGGGAAGTCTCGGAGGCGCTGTTAATATTAGAGGACGCTTGCCTGAACACTCCCGACCGCTTGCGTGCGGTTGGCCATTTGGAACAGTTAAGAAAAATTGTGATGTCAGCCGGAATCTGCGCGAAAACGCAGACGACAATTACAAAATACTTCAACAATAAAGGTATGCTTGTGCAGCTTGATTTTAAATGTTGTTTTCCCTGTTCATTCGTTAATTCGGCATTCGATTAATTTGGACAGTTTTTCCGGTCCCGTGAAATCCGAATTAACGAGCTTTTACTGTATTTCTACTGAATCAAATGTCTTCTCGTAATTGTAAACCACTTATAACAATACTCATCAGCCAGGAAAAGTGCTACCATGGAACAGCAGTACTCAAGTGCTGCTGTTCTGTGGTAGCCTTCATCATAATCATTATGTATCTTTAGATAATTGATCATATGATATTCTGTCCCATACTGTACTGCCAGCAGTGCAATAATAATATAATGGTGACTCTGTAGTTTAGTAGACATTTTGCTTGTTCAGTTTCATAAAAATTTGCTAATGCAGAATATTTAAAGATGCTATGTTTTCACTTGCACACGCTGTCTGAAACTGACTGGCATCTTTTTTTCTCTGTCAGGCCATTATGATAGCCCTGGGTGAGGAGCGTCGCAACCGGGTGCTGGCCGGTCTGTACATGGGGCGCCTGGACACCTCGCTGATGGTGCGCCAGGCCTCTCTGCACGTGTGGAAAGTGGTGGTGACCAACACGCCCCGCACCCTGCGCGAGATCCTGCCCACTCTCTTCTCCCTGCTGCTGGGATTCCTGGCCAGCAGCAGCTACGACAAGCAGCAGGTAGGGGGCATCATTTAGAAGGACTCATAAAAGTTGAAGGAAAAAGCTTGCTCATCATTTCAACCTGCAATATACCCCGCGAATTAGAATATTGAAGAAACAAATTTTTGTATTGTGGATACAGTGATTCCATTCTTGTGCCAAAAAGCACTAAATCAGATTTACTGCGGAATCCTGATAATATCAGTAACAAGTGCGCCAAACTGCACAAAAGTCGCATTTGGGATGGTCTATCACCAACAATAGCCACGCCGGCGCATCAATACATGTGCACCTTGTTCTTGGGGCCACCAAAGTCACAATCGTGTACCTATTTTATTACGCAGAATAACTGGCGGTTGCACGTGCGTCCTAAAATTCACGATGCTGTGTTTAATGCCGACGCAACTCTGTTGTAAAAGTCCGCTTAAGGTGTATTCATACGAGCGAACGGAGGAGGAATTCTCACAGCGGACAGCGCATCACGTGACGTGCGCGTCATTGAAACGTGCCGTTCTCGCTTCATCCACTCTTCTCCGCTCACACCACAGATGGAAATGTGTCGCCACTATTTCGATCTCTCCGTTTGACAGTCGTCTGCTCTGGATCGAGAGGATTCGACGTCAAATCTGTCAGCATTGGTCGGATTGGTGGGACTAGGAAGCAGGCAGCCGGCTTAAAAGCCACGTGTTTTATACTCAGCGACAACTTTTCTTGGAACTGAAGGGAAAGCTACGGAGGTGGAACTTCTGCACATGTGCTTTTAAAGGGAGGGAGGTTTTAAAGGTTTTTAGGTACGTTGACAATTTTTTATTCTTTTAGATAAACAGGGTGACCTTACATCCCCTCATTTTATTTTAAGCGTTCTTATAAGACTAGGACGAGGGCTTTCCTTTACTGTTAAATTGTCTCAAGAAGCTTGTCTGCAGTTTTTAGCCTCACGTGAAACGATGAGCATCTTTGCTGGTCTTATCATTCTCGTGTTGAGAAGCAGCTGTTGCCGTACGATTCTGCCCACTCAAAGATTGTGAAGAGAGGCGTTGCGTCTCTTTGCTTGGAATCAGCGCTAAAGAGGTCGTGCCCACACAGCATGAAACTTGGTTTCCTCAATCAGGTGATCCGACTAGAGGCTGCTGGGTTCCCTCGATCGGTCATTACGGCCGTTGCTGAATCACTTCTGCAGAAGTTTAAACGTGGAACACAGGAAGCGATGACTGCTACCCAGCGCTTAAGGATTAGGCCACAAGTTGTGCCATATATTCATAAGGTCTCGCACAACCTCAAGAAAGTCGCGGCCAGGCATGGCGTACCGATGGTGTTTTCCGCACCAGAAAAAAATCGGAAGACTGTGCCAACGTGTGTGCGATAGGAAGAAGCGCGGCTGCCAAAAGAAACATGAGAGGGCCTTTGTTAAGTGTTCCATGAGGGTTGTGTACTCCATATCCTTATCCTGCGGAAAAGTGAACATTGGCCAAACCGAACGGTGTATTAATGACCGATTAAGGGAAGACGCCCAAAAATTAACAAAAAGAGATGACAAGTATGCGCACCTGGTTGCGCATGTCATCTTGTGTGGCTGTGACGCACGATTTTCTGAGACGAAGATTCTAGGCAGAAGCGCAAGTAAAACTGCACGTGAAGTGTTAGAGGCCTTTTGTCATTGAAAAAAATAAAGATCACTGTGTAAGCGCCCCTTCAATTTCGTTGTTACCAAGCGAACTTCAGTTTATTGCTCTGAGGCTATGACATTGATTAACTGTACGTTTGATAACGTATGCTGTTGGCCTTCTATGGTGTGTGTGTGCACAATGTGTCCTGTATATATTCAAGCCTTCGAGCTATGAATAAATCTGTTGGAAGTGGGCGCTGTGTGTGTTTGATGCATGGGTGTGTGCGTGTGTGAGTGATCGTGTCAAGTTTTCGCGCTCGAATTAACTTTTCGAAATGCTCTACCAACTAGCCCAACAACAAGTTCTTTTATGTTACTTTGCTGTGTCTGAAAAGCGCGCGCTTTTCGCAAACGGAGACTGCAATGATTGCAGTGACCTTTGTGCACCAGGTAACTACAGCAGAATTGTTCCAGGTAAAGCCTGAGGCCAGCGAAGGCGTACGACCTTCCCCTCTTATCTCGCCGGGCGAAGTACGTGTAGGAGATTATAGCGAGCGCCGCCGTGCGATGTGGCGCCGTGCACTTTTTGCGCCATCTGGCTGATAATGCTGAAAATACAATTCCCTCCAAGATACTCGTGAGCAGGAGTAAGTGGTAGATATAAGTAACTTGCCGTTTGAACGGTGAAAGACGTTCTCCGGAGTGGCTCAGTGGTTAATGCCTCGCTTTCATGATGCAGAGGTCCCTCGTTCAATTCCGCGCGCTGTAGTGTTTTATTCTGGAATTTTTTCTTGCGTTTTCATAGATATAGATACGTATACATATACGGTGCATGACATTGACGCCGGCAGCAAAATCCAGCCGAAAGTGTTCATATAATTGCTATCGCAACAAAAAAAATTGAACACTGCATTGCACTTATTGCTTCTTATCAAAGGGAGGGGCCGAAGGCTGCTGCGTCGCTTGAAGTAACTCGCAGGCTATCTCGAGGCATAATGAGACTGCTCGTGAACTTTCTGTGCTACTAAGCTCTGCTTCGCGTTTAGATAACTGACAGCACAAAAGCTTCGGCAACTATTATAGAGTGATCATTGTCTCTTTAGCCAGCGTTCTTTTGAGTTATGGGATTTCGGCAATATTGGATCTAAAAGATACAATTTGTTAGTTTCGCATATGCTCTTAGCAATGGAAGTGATACCAATACGTTGTATTTTTATACCAAATAATAAGGCTTGACGTCATCCGTGAGAAGCATTAGCGACAGGGTTGCAATTTCCAAGGTTCACGCACTCGCAAGAATTTGCTGCATGCGCGGTGTTCAATATTCGCGACTTGGGTGATTAGAGACCCCTGAAACATCTCTTGTATGCTGATGCATGTATAGATGGAATCAGACTTGTCTAGAGCGCAGTCTGTTCGCATTGATAGTACAAGGTAGAAGGGTGTACCAGTTGTAAATAGCGGGTGCACCAGCTATCACACCCCTAACGTCGAAGTTCATAACAATGCCCCTCCCCCTCGCGTTTCTAGCTCCTTCCTGTCCCTTGGACACAGGCGATGCATTCCTCGCTGCTTGAGTAAGAATCGATTAGAGGCCTGGCGCGTGGGTATAATGTTATCGCATCCGGCTTCAGTGCAAAAGAGATAGGTTGGCTCTTCATATCTCTGCTTTAGCCATGTTGTCGCCCCTGCTCGCGCTTTTACTCGTGTGTAAAACATCATGCGCCCCGGCATCTTATCGATTGGGACATTGCACAAAACATGGCGGCCAGTGGCTTAGCCAAAGAGGGGGGGGGGGGCACATCGAGATTATGCACCTCCCCAATCTCCGAAGTTGTTTTGGCCATGGCATATGTAGCGCGAAATGACCTTTTGACTGCCTGTCCCCCCGCTTCAGATCGAGGTGCAACCCCCCTCCCAACTTTTAAAAATTTTTGGCTACACTCCTGGCAACAGCAAAAACCAGTCCAGAATGTCCATATAATTGCTATCTCATTAAAAACAATATGAATCTTGCCTTCGAGTAGTTTTAGGCGTATATATAAGGTTAAAGAAAAGGAAGAGCCAAACTCTTAGGGCAGGGGGTTTTTGGAGTATAGACAGAACGCCCTAGCCATATAAAATATTGCTGCGAAAGGAAAATGAAGTTTGTTAAATTGTGTAGCTTCAGCACAGAGATGAGTGCTGTAGAAGGCTGGCTTTCTGAGACTATAGCTGAATGACGTCATATTACGCCCAGCAGTCTAATCAGTTGTGAAGAAGAACAACCTTATTCTTGAAGTGATCTTAGGGAAATGCTCTTGGTACTGTGTGAGTCTCTAGCATTGTACGTCACATCGTTTGTCTACCACATCTGCTGATAGCCACATAGGTGTATTTATATTGGTATTTCATGAAGTACAATTTTATTCAACCAATATTCTGTTTGTTTGCTATGGAAATAATCACTGAACAAGTTTTTTCAGAATGCTCAACAGCATGACGCTATTATTTTTGCATCATCTACTGAAATATGGAGTGCTTCTAGGATAGTTGGCTCTATAAAAATTGCTATGAATGTTAATATTTGTAGCTCATCACAAGAGCCTCAGAATCATTTTTCATGTCCTTCAATGTGAATGTAACTTGCTTCTCCTCCAAGATTTGAAATTAGCTGCTCCATATTGCTCCAAAACGGAAAATTTTGCTGCTCTGGAAATTGCTCCAAATCGGAAGACCTTGGTGGTATCACTGTGAATACCAATGCCCCAGTATATTTGGAACTAAACCTGTTTATATAAGAGGGAAAAACAGTGCAAAATTCAGAAACAAGTTGAAGAAGGCACGAGGACAGCGCTGATTTAAAACTGACTATTTTTTCACATGTGGGCTCATACAGTGGGACGCCGATAATACAACTTTCACGGGACCACACAAAACTGTCATATGATCCGGGGGTCGTATAATCGAAAAACTGAGAATACAGGCAGTGACACTCACTCTTTCACAAAAAAAAAAAAAAAAAAAACACAGGTACAGACCACTGAATAAGCCCACGACACGACCTTGCGCTTCTCCAAGGAGGGCAGATTTAAAATATTCTTGCCAGTGGCTGTATTACTTTGTTGAAGTAGGTGCAAACGAATCTTTATTCTCAACTTTAAAAAAAAAAGGACACTTCTGATAAATTAAGTCCAAAAATTGCCTGCACATGGAAATGAAACTGAAACTGCGTTGCCAACAGCCTCCCGTCAAAAGTATTGGGCATAGTTTCATCACCATCCATAATTCATCACGAAATCACGAGGTTTTTACGATGCGTATCGTGCTCGATTTCATGAATGCCTTTGTGCTGGACTGAGCTGTGCGCTAATTTGTTTCCTTGTAAAGTGCAGCTAGTGATGCCCCACTGTTATAATGAACGTTGACATCAAGTAAAAGTTATTTTGCAAGGTCAAAATAGCTGCATCGTGCCCCTTCGCGTGCTAAAGCTTGTGACGGCAAAGGCCACAAACCATGCCAAGAGATGAGCTGTACGTTGACCAGGATAATGTTTCTGCAGATCGAAAATATGAAAATATCAGGACATTGGAAATTCACTCGCATCGCTGCATTAGCGGCCGTAAAACCGCCCCGCGAAGTCGACACAAAAGAAATCAGTCCTAGAGAATTCAAGCGGAAATGCTAGAGCGGCTGCAAAACCATGCTCGCGCCTGTCGAAAATGTTCACAATCGTTCTGCCCCTCATACATGCCACCGCCGCCATTGCCGCTTCAAATTTCATTCCATTTTGCACGTTTGCTGAGCATGCTGAGTGCTGAGTGCTGCTCAGCACTGCACTGAGTGCAATTGTGTTCCCCTCTTCAAGGACACAGCGACGCTGTACAAACACAGAGATGAAAGCACCCGAGTCATTGTCGAGGCCGCGCGAATGGCACGCGAACAGGTGCCTTGTATTAGCAAGCCCTCCGTGGCTTTGTCCGAGAAGGAACGCAGGTTCCTCGAAGGTTTCGGTGGGGGAGGTAGTTATATTATCTTTACCTTTCTGTTTTGTTTTCTTCTAGATTTTTCTTTGCTGTTTTTCAGTGCTTTTGTTTTTTTGTGTGTTGTTTGTTTTTGTTTTTCTTACTCATGTTCTGCTCTTTGTGCCATATGGTTTTTATCACTTGGTTACTGTTTCCTCTATATATTTTCGTGCTCTGTGCAATAAACTCAGTTGGAAGTTAGCGCTCGTGTCTTTCGTGTCCTTCTTGTCTCTGTGTCGTCGTTTTGTTCTCGCGCTATAACTATCGTCATGCCATACCAACTAGCCCAAGCTGCCACACTTCTAAGACACAGCAAGCGTTTTGGTGTAAAGGGAATTCTGATAGTTTGAGGGCGAATCAAATCTTGTTCTAATTCTTACAGGGTAAATAACAGAAAATATGTCTCTGTGGCCCTAAGGAATGTAATGTGGTCCTGAAGTATTCATTGTGTAGTGGTTTTACTTGACCTTGGTCAAGTTCACTGCATCAGTGTTCGGCTTTATTGCCATGTATAAGTGGAAGCAGCCAGGCATTTGAGAAACTTATTGCCTTGTTTCATGTGGCGCTAGCTGCTAGACGGTATTCATGGTTCAAGCTTCCGAGTTTCTCTTATTGCAGCCTCATAATGTAACAAACAGGCTCTGCAGCACTGAGACTTGTGTGTGCAGGTGGCAGCGCGCACCTTGGGTGACCTGGTGCGCAAGCTGGGCGAGCGGGTTCTGCCCGAAATCGTGCCCATCCTGGAGCAAGGCCTGGACTCTGATCTGCCCGACCAGCGCCAGGGCGTATGCGTTGGGCTGAGCGAAATCCTGGCCTCAACGTCTCGTGACATGGTTCTCACCTTCCTTGACAGCCTCGTGCCCACCGTCAGGTACTTCCACGGAATGGCCTACGTTTGGCTAGATGTACATGTTGGGCAGCACTGATTGAGCAGATGAATGGAAGAGGAGGGTTGGCTAGCTGTAGCTGTATTTACTCACATAATAGGCGCACTTTTTTTCCCGGAAAATCCAGCACCAAGTTTGGGGTGAGCCCATTACACGGGATAGAATTTTTGAAAATTTTATTTCCGCCTACAGCATAGACAGCTGATAATGGGAATCACCAAATTCAAGAATATCCGCAGCAGACTAACCCAAAATCTGTTGAGCATGCAGTCTCGTGTGTCCGAGAACCGGTGCATGCGATGTGGTGTGCTTACAAGCATTGATATTTTTCAAATTTTTAATGGAGTTACACCTTCTTATAACAAACTTCCATATAACGAATTCCTCAATATAACGAAGTTCTATTCCCTGCCGTTGCTCCATGGAAGCGCATGTATTTCCGACCTCTATGCAACAAAGTAACAATGAGAGACAACCTTGATATAACAAGTTTCCCCACGGACAATATAGGAATTTTGCCCCGGCTTTAGTCATTTTGGCACGAGCATGCATCTTCCGTAGGTGCCCCGCCACCGACCGGCGCGCACGGCACACTAGGCGAGAGTGAGTGCTCGTTGTTGCGCGCAGGTGAGCGCTAGGCAAGCAGGCGGGCCTGTGCCCCACGAGCCGGTGTTGCCACCGTTTTTGTAGCCGCGGGTCCATGCGCGAATGTGCCCTCCCCCTACAAACCAAAATCAAACAAAAAAAAAAAGAACTTTTGCATTTGCAGTGCCACACTTTTATATAGCGTTGGATATCGAGGCCGCGCTGGATATCGAGGCCGCTTCACCGAATATTTTTCCAAGGTATCCGTGTTGTTCGCTCTTCGCTTTCGAGGCTGTGCGTGCTTGCGTGCGTGTTTTCACTGCGTGTGCACGGTGCGGCCCCCAACGTCGTTCAGCTTTTTTTTTTTTAATGCAGACAACCGTGTCGTCACCACCGAGGGGATCTCAGATTAGACACTAATGAAAGCTCTCCGAGACCACGGTGACGACATATCTTCGGAGGTCGGTTCGTCACGCGCTTCTGTCTTGCGCTGTGTCGCGAGTTTGCAAGCTCGTAGCTTTAGTGATTAGCCTATTAGATCTGGCAACGACAAGATGGCACGTTGAATGCAATGCAGTGAACTCGATAGCAAAAAATTGTAATGTAATGAAGAAAGGCTAGGAAGCCAGCTCTTTTGGATCTGATATCGCGGAATGCTTACAAAAAGCACTCTTTTCCACAGTCCCTTCACGTTGACAACCCCACAGCTGATATTTGCCGAGATAGCAGGTGCGCCAGCGATCGCAACCGCCCTTAAAATCAAAGTTCATGGTTGCTACTCGAGTCACCCCCCCTCTCCGCCTTTCTTCGTGCTCATTCAAGGCGGGTGATTTTTTTTCTGTTTGAGCATTCGATGGCAGTTCTAACACACCGTGGATGTTATCTTATGTGCCTTCCAAGCGATATGTATAAGCCCGCTCATTTAATCTGAGCTTCACCATCGCTCGGGCACTTTTACCCACTCAAGAAAGTTACGATGCACAGGGGCATGCTATCAATTTGTTATGGGGCATGCTATCAGGGGCATGCTATCTATTTGACTTGTTATGGAACATGGCGGCGGCAGCAAAAACTAGCTGAGACTGTCCATACAATTGCTATCGCATTTTTTTAACGCTAAATAAGTGTTTTGGCTTAGCTCTGCCTTCCCCTCTTTTGTTTGATTTGTGTGTTTAGTTCTCGAATTTTCTTACTGAACCTTCATATAACGAAATGTCCTTTATAACGAATTTTTCTGGGTATTTATCGATATTGTCATACCCAGGTTTAGCTGTATTTAACATAGAAAGACTTGCATTAGCAACAAAATGGCAACATAAAAAGCAAACTACAACAAGAAAGGGCCATCTTATAAATTCACTGAATACGTGTCAGGCACCACCTAGATTATGCGCATTATCTCGACATAGTTTCATGCTCAGAACTGTACCTATAAATTATCGATTTGTCAGGCTCGCACCCGATAACCAGTCATTGCACTCGCATTGTGAACTATCATTTGAGTGTTACAAGTGCCACCTATACCTCCTTTCCTTCAAGTTAGAGCCACTGCAAAGACATGTTGATTCTGTACAAAACTGCAATTTTGAGCGCTCGCGACTGCCATCGAAAAGCACCCAACGTTGATTAGGCCTATCCTACAGTCCAGCATATTGTCGCGGGAAATTTGTACAAGACAACGTCAAGATTGGGTGTCGAAAAGATCGCACTCAAGCACTGCTCTAAAAGTAGTTATACGCTGTGTAGGTTCACGGTGGGAAAAGCAAACGCAACAAAAGTCCGCCAGGTTGTGCAAGTATGTGTAGTGGCAGCAAAGGTGTAAAGTCTAGTCAGAAAGCCAAAAAGCTTGTAAATTTGCGGACGAGGTAGGAAACATCATAATGGCGATGTTTTCCCCACAGGAAACTTAAAATGTAGTAGATGAAAACACGATCGCACGTTCCGTGCGGAGTGCCCGCGGCCCAAACCACGCCGACACATTACTTCGACGCTGGCACCTTCCCTTCTTTCTTTCTCGGAGAACCCACGCAGCTGGTGTAGTGCTGCCACCATCTATTTTATTTTCTTTACCCTCGCACCAGTTAACCTAACAGGGCGTGCGTCGAATTGCAACCATGCAAATACAGTACAGAATTACTTATCACGGCCCACTTTAGGGTGCACCTATTATGCACGGAAATAAAAAAAATCTGGTTTCTCGCGACCAAACTGGGGGTACACCTATTATGGGAGTAAATATGATAGTTACTGAGACCTAATATGATTACTTACAGCAGTTTTGTGGTGCAATGAGATTGTGTACGGGCTATGCTGCTGAGCTGAAGGTGATGAGTGATCCCAGTCATTGGAGGCACATATCAGTATATTATGATTACAGATAAACATGCTCTCATCTATTGCAGGTACATTTTGTGCTCTAAAAGATGTCTTCCTCTGTCCAGCTGTTACCTAAAAGCAATCCTTGCAAACTTTCGAAACCTGTCCAGCTGGTTCCTGGTGTAGTGTCCTTTCACAGCACTACAGTGAAATCTCGGTAGAACGAACACCACATTAACGAACTTTTCAGATTAATGAACTTTTAAAGAATCCTGCACCAACTGCTAAGAGTTTCAATGTGAAATGATTTCACTTCATACTTCAGACTACCAAACTTTTCAGAATAACAAACGTTAACTTAGTTTCGTGTTATTAACAACGCCTCAGTACTACGAACTCATGTTCTGAAATTCGTCGCTACCACTGGAGCGGTACCCAAGCAGACGACACAGCGAACATGGAGCAAACGAACGCATTGCTTCTCGGAAGACGCATGACGGTGCGGAGGAAAAAAAAGAACGAAAGAACGATTATTTTCTTTCTTTTTATTGAAACGCCGATGCTGCAGACAGCTGCAGGTTCACAAGAGCGGGGGTGAGGGAACACGGGGGGCAAGGTCAGTGGGCGGAGGGCAGAGTGGGAGTTGTGGAGCAGAGCAGGAAGCATGGGCGCGGAAAACCTAAGACAGCGAGGGAGCAGGAAACGAAACGTGAGGAATTTCCTTTTTTTTGGCTCGTTCTTTTCTTTGGAAGAGTAGATGACCATAGAGTTTCCTAATATTAGGAAACTCTATGGTGATGACAGCCGCGACGTTTCGAGTTTTTTTTGTCTTTGTCCTTTCTGAATGTGATCTGGGAGGCCAAAGGGATATAGGTGTTCTCTGAGGAGGCTTTGTCACTCATGTTTATCTCTTTTGGGTGATTACTTATCCCGTCCGCAAGGCAAGTCGGTGTTTGCACTGCGGTGCTACTATAACGAGTTCATCTCTGCTTGGGACGAAGAAGCGTAAGCACTTTTCGCTAAGAAGAAAGTTGTAAATGTGGATGAGCTGGAGGCTTTCGGGCTACTAAGTTTGTGCTGCACGTGTAAAAAAAAAAATGAAAAAATCACAGACTTCTTTAAGTAAACGTGCATTGTGTTCACTTGCGCATTTGTTTTTTATCGTAAAAGATGAGTTCAAGGACCCATTGTTGTAAAGGTAAGTCGTTTTGGTCAGTGGAAAATAAGTATTTATGGTTAATTTTTATGCTTTCACTATAACAGCCTTTCAAAATAACAAACAGATTGCCACGGTCCCCCAAAGTTCGTTATACCGAGATTTTACTGTACACCAGAATGGAACATAAGACACTATTTTCAATGCGTGCTTGCAGGAGAGCCCTGTGTGATCCCCTGAAGGAGGTGCGCGTAGCCGCAGCGAAGACGTTTGACAACCTGCACTCGACCGTTGGCTCCAGGGCCCTGGACGACATTCTGTCACCATTGCTCATGCAGCTGGTGAGATTACTCTTGGATTATCCCCTTCTGAACCGGTGATCCATCCATAAGCTTAGATGTCTTGAACTGCCAATCTTTTTCCACTTTGTTCAAATGTCTGATAACTAGGCTTGTGCGAATGTTTGACTGTTTGGAATATTCTAATGAATAATTCAGTGTTCAAGTTCGCTTCGAATCGAATTTGTACAATTCAAAATCTTGAATTATTCAGAACGAACCAATAGATACATACTAGTCCGCATGTGACACCCTGTAAAGGTGGTTTCGCTGCAGTGAAGCAGTGCGCAGGCATGAAAGCACCTATCCAAGTGAATTTTAATTTGCATGATCCCCTCTGTCAAAGTGGTTTCACTGCAGTGAAGTGATGCTAAGCCGTGAAAATACATATCCAAAGGAAATTTGCACTGCCGCGAAGCTCCACTTCAAAGTTAAATAATGGTCTTCTGCGAATAGTGAATTTTAGGCTTGAAGTGAAATTGAAGTAAATAGTGACTTTGGTTGAATAACTTCGAACCAAATTCAAATACAGTTGAACCCGGCTACAACGAACGCCGCTTCAACGAAATTCCAGGTACAAGGAAAAATTCGCGGTTCCTAGTCAGCAGTCCATAGGAGTCAATGCATAAATATTGTCTTACAACGAATACTTTTTCTTCTGCCGTCCCGCTTCAACGAAATTTCACGATGCGATTCCAGGCTTAGATATTTATTGCTATAGAGTAAACCGAATGTTTAACATTTTGATGCATTTTCAGAACCTGAAAATTCGTCGCCAAAGTCTAAAACATGCGTTGGCACCACCTGAAACCACCGCTGTTCGGCAAGCATGGGCGTTGCTATTGCTCGATAGCGATGGCAACAAGACTGCCCTGCTTTGCCGAAAAGAGGGCAGTCTCATTGCCATCGCTATCGAGGAATGGCAGCGCCCATGCTTGCTGAACAGTGGTAGTTTCTGGTGGTGTCAACGTGTGTTTTAGACTTTGTCAACGTATTTTCAGCTTCTGAAAATGCATCAAAATGTTAAAAATTGCGCTTACTGTATGGCCACAAACGATCCGAAGCTGAAGCTTCGTGGCTTACTTCATGGTTTCCTTCGCGTAGCTGCTGGGTGCATCTTTGGAACAATGCCTTTTCCGATTCCGATGCTTATCATTTTGTTCGCGCTTGGCCAGTGTGGTAACTAATCAGAGCAGCTGTTCGTCCACATTATCAACGAAATGAACTAGCAGCGAGTGATGGATGATAAGAATGGGATAAAGTAAGGCAAAAGTCACCGCTTCACGATACCCTGCTGCCATCTCGGCGTTTTGATGGCAGACAGCTGCTGGTGTTGACGTGTTAATGCAATTGTTTGGTTCGTTCACGAAAGCGATTGTAGTCATTGTTTCAGCGTGCTTTTCACCATGGCCTCGCTATGCATGGGTGAGAATCGCGTCGTGACGCTGCTGGGATAGAATAAAAAGCAGCTGACACTTTTTGAATTTTGAGAATAAACGTTCCTTTGTTTTGCTTGTTCAGATCGGCTATATTTTTTTGATTTCACTAGAACGAAATTTTCGCTTTAACAAAATTTTTTCCGCACCCCTTCAGTTTCGTTGTAGTGGGGTTCGACTGTAGTATGTATGACATATACAGAATGAATGACATACAAAAAAAATGGGCACATTTATCATGACATAACTAACCTGCACAATATTTTTTGAAAATTGAAATAGGGCGTTTGACCAAATGCTTTTTTTTTCATTCAAAGAATGTCAAAACAACTTCAAGTAGTAGCAGGATTGCAGGATTTGACTTTCGGCAAGATGCGAGTCGTAACACAAAATATGTAACACTTTAAAATTTATTATACTTAGAGCATAAAAGCCGTCATCCTTTCAGCTTGATAAAATGAATTGATTTTAGAGTAACATTGTAATATAAAGGGGCTCTGCTACACTTTAGGTAGCCATGGAATGAATTCACTAAATAAGTGTATTGCTTCATGAATTCACCACCGCAAAAATTTTCAGAATTTGTCTAGTATGAGTGGAGTTGCAAAAATTTCTCGCACGCTGCAAGTGCATTTTCTCTTCTCGTGCCGACGAAAGTTCTGGAAGCTAAGCAAGGAGGGATAGCACGGGGAAAGAAAATATGTCAGGCGTGCTTTCTGAGCTTGTGGAGTCATTTGCCAAGAGAAGAGAGCAATTTTTTAGCTGATTTTGAGAATTAATTGCAAATCGCAGGCCGCGTGCTGTGCTATAATATTTGGCTTGCGTGTTGTAGGTAGCCTCGACTACCAATTGGCAGCACTTTCTGACAATGCTCAAAAAGTGTTGCAGGGCCAATTTATATTTGAAGGGGAGCTTCGTGGCAGAGTGGATTTTCTATGCATAGGTGCTTTCACGATTTAACAATCCTACATTGCAGTGAAGCCACATTTACAAACAGTACCTTCAAATTAATATGCATTTATTTGTTCCTCGCGAATAATTCGAAATTTACAATAATTTCAAATTTGAATCAAAGCAAATTTGAATACAGAGCAGGAAAAAACCTGGCCTGTTTTTTTTTTCGTGCAATGTGAAGTCATAGTTCTATTTCTTCATTCAAAAAGTGCGAAAATAGCCTGTGGCGCCACCTGGTGGCAGGAACTTCAATTAACTGAGCTTCCCTGTCACGGGACCATAAACTAGGGTGTGGTCAACAGTTTTCCTGTTAGTATTGAAATATTGTTTGCTTCTTTACAGTAAAAAATATACTCCATAAAAATGCACTGTAGGCCTGCATTAGTAGTATGCATTCAAGTGGTGCTGCCTTCGCATGCCGTCATTGTATGCTCGTCAGCGCGTCTTGAGCAACTTTTCTGTATGGTCATAAGGCCGTGCACGCAGTTTTCGGGTCACTAAAGCTTTGGAGTGATGTGCTTTTCCTATTTACAATTTATCTCGGAAATAATTTGTACTGCTAGTCGGCATGGCCGTGCATATGTGCAGTAAAGTTTTCGGTGACTTGGCTTGGCTCGTGTGTCAAGAGAGTAATCACGACGGGACAAGCCATCCACGACACAGGCGCAACAACCGTGGGTGCAGGTGCACACAGCGCGAGTATAAATACAGAGGAGGGCAGATGGAACTGGCACCAATATGATTTGTTTAGTACTTGTATTTTGCACCCCTGCTCACATCTAAGTTAACAAAACTCCTGTTAAATGGAACATATTTTCCTGGTACTGTCAGGTCTCATCTAACGAGAGTCTACTGTACTTTGTAACATGCTGTGTCTTGAAATTCTATAGCCAAAGCTTGTTGCTGGCTGTCTGAGTTCATCGTAGCCAAAGTCATCAAGTTAAACAGGCAAGTGCTGTCCATCACTTCAGATCAGTCAAATTTAATTTATGTCAAGAGACATGAAACTAAAGAAAATTTTCAAATGAAGTGGGATCTATAAGTAGCCGAGTTCATATGATCTAGGTTCTACAGTTCGTAATTTTTTCAAGAAACTCTGTACTTCAGCTTTCCAAAGACAGCGTTGACGATAATCTGGCTGGATGGCTAACTGTGTTCAATTAAAATCTATGACAGCATTTGTTCGTCTCTTTTGGCACACATAACCATATCTTATGAGGCATATTTGAATGACAGTGTAGCAAGAGCTAATTAAGGACACAGAAAATAACACAAGCTTTTCATATGTGACGCCATTCTTTCCTGTGCTCGTGCTCTTCACACAATGCAGGTTTTTCAGGACACGAGCCTGCATTTACGACACTAGTTCACTTTTATGGTTGTGACCATCACTAGCATCCTCAACTTTAATGTTGCTTCAGTCTTGCATCTGTTATCTTGGTGGCCCTTGCGCCTGTGTTAATGCAGCAAAAACACATTCCAGGGCCACGCTGACACTGAACTGGCCGAAAACACCTTGGACGGCCTGCGGCAAGTGATGGCAATCAAGAGCCGAGTTGTGCTGCCCTACCTTATACCACAGGTAAACTTTTTATTGCTCAGGGGCTTACTTAGGTCTTTTCTTTTCAGTTGCTGTCTTTTAGGTTACTTTTTGCGTTTAAATGACGTTGAAGTCAACGAATGCAAGAGATGTCACCATACTATGTGACCAAAAATAATCATTGAAACTGCACTAACAAAGTGAGTTGTGCACTTGGGCAATTTTTAGTGTGCCTAATGTTGTTTAGATTAGAAGAATTTCGTAGTCATGTTTTCTCAAGGGTGAGACAGCTGCGCATATTGTGCATTTTTTTATATGTTTTTGTTTTCTTGCACCAAGCTGCTCCAAGAGCATAAAAATCGCGAAAATTGCGTGGACCTGCTCCAAAGTAGCCTCAAAAGCAAGAATTTTGATGCCAAAGTCAGCTTCAGGGTAGAAAAAAGACTGAATGAGAGTGAACTAGAATGAGCTCAGTTGACTACAGGATTTTACGAGCAGCACCAGGAATACCAAGAAAATAAGACGAGCCCAAGCGTGTTTTTTACTTTGCACGGTGACGCCATGATCTCCTCTGTACTGTTGTAAATATGCATGACTTTGCGAATATATGCAGCCGCGTATCGAGCGCGCTGCTGCTTCTAGCTTGGCTGTGTATTCTGGCACCACTTTCTCTTAGTGAAAACCACCCTAAGTTAGCCACCCTAACCGAGTGACATGCATTGCGTGGTTGACTTTCAAGTTTTTAGGGCAAAGCTCCATATGCCGCAGGTCGTGTGTTATGTGTAGTTGTAGTAGCTGGTTTCATTGCTTTGCATGTCAATAAAAATGGTGTCACAGCATACCACGGAGTGAATGATGATGAGTGGGGTGAAGCGTCTGTCAGTCTGTCTGTGCTTTCGTGCGTTCGTCCATGCATCTGTACGTCTGTCTGCTTTGCCTTACTCATCATCATTTACCTCATGGATATGCAGTGATTTTTTTTGTTGTGTCTAGCTCATTCCTTTGGTTGCTGTAGTTGTCATGTCAGCGCTGCTGAGTGGGGTCACTTACGTGCCCACGCTTGCTGTGAGCGAGGTCCTTGTTGCATAAACGTGAAGGGATCCTGCTGCACGCGAAGCATCTCCTGCACACGCTGGCGCGTGGTTTCTCAAACTCGGTTCTGTGAGTGACAGAATGCATGCAACACGCTCCTGGTTTGCTCCCATTAGCAACTAATTTATTTATACAAGTGAGTTTTCATTGCATTTTCAAAAGCCATCGCACGCCTTATCTGCACATCAGTGTCAGCAGGTGGCGAGAGACCCACTTGGTAGCAGCATGGTAGCAAGACAAAATTGTACGATTTGTGAGCGGGTGGTGACAGAACATACATTAAAATCAGTTTAAACGATATTAACAAGCACCTCGGCACTTTATTCGTGACTCATGACGCATCAGCAATCGCGTGGCTTTCATAAACGGTGGTTTGCACTGCTCCAGTTTTGTAATTGAAGCTCGCAACGAGGGCTTTAAGAAGTGGCGCTGTGTGCCGGCGCTGGGCTACACGAGGTTTTAGGCTTAGCTTTATGCCTAAATGGTGTGACGGTCGGTGGCCGTTTCGTAGTGTGAGTGGCATACCTTCTTTTTATCTTTTTCTTCAACAATCCGGTCTCTGTGTGGGGTGGTTCGTTTGAGTGCGGAGCCTTACGCAATTTGCGGAGCGGCGCAGGTTGCAATTGCGAGGAGTTCTACATGAACGCTGCTAGAACCGGCCAACGTAGGCAGTATTAATAACGCCTGGTTGTGGTTATCACCCAGTATCATATTCGCTTATCACTCCGTGCCATACGCACGCGCTTTATGAGATGGTCGGTTTGGCGAGGCGTTTTAACTTCCGCGCTGCACTCTTGAAAACGGTCAAGTGCAAGGTGGCTACAAACAGCGATGCAGCAGACTTTTGTTGTCTGTTAAAAGCTTGTAGTGCACTGGGGAAAGGGGAGAACGTTATGCCAACTGGGCAGCTGAGCAGATAGAGAAATAGACATACATAAAGTCAATGCTGTTATATGCTAAATCTTGACACTGTTCTTAAGCAAAGGCCCATAGTTACGTAACTACGATTTTTGTGCAATCGCAATTTTTCAAATTTATTCTGAGGGTGATCTGTTTTTTTTTTTCAAATGTTTCCGTAGAACCTAGTTTTTAGAACTTTTTTTTATCATTTCATATGTTTGTACAAATGGTAGTGCAGTTCATACCTGGTGATAATTTTTTTAACAACTTTCGTTTCGTGTCTGTTTCGGTGTTATGTTTATTGTAAGCCTATTAAAATATGCACTTGTGCCCCCATGTTGCTGAAAATTTTTCAGGCTCCTAGGATAACATAATAAATGCCACTAACTGCTCTTAAGCAAAGTTCATCTGCACTAAAATTAGAATTTCGCTGCTCTAAAAATGGCTCCTAATTCAGTCTCAGCCGTCTCACCCCTGTTTTTTCAAACACTCATACACGAACATACATGTCAAAACAACGAACAGGTACAAAAATTAGATGCAGAAATGCAAGGCTAGCTGTGGTTTACTTGTGTTTTGCTCAACTCAACTATTAAAACAGCCCCATTCATTAATTTTGCATCAGTGAGAACATGTGCTGCTCTACACTATGCAAGGAAAAGCCAAAGTCAGTGAGAAGTAACTGTGATAAGTTGAAGCATTTCCTTTTGTTACCTTTTGTCATCGGAGAATATTCATGCGTACTGTGCTGTTTCACTCACTTATAAGGTGAATAGCTTGATGCAAGTCTTTGGAAGGACCACTGTGGCAGGAATTGTGGCGAGCTTTTCCGAGTGTCACTTGGAAGAACCTTATCTATGGGAGAGAAAGGAAAAAGGAAGCTCTTGCATGCCTCGATTATAGCGTGCATGCTGAAGAATTCAGTTGGTCGAAGCCAGTACACGTTCATCGATTTCACGGTAGCCATCACGTGACCTTTGGGGACAGAGAATTGCAGAACAGCAATCGCGGTAACTGCACACAATAGGCTGATGTGCACAGTGACGAGAGATCGTAGAAGAATGGGCATGATGGCAAGCTACTCCGTCTGCATGGAGCATTGCTAATCACAGCACTTGCTCTCTGAAGTTCGCCAAGCAGAGGCCCCTTACGTGAAGCTAACTTGAGAGGCATTTTGCGCTGCCCGTTGATTGGCATATGAAGTGTTAAATGTAGTGATAGATTTTCCTGTGCACTGACCGTTGTTGCATTCGAAAATCGTTCAATATAAGGTCTCATTCAATTTATCTAGGAAGGGGAGGGGGAAGTCGCATCTCATCTATGTAAACGTAACAATAGGAACATCTAGTCACAAGAATACATGGGGGAGAGAGAAAGAAGAGGAAGAAACAGAAAAGAGGAAGAAAGAGAGAGGGACGACCACTAAATGAAGCCGCTAGCTTCGAAGTTGGCTGGAGAGTCACCCTGTGAAGAGGCCGAATCGGTCTTGTAATGCAGGGCCAGTTTTTAGTTTTAATACTAAAAACTTTAGACAGAAAAGTGGCTAAAGAATCTGTTTATTCATAGAACATGCGCTCATAATGCGACCATGCTGCAGTCACAATTATACAAGTCACACCACACATCAAATTTCTCGCATAGAGAACTTTCATGGACCTGTATTAGAATACGGAGCTGCAGTGTGGGATTCCTTTACTGAGTTCAATATAAAAAAAAATCTTGAAATGGTCCAAAGAAAATTTGTCCGATTTGTGTTTAATTGTTATAGTTGGCACACATCACCTTCACTTCTTCCAATTAACATGGAGCTCAAAAAACTACAGGACAGAACAATGGAGAGGCTGAAGCTTTTACAAAATTGGAATCAACGGAACAGTGCACATTACACAAACAAGTAAATGTGCTGTGTGCTGATATCATTCAAAGAAAGTTGTAGATTACGTAAACGCAGACACATTCAGGTATTCTTTTTTTTCCCAAGAACTACCCGTAAGTGGAATTCCCTATCACCCAATATTTTAGAGTGTCCAACAGTTGATTGATTTCTACATGCTCTCAACAACCAGTAACACATTTTTTTTTGAATTGTCATGCAGCCCAGAGTTATGCAATGCTTCCCTTTTTATCAGTATGTTTCAGTCAGCAAAAGTATGCTATTGTTGGAGCTTTCTCATATTTTCGCAAATTGCAACAAAAGTGTTGAATTGTGTGCTTTTTTTTGCATTGTACATTATGCTTTCCGTTTGGATTTTTACAATTATTACCATTGTCAATATGTTGTGTGATGTTAATTATGTTTTCGCACTAAATAGTTTTGTATGCCCTTTTCTGCTTAAGACCTCGTAAACAGGTCAGCAGTGTGTAATAAATAAATAACTAATTAGTGCTGCTTGCACTTTTCGTTGTTGAGAAGTGTGCTAAACACAGTGTTTCTGTTGTAGTGGCTAAAAAAACCATAAAGCAAACAAAAACTTCATTGCGTTTTTGTTTGCTTGCAGCTGACGATGCCTCCGGTGAACACCAAGGCCCTGTCGCACTTGTCGGCTGTGGCTGGTGAGTCCCTATCACGACATCTGCCCAAGATCCTGCCTGCTCTGCTGACAGCCTTCAGTGCGTCCCTCGACACACCCAAACAGCAAGAGGTGGGTGGCCTCACTTGTACAGTACTCGGGCAATGCTTCAGTGCACGGGGTTTATAATCATTTTTCTCAGGTGGCACATCAACAAAATACTGATTTTGTGGCGAAACCAGTTGTTTGATTCATCGATTCCTTCGATTCAATTCAGAAACTGCAAAACTGGAATAACCGGATATTCTGTCGGTCATTCAGTTGTGATATTTTGATCTTTGGATATTCAATAGCCAGATTTCAATTCTGGAATGCCAGGAAATATATTGCTTTCTCTTCGATTCTCATGTTTCTAGGCACCATTGCAACCATTCCTAAATGTTTTCTTGTTAACCTTCTCCCCTTTATCTTTTCTTCTAAACTTTTTTTCTCTGGCTGTCCTGGGCACGAAGCAAGAAGTATTTGAGGAGGAGAATCTCTAGGTGGGGCAGCGCGCGAGGGCGGCGCGATAGCATCACGGCGGAATGTGGGTTACGCTGAAGCATTACAGATGACGCTTTCGGCTTGTTGCCATCTCTTACATGCTCTTCTATGGACGGGACGTATAAAAATCGTGATAGCGCCTCGTACATTGTAAAACTTCTAAGATTTCTGTCTGTAACATCAATCGGTAGATATGACAGATATTTTAGCTGCAGTCACTAATCGATACTGCCAGAATTATAGGCTGTACAGCGCTTGAAACGAACTGCTAATAGTGGCCCCTGAGCAGACGACGTCTGCCGCCGCATGCACGCGCCCCTCGCTCCTTGCTCGCACATTGTGCGCGCGCATGCATAGGTGGCCTTGGGAGGGAGAGTTCCCAACAAGTTCGCGCATCCCTTCGCGATTTGCTGGTTTTCTTTCTCTTTAGCGCTCTCAGTGGCTTCCGCGCGTTTCGCCGGCGGCGCCGACTCCGATGTTTGCGCGCATTTTTCACGCCGCGATAAAGCAGAGTGCTTTGCAGATTTCGACCAGTGGTTCTCAAGGATGGGGCACAAATGTTTCGTGCCGAACTGCAGCAGCGGGTACGCGTCCTGCAAGGAGAAGGTAATTACCTTCAAAGCTCCTAGTGACCCAGTGAGGTTGGAAGCGTGGGCTCGCGCCATAACAATAAAAGACTGACAGCTGACGCCTCGTGACTACGTTTGCGAGAAGCACTTCTCGCACAGTGACATAGACAGGCGGCGCTATTATGGCGAGCTCGGTGGGGAAGTTCTCCTCGACAAACCGAAACGGCCAGTGTTATTACGAGACGCCGTGCCTTCAATCTTTCCGCGCTGTCCCAGTTACTTGTCTGCTGTTCCCAAAAAAAGACAACGAACTGGACCTGACGTGAAGTGCGGAAAGCATGCAAGGACAGATACTTCGGTGGCTCGAGGTACGAACAAACCCGCTGCTTGCAAGGTAGAGGAAATTGAGACTGTGTGTCGTCTAACGTCCTCTTCGCATGAGTTCACTGCATTGAACTACGAAGAAACAAGTACCGGCGTCTCCTTGGTTGAAAGATACAATACTGCGCTCTGTGCCGGTAGTTCTGGTACCGCTGACGCGCTAGTGACGAACATACGAATAGAGTCTTCGCAACTTAATTCATCTCAGATGTGCGTCTTGGACAAGTTCATGGGACAACAAGAAATCGTCATGCCCAGCGCTGCTTGGAGCCGACAATTCGTCGTGGAAGGAGCTCCGAGCATCTGCTTCATCCAGCTGAAGAAGGCATCACCGACAACACCGATTTTCGTAAATAAGAGCCTCAAGTTCACAATGTGCAAAGAAGGTGTGAAGATGACAGAGTGCGTGCTACAGCAAGAGGTCAGTAGCAGAATAGTGAACTCTTGCACAGGAACCCAGCATGCTATTGACATCACGCAAATGCTCGAGGTCTTCCACAAGAAACTTGTATGTCGCGGCGGTCCGACACAGGAAAAGTTTCCTGGGATCAAAGTAGAATGTGGCTCCGTCGACGCGACTGGATTTTGGCGGCATAGAAGGTGTGCCATTCTTCTTGATGGTCCAGAAGATCAGTGCGGCGCGTGCAAGACGTTGTCCAACACACTACGAGTCCACCGAATTCGAAAGCAAAAGTGCAGGCAGACGACCCGAATACGACTACCGTTGAGTCCATCAAAGAAAAGCAAAATTGAGGCCTTCCGAAGTCGGTATATTGCCTGCTATCGCTTCAAGAAAAGACTTCTGGCAAGAAAAGAAGTTCTCGAAGCTGACTTAGTCAAATGCAAAAAACAGTTGAGAGAAGTGAACGAGAACAGTTTGGATGACTTGATGCGAAAGGCATCCTTTCCAGAGGCGCATTGTATGCTGCTGAAGGAATGTGTGAAAGCTGCAAAGGCTGCATCGAAGCGAGGAATGCGTTACCATCAAGATTGGTTGTTGCTCTGTCTTCGTCTACACATTCGGACGTCATCCGGCTACAGATTTCTGCGCGAAAACAACATTCTACCTCTGCCCAGTGTGAAAACAATCAGAAAGTATCTCGCCATGGTTGGAATGCAATGCAGTTTCGATGCCGAGTTTTTCGAAGCGTTAAAAGCAAAACTGGATTCCAAAACGGAGTTTGAGAGACATGGCATGCTCCTCTTTGACGAAATCCTGGTGAGAGAACAGAAGAGTGTGAACTCCAAAACCCTAACCTACACGGGTCTCGTGGACTATGGTGAGGGAGATGAGCATTGTTCCGAGCTGGGAAATCATGCGCTGGTGTTCATGTTCTGCCCCTTCAAAGACAGTTACGCGCAACCGATTGGTGTATTTGCATCAAAGGGAACTACTAGAGCGACAGTCCTAAGCCAGTTGGTCCTTCAGGCGATCGTCATGCTAGAAAACGCTGGTGCACTAGTTGATGGGATTGTCTGTGACGAAGCGGCGACAAATAGAAAGATGTGGACGCACCTGGGCGTCAGCGGAAAGCTCGATGAGGCGAAGAATATTTTTGAGCACCCCGTAAATGAGGATCGCAAGGTGTTTGCCTTTTCTGATGTACCGCATCTGTTCAAGTGCATCAGGAACAGACTGCTTAAACAGCGTCTTCTCAAGGTGAACGGGCAGGGGGTGAAATAGAATCTCTACACTGCCATGTACAAGGAAGACTGCGAGAACGCGAGGGGCCTAAAGGTTTGCCCAAAGATGATGGAACACCATATATATCCCTCAAAAATGGAGCTTATGTGCGTTAAGCTGGCAACACAAGTCTTCAGCCGGTCAATGTGCTCCGTTATCAAGTTCTATGCTGATCAGAAAGTGTTGAATTTGCAAGAAGCTGCAGGAACAATCTCGTTCACTGAGAGAATGAACGACCTTTTTGACTTTATGAATAGATGGCATCCTATAGAAGGGGTGCTACATGGCAGCCGTGACCTCACCGTGATTAGAGACTCAATTCACTGGCTGGATAACTGGGAACGGGAGCTCCAGTCGGGCGCAATTATGAAGGAAATGTTTCTCACACCAACAACTGCGGAAGGCCTCCGTGTTGCAATGCTTTCTACGCTTGCGCTAACCGAGTACCTATTAAGCAAGTGCGATTACAAATACGTCCTAACGGCGAAATTCAATCAGGATCCTCTTGAGAGATTCTTTGGCAAGGCAAAACAGGCAGCCTGCGACAATGACCATCGAGACATGCCAACGTTCCTGCAGTTGTACCGCATGCTTTCCGTCTACAGCCTGCTCAAACCACCGAGGTTCGGGAACTGCGAAGTTATTGAAGAAAAGCCAGCCCTCGACCTTTCAGAATTCCGCAAAATCTCCCAAAAAGCTGACAATGACCCCTCGCACCTCGAACAGCTAAAAGCAAAGTTAGACGGACTTGTCGAAACAGGTGATTGGGACTTGGATGAAGCTGTCCAAGATAGCCAAGAAAGCTCTGAAGTCGTCGATGCGGTCTTGTACTACATCACAGGATTCCTGCCAAGAAGGATGAAAACAGTGCTGCCGTGTGAACTCTGCAGACAATCACTTTCTGTCGCAACACCGACGTTGCCACAAGCATCTCTTACAAACTGCAAATCAAGAGGTGGGTTGACTCATCCAAACACGCAGCTGTACGACATGATTTGCTGTGCAGAAGGCTTCTTCTCCAAGAACATGGACGAATACGACGTTTTTTGGGGAACCGTTGACCATGTTCTTCAAAACTTCGACCTCACGTTTCCATGCCGCGAACACAAAAACGACGCTGTGGCCAAAATTCTTCACTACTACGTGGGAATGCGCATGAGACAACACTGCTCAAGCGAAACACGAAACAGGCAGAAAATGGCCCAGGAGAAAAAGAAGCTGTCAAGGCTTGCAGAAGACTGATTCGCGAGAAAGAATTGTTTCGATAAGTTTTACGAGAGTAAACTTTTTTTTCGCTATTGCATGAAGGAAGAAGGACAAGACGTACAACACTTTCGTCATGTAACCTCATCTGTACATTAAAAAATAAAATGAAAGTTCAGCACGTGCGTGCGTCTTTCGTCTGCGCTTGTTCATTATAGATTCTCATATAAGTGTGTGCCTAAAATATTCTTAGCATTGAACAGGGACTTCGGAATGGAAGCAGTGAAGCCATTGCCAAGAGGACTAGCAAATATATTCGTGCAGGAATATTACTGACGTCGACCAGCAGTGTGGTTAGTGAGGATTCAAGCTCTGAACAAAATTCGGTGTGTTTTCGTAGTATGAATAAGTCAATAGAAACAGCGAAGAAAACGAATTGTCATGCTCACCGGGTCCCTCGTGCATTCATTTAAGACGACTCGAAGGCAAAAGCCATCTTTTTTTTCCTCCTGGCTGATGTATTAATGCTGCCCCACTACCCTTCGAAAGCTTTTGCACCTAACGTGGTTTTGCACTGCCTCCCAAGATCAGAACCACGTCACCTGGTCTTGCATTGCCTCGGTGATCGGACCACGTTTGACCAAGTCGCGATGCGATGCGATTGTGTCATGTGAGGCTACGTCACGTGACGTCATGATGACGTCATGATTTTTGACAATCTGTGAGTCATCGTGACGTCATAGGGCGGTATTTGATGGTGGTGGTGATGTATTGCATCACTCGTCCCCGACGCCGCGACACGCTGACGGTCAAAATTCGCGTTTAATGAGGCGTCTAAGGCTTTCGCCTTAATATAAGTGCAGGGTCATACGTCCGAAAAGCACGATGTGATTATGAGGGACGCCGTAGTGGAGGGCTCCGGAAATTTCGACCACCTGGGGTTCTGTAATGTGCACCTAAATGTAAATACACGGGCCTTTAGCATTTTGCGTTCATCTAAATGCGGCCGCCAAACATCCCAAATCTGAATTGATGGAATATAGGTTAAGTCCCATTATTCGTTGAAATAAATTATACCTAACTCATTGGGTTCACGTAATCAAAAATTATAGATTTCGCGTTGTACAATATATATCATGCTGGTAATTTTTCTGTATGTGACGCTATTTTTTTATCATTAATTTACCGAAGAAACATCAGTGCACTTGAGCTTCGCCTTCTATAGTAGAACGCAATAGAGTAGTCGGGCCCCATGCGCATCGCCTTCTCAATCGCTAGCCTCTCCGACACCGGTAATTCTGCGAAACGAGCTCTTTAACGCTATTGCGTTAAAATTTGGAGCCGGCTAGGATGCACAAAAACATCCATTCGGGCGCTAAGCGCGAACGGTGAATCGGCGACGAATGGCCTTGAACCGACGAGCTTCGTTGGAAAGCGTGGTGAGAGGGACGCGCGCATTTTTCCTTCTCCGCTAGCGGAATCTCACGACAGAGGGCGCGTGAGCGCTGTGCCCAATTTCTTGACTTGATTAGGTCGCCCGAGCGAGCGCAGTTTCGCCTCCTCAAGAATTTTCTTTCTCCGTGGTCCTGGGTAAGAAATTTTTAGAATGAACAACAAGAATTTGATCCTGGCACCACCATATGTAATTTCTAAGCCATTTGAATTTACTGTGTGCAATATGATTCACCCTATTTACTCGCGTAATGAACCCACCTTTTTTTTTTTTTTTTCAGAAAAGTTCGCTCCAATTTGCATGTAGGGTTGATTACGCTGGCAAAAAGAAGTTACGGGAGCTACAACAGCGAAAATTTCGCGTGACGGTTTTGCTTGTTTGGGCCCGCAAAAAGCGCGACAAATCTTTTTTGTAGCCTGAAGCTCTTTGTTTTTCTCGTAACGAAAGCTTACAGATCAATGCCGAAGTGTCGTCCAGCCGCTCGGTTCGAATTCTCCTGCGCTTGCTGTTTGTAACCAGCTGTGTAGCTAGTGTACCCGACTCAACGTGCCCTGCACAGCAGGTGTCCCAACTAAGTTCACGACAAACCTGACAACAAAAAAGTGGAAGTTTCGCCGCAAGGGCAAAGCAATGAATACAATAGCAACAACTTGGAATGTAACTCTGAAAACGGCCAGAAGATCGAAACGTGCAGCACACTGTTCACGCACACATGATGCATGAAACAACAAACACAGGACGAGACTGAACTAACAACGTTTACCGCTCGACACGTAACATGCTGTTTAAACAAAAACGATGCACTAAAGGTAATGACAAGTACAGATATGAGCGCCAAATATTAAGTAACAAGTGGCCAAGTTGTTACTTCATTGTGTTTGAAAAGCGCACTCTTTTCGCAAATGGCGCCTTTCCAGCGAGCGAAGGGATATTTGTGCGCCCGGTAACTAAATGCAATTGTCCCGGTCATAGTGGAAGCCCCGCGATTCTCCCCACCAAAAGATAAGCACGCGTGCACAAGCATCTATAAACACCTTTCATTCGCGGGGCAAAGTACGGGTAGGGGATAAGCGCGCGTCGGCGCATCATGTCTGAACTGGGCTCCGCACGAGGGCAGCTTTTTTTCTTTAGTTTTCACACACACAAACACACGCACACACACACACGCACACACACACACACACACAGAGACACACACACACACAGTGAGTGACACCGACGTGGGCGGCAAAACGCAGCCAAGAGTATCTATATAATTGCACTAAAACGCAGCGTCGGATGGCGGCGCACAAACGTTGCGGGTGCACAACGCGCCGTCGGCGCAATGGGTGCGTATGGGTTTTGCATGGCCTTCGAGATAGCTAGTGCACGGCACGTGTCTATACGGCACGCGCGGCAGTTTGAAGGCCATGCGCTTTGTTTTTGTGCCGCTGTGCTTGCGTGGCGTTATCAGCAAAAAGGTTCCTCCTGCAATTCAACAGATGGCGCTTTGTCTTAAAAGGCGTGACTTTCAAATTTTGATTGACGTCGTCCATGCTCGCACTGCTCGCAAATGTTTAGCATGGTTGCAAAACTATGTTTTGACTTTTATTGCATTGTTATTTCATGATATAATTGCTTGATTTAATGCTGTTTCAGTCATCAACGGCACCGGCTATCATACTGAAAGAAAATGCAGACACATTACAAAAAGTCTTTTTTTCTTTTTTTTTTTAAAGGCGAAGGCGGCGGTTGGGTTCATTATGCGAGTGGGTCAATTACGCAAGTAAATATGGTACATCTACAGGTTTTCCAGGGGCTCAAGTTAATCCAAGCACCAGGTATTTTGGTTCTAGTGCCAGTGAACTTAATTCAGGTTCCACTATAGACAAAAGGTTGCACGCCGTTCAAAGTGATGCAGTCGAGCCCGCTTATAATGAACCTGAGCGTGACGCGGCATCCCTTCGCTGTATCGCGAAGTTCGTAGCAAATGAAACACAGCTTTTAAAAAAGTTGCGAGTGAAAACACAAACTTTTTTTGCTCCAAAAAGTCCGTGATGCACGTGTTTCGAAGAGCAGAAACGATAAGGGCGGTCTCGAGTTCATTTAGAACGGCAGGCTGCTCGTTCACCGAGGTCCGTGGCATAAGCTGCATGACGCGCTGGCTCCAAAGCTTCATCGTTCTCGCCACTTACTTCATTCACAATGCCCCAATCCGTGCACGGTTCCGCAGTGTCGGCATCATCATCGGCCGTAATTAAATCGTTGCAACAGATGTCCCACCCGCTATCCCAGGTCGGAGTCGACGATGCGCTGCCACACATCGCCGCCACAGTGGTCCTGTTCGGAAGCTTCAGGCACGGCATCGGGCACGACGATCGACGAAGTCGGCCTTGCGAAAATAGTTTCGCGCATATGTAGCCTTCACCGCCGTCCACGAAATATTCACCATCTCCACAGCCGAATACCGGGACGCCCCCGAAACGGCAAGTTGGCTGCCAGCTGGTCAAGAGCTATGAGCAAGCGCTCCGCAACGCTGCACCTAACACGCGGATTAGACTTTCGACGTTTTGTTGAGCGGCACGAAAAAGCGTGCTAGTCCTCCCGTCGGCCATCACGACCACACACGCACACTAAGAGCGAGCAAGACGCGCACACGCAACACACATGCCAGAATGGGTGGAACAGCTCTGGGCTTGTTTCCAGTCAGAAAACGAAACGAATTCGAGCGGGCGTCACGGAGCGGTGGAGACAGTGAAGGGGTTGTGATCAAGAGGGGAGAGCAGACTAGATCATGTCAAGATCTAGATCATGACATGATCTAGATCATGATCTAGATCATGTAGTGACTAGATCATGTCAAGATGTGATCAAGAGGGGAAAGCAGAGCAGAGTTGCGATAAAGAGAGGGGAGGATGTGGTGGGAGGGCGACCTTGAAAACCAAAACACTTGGGAAGGAGGCAGGTTGGGTAGCTTGCTTAAAAGATCCGCGATACTGGCATGTAGAAAAACTTGGAAAGAGTGCCTGCGCGTGCAGAAGTCAAAGCATGGCCGCCTGGATCGGTGTGCGCGGGTGTTCGAAGAATCGGCGGCCGTGGCCAAAAAATCGTTTTGTTGCACCGGCGGGTTTGAGTGGCCTCATGAACTTCGATATTTCGCGATTCGTTCTGCGCAAATTAACAACCGTTCTCGCGCTTCCGCACGTGCGCGGAAGGCATGCTGAGTTGAGTGCGAAGTGAGCGAGAACAAGTCCTTAACATGAAACGAATCGCAAATTATCAGAGTCTGTGGGGTAGTGTACGCGCGTGCACTAGACGCAGACTATCGGATACAGTCGGTGGCCGACGATGGTGGCAAATGGTCTGGTTACTCCAGGCCAGTGACGCCAACGACAGTACCAGCGATCAAAAACAGGGTACGTGGCTGACTGGTCTTCGAAAGATCGGTGGCAGTATGAAAACACGGGCCTTGTCTGGCGATGCGGGGTGCTCAGAGTAGCGGGGGGGGCAAAGGACAGAGGGGTGCGTAACAAAAGCCGTCGGGGAGAGCAGCAACTAGAGGGGCTCGGAGGCAGAATCGGCGTTTAACAATAAGAATGTATGGGAACCTCATCGATGCTTGATCGGTGGTCGAAATCGGTTTCCCGGGAAGTCGGCAGACCGCTGACTCCGTTCGCTGTAACCGATCAGTGGCGCTCGTAGACGTTCGTTGTAAGTGCGATTTTGTGCCATTGAACCAATGTATATTTTGACGGTCACGTGGATATTGTTTGTTTTAAGCGAAAGTTCGTTTTAAGTGGGGCCGTTATATGTGGGCGCGACTGTAGTATTACACATTAGCCAGACATCACTCAAGAGTTTTTATTAGTATCTTTGTCATGAAACACCAAAAAATGCTTTCACTGTCAGGTGAACTGCAATGTAACCAGTCTCACAAGCCTTTGCTCAACTTCGTACACCTCCATGAGGGACTCCCAATCCGCTGACATGGGTATCAAATGAAAGAAGTTCTCGAGTGTTTTGTGATGGTACGTGTGTCGCCAACATCAGGTCACATGAGAAAGTTACATGACTTTGTTTAACCTGTACCAGTCAGAGGGTGATCGGCATGGATATCAAACGAAAGGAGATCGTGAGTGCTTTGCGATGGCATGTGTCGGGAACATCAGGTCAGTATTATGCTCAGCGTCCCTCGAAAGGGCACAAGGCGGCCGCTGTTTGATCGGCACCCACCTTGCAGGAGCTGGAGCACTGCCAAGCTGTGGTGCTGTCCGTGGTCGACGAGGCTGGAGTACAAACTGTGGTTGAGCAACTGCTTGCGGGGGCTCGGCAGCCCGGTCAACGGCGAGCAGCCGTGGCCCTGCTGTGTGCCTTCTGCGCCCACACCAGGGCACCCCTGACACCACACGTGCCCCAGCTGCTGAGGGAGCTGCTGCGGCTGTTCACCGACACCGATCGCCACGTGCTGCAGCTCGCCGGAGAGGCCCTGGCAGCTGTCACAAAGGTATAGTGCAAGTTCTGTCCACTCTTGCACTTTTGTCAACATAGAAGTTTCTTTTACTTTTTCAATACCGCAAAATAATTTATCAGCACTTGCTACTGTATATAGACAACTGCATGCCTTTTAATGGCCCTAAAACGCTTTAGCTGCTGAAAGATCAGATGCATAACCATAAAAACTTGAGACAGAACAGAAAAAGACACACTTTGGTGTTGTCCGAAGGTCTTTCATAATGGCTTTGTGTTTTTCATGTATTTCAGTTAGCATGTCCCAACTAGTGCAACATTTAGTACAGCTACACATGAATCTCGGTGCTCATAGGCTGAGAGACGGCGAAGGTGCACTTGTATACTGAAAGAATGCAAGATGTCTCGTGGTTGTGCCCTCTTGCCATTCTTGCTAATCATCCCTGCAATGAAGTCTTGCACAACTTACGTCACATGGAATGTGATTTCGTTTTCGGGCAATCACTCTTGGGTAGAGTTGTGCGAATACGAAAAGTTCGGGCACAAAGCTAATTGGATTATTGTGAATCAAATTGAATATTTCTAGAATATTTTTCTTATAGTTCGAAGCGAAATTGTGGGAAAAGTTGAGGAGGATTCCCAAGCGTATTCTTATAAGATGTAGTAACGTGAAAAGGTATTTTTTTACTAGGTTAATGAAGTACTGGCAGGGTGGTATTTCGTAGTTATTTTATCAAGAATGTGGCAGTGCAGAGGCCAAACTGCAACGGTACATGACTTGGGGCAACATGACTTGGGGCTGACAACATTTCGCACATGAACAGCAAAGATGCTACAGTAAAAGATCGTTAACCCGGATCTCACGAGACCGGTTAAAAGGTCCGAGTTAACCGAATTCGGTATTATTGAATGAACCATCAAAACAAAAGGGAAATGTACTCGGCACAGACAAACCTTTTGTTGTGTTCCAAGTACCCCTGTGTCACGAGCGAGCCTCCGAACCCGCGAAGGACCAGATGCTGAAACTGCTTCCAGATGTTGACTCCTCCCTTTCCCCCGCTCGGCGAAAACGAGCCACCGTCGTTTCCCCGGGCAGTTCGGCCGCCGCCTCCATCCGAATAGGAATAAACTTGTTTTTAACTGTTCGAGGCTGTCTGAGCTTTTTGGACAACCGCGACCAGCGCGTACGTCTATGGGCGGACGACAACACCAGACATAACAGTGGCGACGAGGAAGTGGATTTGGACGCAACGATATTGACAAGCTACAAGCTATGGCTACGCACGGGCTCCCAAATCGGCTACCCGAATTTAACGGCTCATCATGGTCATCGTGGTTTGGACGCCTGCAATTTTACTTCGAGGCTAACAACATCACTGATGCAGCAATGAAGAGGGCCAACCTGCTAACGCTGTGTGGGGAGCAGACATACGACACAGTCTGTGCCCTGATTCAGCCACGCACTCCAGCAGCCGTTGACTACGACGACATCGTAGCAGCGCTACAAGAGCACTATGACCCAAGGCCATCGGAGGTCTACTGTCGAGCCCGCTTCCAACGGCGAGACCAACTGGAAGGCGAAAAAGTGGCCAAATACGTAGCGGCTCTCAAAAAGCTCGCTGCTGACTGCAATTTCGGGACGTTGACCGCGACAACTGCAGCTACTGCGCAGGAGGGAGGATCAACTGCCACACCTGCTAACACCACTATGCTCCCCTTGGACGTTTTTTGCGTGACCGTTTTGTGTGCGGACTGCGTGATGCAGGCCTACAACAACGCCTGTTCGCGGAGACGGGTCTCACCTTCTCCAAAGCCTACGACATCGCCCAACGAGCGGAGAGCGCCGGTCACCAGCAGAGGGCTATACGACGGAACGTCGAGCCGGTGCATCACACCAGTCAGCAGTCAGGTCATTCCACGTCTAAGGCGAAATCAAGCAGAAAGACACAGCGCTGTTGGCGATGCGACGACATGCACGATCCCCAGGTATGTCGATACAAGACAGCGACCTGCAATTTTCGCCAAAAACTGGGACACATTGAAAAGGCATGCATCTCGAAGCACAAACAGCCCAGACCGAAGACTTCAGTGCAACGGAACAACAATGTCGACGCACAGGAGGGCCAGACGCAAGATACAAGCTGAACAGCACTAACTTCATCGGCACTATATGACTTAAACGCCGTTGTGAACCTCGGAACGAGACCGAAGATTACAACTGAAATTATGGTACACCAGCGCCCTATCAGGTTTGAGGTGGATTCCGGAGCAGCATGTACGCTCATCAGCGAGGACACTTTTCGCGCTACTTGGCGTGAGAATGCGCCAGCTCTCCAGCAAGACGACACGCAACTGAGAACGTGGTCCGGACATTCCCTTCCACTGCTGGGCTGTGCCAGCGTAGACGTGTACTACAACGGGCAGACCCATCAGCTCCCCTTGCTAGTCGTCCACGGTTCTGGATCAAGCCTTTTAGGAAGAAATTGGTTCACCCCCCTTGGAGTGGTCATTGGCGGAGTTCACCACACACCCAGTTATCCGTCAGTGGAGCAGCTTCAAGATAAGTACAAAGCGGTTTTCTCCGAAGAAATACCAGGGAACAACGGACCTCCAGTCACACTGGAGCTGCGGGAGGATGCGACGGCGAAATTTTTGAAAGCTAGGTCGGTGCCTTTCGCCCTACGAACGTCAGTCAAGAATGAGCTTGACCGACTGCAGGAACAAGGGATCATCGAACCGATGCAACATTCGGAATGGGCTACACCACTCGTTGTCGTCCGAAAGAAGAACGGTACCCTACGCCTCTGCGGAGACTACCGGAGCACTGTCAACCTGGCGACAAAAGCATCTTCCTACCCACTGCCGACACCGGAAGAGGTTTTTAGCACGCTTCGTGGTGGAAAAATCTTCAGCACCTTGGACTTGACACAAGCCCACCAGCAGCTGAAGGTGAGCGAATCAACGTCTGAACTGCTCACGATAAACACTATTAAGGGTCTTTACAAAGTTAAAAGGCTACCATTCGGAATATCTGCAGCGCCAGCAATCTTCCAGGAATTTATGGAGTCTACACTTAGCGGGATCCCAGGTGTTTGCGTCTACTTGGACGATGTTATTGTCGGTGGCGCCTCCAATGAAGAGCACACAGAACGCTTGGAGCTCATTTTGGAAAGGCTAGCAAATGCTAATTTGCGCATCAGTAAAGAAAAATGTGTTTTTGCGGTGCCTGAAGTGAAGTTTCTTGAACATCAAATTGACGCGCAGGGTATCCATCCCACTGAAGACAAAGTGCGTGCAATCACCGAAGCACGAGCGCCTACTAACAAGCAAGAACTGCAGTCGTTTTTGGGGCTATTGACGTTCTACGACCGGTTCTTAGAACATTGAGCTACAGTGGCCAACGTCTATATCAGCTCCTGCAGAAAGAAGTCCCATGGACTTGGTCGCCACGCCACCAAGAGTCATTTGTTGCCCTTAAGCAACTACTTCGCAAGTCTACTGTTCTGCGACACTACGACGAAAGAAGACTCCTACTGCTAGCCTGTGACGCATCACCATACGGAGTGGGAGCAGTCCTCTCCCAAGTTGACGACCAGGGACGGGAAGCCCCGATCGCTTTTGCTTAGCGCACCCTATCGCAGGAAGAGAGGAATTATTCCCAGCTAGATAAAGAGGGACTTGCCATCGTCTACGCAGCAGATCACTTTCGGCAGTGCATTATCGGCAGGAAAGTGACTTTCATAACAGATCACCGGCCCTTATTGGGTATTATGGGTCCCCAGAAGCCAATGCCACAGACATTGTCGCCGCGAATGACACGATGGTGCATCAAGATGTCGGCGTACGATTACGAACTCGTACATCGCACTGGGAAGAAACACCAGAACGCCGACGCACTAAGCCGCCTGCCGCTAGACACCACAATAGATGAACCACCCCCGCCGGGTGATATACTCATGTTCGAGGCGCTGCCGAACCCTCCGCTAACAGCTGACACGGTAGCAGCATCAACGCAGGAGTGCACTGTCTTGAAGGAAGTCTACGCAGCTATACAAGAAGGCAACGTGCAGAAGCTAAAGGGTGAACACTTCAACGCTTACCGCAAGCGAGCTGCGGAGTTGAGCACTCATCGTGGTTGCGTCACCTTGGGATCAAGAGTTGTAATTCTGCCCCGCCGCGGTGGTCTAGTGGCTAAGGTACTCGGCTGCTGACCCGCAGGTCGCGGGCTCAAATCCCGGCTGCGGCGGCTGCATTTCCGATGGAGGCGGAAATGTCGAGGCCTGTGTGCTCAGATTTGGGTGCACGTTAAAGAACCCCAGGTGGTCAAAATTTCCGGAGCCCTCCACTACGGCGTCTCTCATAATCATATGGTGGTTTTGGGACGTTAAACACCACAAATCAATCAAGAGTTGTAATTCCAGCGGCACTTCGCGAACAGGCCATGTCGCTTGTCCACGCAGGTCATCGAGGCATTGTTGCCATGAAAAAGTGCACCAGAAGTTATATGTGGTGGCCTGGTATCGACCATGATATAGAATTAACAGTTCACGATTGTCAGCCTTGCCAATGCAACCGCCGAAGCCCGCCAAAAGCCCCTATTCCTAAATGGGAAAGACCAGACACGCCTTGGCACACCTTGTACACTGATTTTGCTGGACCTATCGAAGGGTGTTCGTTCCTGGTGGTTGTAGACGCATACACCAAGTGGCTCGAGGTAAAACAAATGGCTACAACGACATCGGCAGCAGTTATCGACACTCTGCGGTCGTTGTTTGCAACGTTTGGCCTACCGCGCAAGGTGGTCTCGGACAACGGCACTCCGTTTGTGTCCACGGAGATTCTCAAGTTTTACAGCTACAACGGCGTCTCGTCTGTTACATCAGCTCCTTACCACCCGGCTACGTACGGACAAGCCGAGCACTACGTGGCTGAGCTAAAGCGCGCCCTTACTAAAGACCAGACTGGGACAATGCAACGCCGCATCGCGCGCTTTCTCTTCAGACAGCACAACACTGTTCAAAGCACTACTGATCAAACGCCAGCGAAATTGATGTTCGGACGAGAAATGAGAACCCAGCTGACAGCAATTGTCCCGGAGCCCTCAGCGAAAGCACTGTTGGAGGAAGAAAAGCTCCCGCATAGCAGGAGAATTGAAAGTGGACAGCGCATATATGCCCGCCAGTTCCACAGAAAGCCCGGCTGGGTTGAAGCGACGGCACTCATACGCATAGGTTTGCGGTCATGGCTCGTCGACATTGGTGGAAAGGCCACACGCCGCCACCTTAATCAGCTACGCCATTCAGGTAATTTGCCAAGGGAACCTCCCATTCAGCAGCCACCTCGACGGAAGCTTCGTTCCACTTAGCCTGGCATCTCGCACCAGATGAATCGGCGCCGCCGCCCGCTGGCCCTGAACACAAGAGAAACGACACCCAGCGAGCGGAGGCTTCTCTTCCTAGTGCGTCCAGAGCGTCCACGCGCCCACGGCGGCCCCCAGATCGCTTCCAAGCGACAATCTAAGGAGGGAGGAGATGTTGTGTTCCAAGCACCCCTGTGTCACGAGCGAGCCTCCGAACCCGTGAAGGACCGGATGCTGAAACTGCTTCCAAATGTTGACTCCTCCCCTTCCCCCGCACGGCGAAAACGAGCCACCGTCGTTTCCCCCGGCAGTTCGGCCGCCGCCTCCATCTGAATAGGAATAAACTTGTTTTTAACCGTTCGAGGCTGTCTGAGCTTTTTGGACTACCGCGACCAACGCGTACGTCTATGGGCCGACGACAACACCGGACATAACACCTTTATATCCCGAAAAACTGCGTCAGCTTAGTTTGCCTCGACATCGGAATTAGTGCTAGAACGATTTTTTTCAACCCCATGCGGTGGTGATGGTGCTCATGCTCGTTGTCGTGAGAACTGATGCAGAATTCCGTGAATACAACAAGGGCTTCGGCGGCCTCCTGCACGGTGCGGTGTCAGGTTGGCTCATTTTGAATGTCATCTTCGGAACAGTGATTGTGATCCTCTTCAAGCACTTCCGAGGGAGGTTTAGAATAACTTTCGCAGGTGTTGCAGGCGTTGCTTTAGTTGCGGGCGCCTTATGAGCTTTAGACTAGTGTTTGCTCCGCCTAGGAAAAAAGTCTAGGGACTTTCGCTTTGACCGCAAACCCAAATCACGAAAGCTACAAACAGCACTTCGCGGGCCTTGCGGGCTCCAACCGCCACGTGCTATTTCGGGTTTTCTGCGGGTGGGCTGCGAATACGAACGGCGACTCGCGTTACGACGCATGCACAGTGGCAGTGACCGCTTTGCAAGGGCTCGTGGTGCGCAATTCGCCAGTCAGCAAGCCAGCAATGGCCGCACCATCATGAATTCGCTCAAACACAGCCTGAGAACGTAAGGACGGTTTCTATGTCAAAGCGCCAACTCGCCCAACAGTCAACTCTTTTGATGTACCAGAGCTGCACACGCATTGCTCGAAGTCACAACGCAAAGATTGATTGATATGTGGGGTTTAACGTTCTAAAACCACCATATGATTATGAGAGACGCGGTAGTGGAAGGCTCCGGAAATTTTCACCACCTGGGGTTCTTTAACGTGCACCCAAATCTGAGCACACGGGCCTACAACATTTCCACCTCCTTCGGAAATGCAGCCCCCGCCGCCGGCATACGAACCCGTGACCTGCGGGTCAGCAGCCGAGTACCTTAGCCACTAGACCACTGCGGCGGGGCACAACGCAAAGAAATCTGCAGCGTAGGCGTTACGGGCAACTGGGGTAGCGGCAGCTGCGCAAACTGTCTCGTTGTCTGCACATGCGGCGCATTTCGCAGACATGCACCAGCAGCCCAAGCGCTTCCGCCGGGTAGTGGCTAGCTCCAACTGGCCACTTCCCTCCTCATTCACTATCATCATGATCGTATTCTACTGCTGCTGTTCGTTCGGTTTTGATTTCTTCAAAACTTCGGTTCCTCCGTCAATTATGGCAGCGGAGCCGGGACTCTATGCTTTCAGTAACGAAGCCCCGATAGCCCTCTCTGGAATCGTCCGAGTTAACCGGTGCGCATCTGTGGTTAACGAGCATTTGACGCCATTGAAATATACTCAGTTTTGCCGGAACCGCGCCACGTGTCTGAATTAAGCGAATTTATGAGGTAACGAGATCCGGATAAACAAGCTTTTATTATATTTTCCCAGCCTCTCCTCCTCTTTGAACTTCTAGGGAAACCTAACTGTTGTGACGGACAAGGTTGTGCTCTTTTCAAGTTAAGTGTACCTAGTCTACCTCATAGACATCAACATACATTACTGTTTGAAATTTCGGATGCTAAAAATTTTTGTTTGATTTTTCGGACTACCTGCCCAAAATTCAGGTCAAAAACAGCATTAGTTAGGCCCCACTTTTGCCACATCTGTCATCTCCATGTTGGAACCAGCGTTTTCGAGAGTCAATACACTTGCGACTGTAGCGGGTCCTGAATGACAGCAATATGAGAGTGTGATGAGGTGAAGCATTTGAATATTTGAGGGGCCACTTTCAAACAGGCGATGGTATTTGTTTTTAGGAGGTTTGACCATAGCGCAGCTTATAAGGTGGCTTTGCTGTAGTAGGAGTGTAGTGAGGTGAAGCATAAGAAACATCTGAAGAGATTACTTTTAATGGGATGTTGTGTACATTTGCTTTTGGGAAGTTTGAATAGTAAGGATGCCTGTGCAAATTGAATCGAATAGGAAACTCTATTGAAAAAATATTTGAAGTTTTCAATATTCGCACATCCCTACTTTTGCGTGTAGTTTCACTTTTAAGAGACTTGACCCATCTGAGCTTTCTACTCTCAAAGTGTGTGACTGACAACACTCTTAGGCCCATTTAAATGTAGCACCAGGAATGGTGTGGTCAAAGAGCATCGTCTTAACTTCTGAAAAATGTTATCACAGTATACTTACATATTATTGTTAAAAAATACTGACAGAAGAATACTCCTGTTCATATTGTGTTGCATGAGCTTGTTTCCCAATTGCTGTTGCTAGAATAATGGTATTGCTTTCTTTTCGCTTATCCCATGTTTCACTCAAGCTTTTTTTTTTAAGATTTGTTTTGATTGGCTGTAAATTTACTTTTTGCCTTACGATTCACATTGCACTACATTTTAGTAGTGTTGATGCTCCTTCTTACGGCAACTCGCTCGCTGGATTTCGTGCTGACTGGTTGTGCCCCTGTGATCTGCGACGACAGCGCAGCTCTGGCCGGCTGGCCCGCCCTATGCCACTTCTTGATGCCGACAAGAGCTCTCGCCGAGTGGTGCCCCATCCTCGGACTCCTCTGACCGTGTCCATCTTTCCTATCTTCTCCCTACTTCCTTATGTGGCTGTCCCTGCGCCTCACTCTCTCCTTCCGCTCTCTCTATCTCTTTACCTTTTATTCCTATTCTTTTAATCTCTCCTTTACCCCCACCCCTCGTGAGCTACTGTTGAGGTGTCCTCCCCCTGAGAGACAGTTACGGGGCTCACTTTTCTCTTCTTTATATTTAAGATTCACTCCCCCCTCCCTCTTATGTTCATGAGTGCGTTAAACTTAAAAATGCACATCACAGCTGATGAAAAATAAATACCAGGTAGCATGGGATGGCGCCAAGTACCTTTAATTGCCTGGACCCATGCTAATTCTTTTTCTCTCTGACATGGGCAACATTGCAGACCCTGGACACAAACCAGCAAATCGAGTATGTGACGGATGTGCGGCAAGCGATTCGTTTTGCGGCCAGCGACCTGAAGGGTCAGGAGTACCTGCCAGGCTTCTGCCAAGAGAAAGGCATCTCGCCCATACTGCCCATCTTTCGCGAGGCCATTCTCATCGGGGTGCCTGAGCTCAAGGAACAAGCAGCGCAGGGTCTTGGCGAGGTAACAGCACTGGGATGTCTTCGGCTCTTGCTTTGTCTATTTCTGTTGCACCTTCGGATGACCAATGGGTAGATTTGCAGCACCACTGTTTTTGCATCGTCTGTGTAGGTACCTATTAAATTAGATTAGCAAGGGCTTTTATAAAAACCCTTGTATGAAGTACATTGGGGCTTTAAAATTAGGCTGCGATCTCCTTAGGAAGGTCCTATAGAAGAGTACCTAGAGTGGCTGCATATTTGCATCAGGGTAAAGCGCGAACAATAGGACATAAATATGTTGGTGTTTTTCTTTCCTACTCGCCAAATAGCTATGGTTTTGCTAAGCTTAAAGTCCTGTTTTTTTTTTGCAGCCATGGCAGCTGCATTTTGATCGGGTCAGAATACAAAACTGCTTCTATATGGAGATTATCTATGGGATGCTAAAGAACTCAACCTGTTGAAAACCACACTTAAACTACTCAGCGCAAAAATGGACACAGGGACACAGAAAAGACAAGGAATGCATTGCTATGTCTACTTTTGCATGGAGCAGTTTTATGTATAAAATGCCAACTAGTCCAATTCCACATGTTAATCTGGTGAAAAGCAGCTCAAAGAAAACTAAACCAGTCCGCTTCACAATGTTTCATGATTGAATGGAATTTGGGACTACGAAAAAAGAGACTATTTTACTTCCTTTGTACTCCAACAACTCAAGACTTCAAGACTCCGGCAAGAGTCGTTACAAGTAATTTTTGAAGATATGAGCCTGGAGACTTCGACAGGACTATTTGCACTGTTTGACAGGTGTTGCGTTGTCTCTTTTTCAGGTGATCCGGCTAACGGATGCCGCCTCCTTGCGGCAGTCGGTGATCAGCATCACGGGGCCACTCATTCGTATCCTGGGCGACCGGTTCAGCTTCAGCGTCAAGGTGGCCGTCCTCGAGACGCTAGCCCTGCTACTTGCAAAGGTCGGTCACTTGGCATCCTGAAAAGCTTGTGACATGTAGTCTTTGCAATGCTTTACTCTTAAAAGGCTGTGGAACTGTGTAGAATTCAAAACATTTTAGAGTAGTTGGCACCATTGATTTCAGAATGAGTTGTATGCAGACATGCCCTCTATGGGATGCTCAGCATGGCAAAAGTTATTGTATTCACACTACAGTTAAACCTCGTTATAACGAGACGGGCTATAACGAAATAATGGATATAACGAGCTAATCCTAATTCCCCTTGAAAGTCCCCATACAAACCAATGTATTCAAAACCTCGTTTTAACGAGGCAAAATTTGCCTGTTATGGGATATAACGAACAAGTTTTGTTAGGAAGTAAAATTTTTAGCCGATGTCACGACAGTGCACAACGTGAATTTTAGACTGCGCGCAACGCGAGAACTGTATTTAGCAGTTCAAAACTCCCGCCACGCGCCCTCCAGCAACGTGCTCAAAGCAGACGGCACGCGCTGTTTCCGGAGGAGAGTTCGCTGCACGTACGCCGCTTGGCTACCACCGACAGCGGAGCGCTCCGCGAACGTCTCGCCCTTTTCTTTTCTTTTGTGTCTTCTTTATATTCTCCCTCTCCCCTTTCTCATGGCGCTGAGGCGCGCTTCCTAATCTTACATACCCCCTTCCCCTTGAGTAACCGGTTCCTAGAGGGCAGCGCAAAAGAGCGCCCCTTCCTCTTCACAGTCACTTTCTCTGCAAGTGTTGTCGCTCGCCGACGTGAGCCGGGTTGCTTTTGCGTGCGTGTTTCTTCTCTTTTTCGACCGCTTCCGCCTTTTCTTTTATCGTGCTGTGCTGCGCTCGTGATTCCAGCAACATGAATGCGCCAGGCGGGAAGCGAAAGCGCATAACGCTAGATCAAAAGGCGGCTATGATAAGAGCCGTCGAATCGGGGACCAAGAAAGGCAACGTGGCAAGAGACTTTGGCGTATCGACGAGCACACTGTCAACCATCTTGAGCAAGCAGGAGTTCATCATTGACACCGTTGCACATGGCGTGAAAGGAAGTGCTAAGAGGATGAGGGCACCTGCCTTTGAAGCGGTCGAAAGGGCCGTTTTTAAATGGTTCTTGGACACGCGGGCCGTGAATCTTCCGGTGAGCGGCGCCTTGCTGCAAGGAAAAGCGAGGGACTTCGCCTGCATCATAGGCTATGACAACTTCGTAGCAAGTTCGGGTTGGCTCCAACGCTTCAAGGAACGCCACGACATTGTCGGGAGAGCGGTCTGCGGCCAATCGCAATCTGTCGACGAAGCAGAGGCTACCAAGTGGGCCTGCCTGAAATGCAAGCTGTGTATTTTGAAGTGCATTAAAACAGGTGCATGACTTTTTTCCTTTTCATTTGGGAATGCGGTTATTTTGTTGCATACCACCGTGCGGCGGGATGCTATTTCGCCCGCTATTTTTTTTGGGTAAGTACAGTGCATAATATTTGCGGTAAATGCCAGCTACGACTATAACGAAATATTGGTTATAACGAGCAAATAGCGGCGGCCCTCCAATTTCGTTATAACGAGGTTTAACTGTACTATAACATGCACCTTTTTATCTTTTTTCGTATCAATCAGACCCCAATGTAGTTCATGCATTATGACTAGATATAAAACTGAAACTGTTGATAAGTTCATATTGTTGGTGGCCTAATGTGCAGTGTACAAGAGGTTGACAGGGTGCATTTCATAGTCGGTTCACTTAGTTTAAGAGAGTTTCGTTTACTGAGAATATGCTGTATTACAACACACAACATAGTCATTCCACTGACAGGTTGCTGAGGGAAAGAGGGAATATCTGTGTGCATTAACGTGGCTTGAAGGCTGTTGAGTTATCACACTGAATTTGTTTTGAATTTCTGTTTGGCCATGGTACAGAACTTGAATCAATTTAAACTTTAAAAGTGTTTCTTGCTGTGAAGCCGCAAACAAAGTTTTCTGTTGCCAATAGTCCATTCAAACAATGTTAAAACCATTTTTGACCAATTCATTGCATCTTTGCAATGGCCACATTGCGCTTTACAGGAAAACTTGCTTGTTGACAATGCAGGTAGGGGTGCAGCTAAAGCCGTTCCTGCCTCAGCTACAGACCACATTCTTGAAGGCGCTGAACGATGGTAACCGGCAGGTGAGGCTAAAAGCCTCGGTAGCACTTAGCCATCTCATCGTCATTCACACCCGCTGCGACCCGGTCTTCCAGGAACTGCACAACTCGGTCAAGAACCAGGATGATCCCTCTGTCAGGTCAGCACCACAATGCTGCTCGAATGTCTGTTGGTATATAAAGCCCTGTCACAAAATAATGTCAGCCAGACAGTACTGAAACCTTCATTTTTGTCCAATGCGGCGGTACTGCCATTACTGTGTTTGGCTGCTCACCCAAAAGTCACTGTTTTGATCCTGGCTGCAGCAGTTGCATTTCAGTGGAGGAGATATGCTAGAAGATGCCTTGTACAGTGTAATGTCAAGAGTGCAATAAAGAGCACCAGATGGTTAAAATTGCCCAATTCCTCTACTGTGGCATCACTCATAATCGTATCAGAGATTCAGGGTGTAAAACACCAGATATTTTTGTTAATATGTATCGTATAATGCGGAATATAGGTCGAGGCGGAATATAGGTCGACCCCCTTACTTTGACCAGCAAAAAAAAAAAAAAACTACAGAATAGTTCACGGATTCACTTTAATCAGTCCTCCGAGCTGTCGGAGCTCTCGTCCGACGACGACTGCTTATCACTAGCCGCCTCCCACAGCATGTCATCCTCAGTGCTGTCGAGAGCGCACGCACACGGTCCTTGAAAGGTTTATTAAGGACGACATCCAGCGGTTGGAGTGCTGATGTCATACCTCCCGGAATGACAACAATATCCGTCTTTCCATCGCGAAGGCTCTCCTTCACCGATGCCGTCAAGTGCCGGCGAAACGCATCCAACATGAGCATGTTCCAGTGCTGCAGGAGTGCTCGGGGCCGCCGGTTCCACACTGTGCGGATCCATTCGCGCATTAGGGCCTCGTTAACTCTTTCCATTTGTCCTCGCACATCTCCAGCAGCTTCTGGCATATCGACGTGCGCCGTCAAAGAGCAAATCCATTGCGTCGCATGAAGCGACGGACCCAATAAATGAATCCCTTGAAGTCTTTCTTTGACAGACCGGCTTCACGGGCGAGCTCGACGGCTTTTGATCAAATGAGCTCCGCATTCACTGGCAGGGATTTGGCACGGTACTCGCGGATGAAATCCGCCACCTTGTCCTCGAGTTCCGGGTGCACATCTTGGCGACCGCGAAACGACGTCTTCCTCACGTTACACACCGACAGTTTGGATTTTCGGTTGCGCCAGTACCTAACGCTTTTCTCGGACACTACAAACTGCCGCTGTGCCGCCATGTTGCCATTCGCTTCCGCGAATTCAATAACTTTTCTTTTAATCGTGGCGCTGAACTGGCACCGCGTCCCCGTATTCATGGCTAGTCGCAGAGTAACGTCGACACTCGCTATGAACACTAAATGAACAAGAAAAGAGAAATGGCATCGGCAGAGAACGCGTCCGCCCACGGAGGAAGGCGATGTCGATGCTGATGCCCAAAAAGCATGTGAAACTCCTTGTTGCCAGACGATCACTTGGTTTATGCCAAGGGCCGGTGTATAGGTTGAGGGGCGATTTTTTATTGAGGTTTCTTGGAAAAAATCTCGACCTATATTCCACACTATACGGTATATTGAGGTTTCTTGTGGCCTTTACATTCACATAGAAATTATGAGGCTTGATTTTCAATCTTCCTGCATGTGTGGCTTGGCCATAAATGTGTTTTGTGAGGCCAGTTATTAAACTGCCAGAACAACAAAAGAATACGGTAGACATTTCCTGAACAAATTGAACGAAACCGTAAAAAAAAAAGCCGGAAACATCACACCATATCCACGAAATGAATGATATGTGGGCAAAGCTCGAGAGGGGGAAATCATCGGTAAACCGTGACTGTGCCATGAAAAGTTAGCCCATTAAATCATTAGAATGACATAATACTGTGCATATATTATACAAATTGACTTTTATTTTTTTCTTATTCATTGTTTTCATTTCCTCATTGTCATGGCGGCTGGATTGCTAGATCCCTTCAATATTACGGTTTTATGGTCCGTGAAATGAAGCAAGAGAGGTTCGTGTACTGGCTGCTGTGGGCAGTTTGCAAACATCAAGTCTTTGCACGTCCCAAAAAGCGCAGGGAGAACTTTTCTAGAAGTCTCGAAAACTTGGAATACCGTCATAGTGACGCAAGGCAGAACTTAATTCTGAAAAGGTGTATTTCTCAATACTTAGGTTGCCACACACCTGTTTATAGCCTTGACCACCTGGTATTATTTGTTTCTGCCACTGTTCCTGTATGTTGGCAGTTGTGAGGGGGTTAAAAAAATTAGTGCGTGGCCCTCACTTAGCACCGTAAGGGCCAGCGTACTGCAAAGCTAGGCAAAGTTAGGTGAAATAGGGCTTGGTTTAGCACGGAAAGAAGCTCCCCTCTGCATGACCACCTGCATGTTGCCAACTCTTCTCTACTACACTATGCCATACCCTTCTGTCTCGTTTCTCTTTCTACTCACCATCGCATCATATCTCATCACCAACACTTCCATATCCCAACACTCGATCTACTATCGTGTTTACTCTACTGAAGCGCAACCAGAAATGTAACGCAAAGGGTGACTTTTCACTTTGTCCACGAAGAAGAAATAAATGAATTCGATCGTAATGTGAGGGTCGACACTAGTAGCAAAAGTTCGAACAAAAGTTTGCGTTACATTTGACTAAATACGGTATACTGTGCACAGCAATGTGCAATGCTTTACCCTGTTCATTCCTTCTCACCTTTATTCTCTGGGCTGCAAATGATGCTGCACATGTTTCAATTTGGCCTAGATGGCTGCACTGTAAAAACGCAAATCTTGAGGGCAATAGTTTCAAGCGGCGATACATTGCCCCTGTGGTCTGTGCAGAGAGACGATGCTGTACGCGCTACACCGAGTGGTGGCGGCAGCGGGCCACAAGATGTCGGACCTGATGCGGCGGAGTGTGACGGCCAGCGTGAGCAGCTACCTGAGCAGTTCCGAGGACGGCTGTCGCACGGCCGCTGCTGGCTGCCTGGGCTCCCTCTGCCGGTGGCTACCACAAGACGAGCTGGCCGTCTTCGCCCGAGACCACCTACTCAGTGAGTTGACCTGCAATTCGTTGTACAGTAGACTCTCAGTGAACGGAACCTGAAGGGATCAAAAAAATATGTTCCATTTAAGGGGGGGGGGGGTGGCATTGAAAAAAAACTTTTTTATTTGTTGACCTACAGCAATGAAATTTGGCATACATACTCGTAAGTGTCTCGAATAGGGAAATATGCAGTTTCATCATGATAGCTTCAGTAGTTCTCAAGTTACACAGTGCTGCACGATCCAATTACATGGTCTGCTCGTTGAAAGCCTAGCGCTGCAACAAAACATGCCAGGAAGCTGCGAATGATGTTGATCTTTACTAAAAAGAAAGCTACACGGTATAGCACTCTCAGAATTTTTTAATAAGTTCTCTTTTTTTTTAGAGATCATCATGGCTGCCGACACACATTGTCAGAAACAGTGGCATGGACAAATAATCGTCTAGAAAAATAACAGGGCCATAAAACAGAAATTGAAGATTGCTGCACCCACAAGCAGTGTTCAGGGATTCAGGAACAAAAAAACAGAATCAAAATCGGTCCAGTCATTCCCGTGCTACTCTTTCCACGAGCAATGCCTAATGTCCAAAAGACACTTGTGAGAAAAAGCCTGTCGAAGTTTTCGACAGGCTCCTTTCAGTGAACTTTTTTGTTTCTCATTGGATATTGATTAAAATTGGCACAAACACTAAGAATGACCTCACAGTGCGTCCATAAAAATTTTGAAGCGATACCACAAACACTTTACGAGAAACAAATTATTTCTTCATTAAACCATGTGGAGGGGCTGAGCATAATGTCAAAAGAACAGTATTGAGAAAGCTGCGAGTTAATTTCCTCCTCCTCGACTAGCTTCAACACTAGCTAAGGAGGGAAGATGTTTGAGGTTCGGAATGGGTCCCCTCAATGACTCGAGTGCACGGTGGCAGCGCGAAGGAAGAACCGTAGTCCAGTGAAGAGACGCTTATTGCGGCCTCAGGCTACTGCCCGAGTCCAAGCCCGAACCTCCGTTCTCTTTTCAAATTCAAACATCCTCTTTTCGACTTTCGGTTGAACAAAGAGTCTTCACAAACACCAATCACATGTTGGGACTCGCATCATCACAACCAATCTCAGAAAAACCTCCATAACAGGTACTACATTGGTTAAAACCACGTTACCAAATAAAACACGCAAAGGGATAGGTTCTGCGCGTGTGACACTCTCTCCCATGCCAGGCCGTGCTGCCTCCGTCGGCAGCCGTTCTCACGCTCGAGCCCCGTCAGTTTCTCAGTTGCTTCCTAGAAGCCTCCTTAGAGCGGTGGGCACACTGTTGGGCTCCGTGCGCTTACCAGGTGTGCATGCGACAGTGAGGCGCCCCGACATCCCTAACAACAGCGGGGGAGATTATGGTCGTTTCCCTGCCGCCACTATGTCTCGGTCAGCCAAGTGGTCGCGTCACCGCGTCATTCTCAATGACACGCGTGCCTGCCAACAATGGCTTAAACTCAGACGGTGGCGCCTGACCTACCTCTTGCTAGACGCTTTTCCGAGCAAGCCTTCTCCTTCTAGTCCCGAACGGCGATTACTTTGACCGTGAGAACGAAGGAGGCTCCTTTCTTTCCCATGCTCGGGGTCTTCCGCGATCGTCTTCGCGGAACCGATCGGCTTCGCTAGTTGACGGGTCGGGAACTGGCTACGCGCTCTACATCAACTGCATTGATTGCGCTACACCCAACATGCTCGTAATTGGTGCCTTATACTAACTCCTCCCCCCTCAAGAGTGTTACTGGATACTCGATGTCCAGTAACGCGATACAAAAACAAACAAAAAAATCGCTCAAAATAAACTTACTCTCGGTGCACGCACATGCGTGAACCGATTATCACTTCCATCTCAACAGGAGAACTTTCACGTCCTTGTGCAAAATAGACACTGCAACATATATACATAATGCCCTCAAATATCGTAATTACTCGAATCTAACGCGCACCTTTTTTCCGGTTAAGCCAGTTCATAAATCGCATGCGCGTTAGAATCGAGTACAGTCGCCGACCGATTTTTCGGACCTGGCGGGGACCGAAAAAAAGTACGAAAAATCGAACAGTCCGAAAAATTCGTTTTCGCCAAAAATCTGAAGTTTATTGCATCAGGCAGGTTTAAAAAAGTCCTTGATGCTGCCTCTCCTCAAACTACGCTTGGAGGCAATTTGGTTTGCCCGTATTTGCGCCAAGGTGACATCGTTGCCGTAAACGCTCGACAAAATTGTCACCGCGTTGGCGATCTCCGCCGCCGACGGCTGCGGGCGGTCGTCGTTGTCATCCGAGCCGCTCTCCGGCTCCGGGACAACCTGGCGAAGAATTTCGTCGTCAGTGGCCTCCGCGCACGCTTCTTCACACCACCTGGCTCCCGCGATGGCACAGATGGCGAAGCCATGGCACCGAGAACACAAAATTCGATGCCGCAGATAGCCGCTGCGAAGCACACAACGTCTCGACGCTACGCGACACAACACGTGCAGAATGGCGACTGAAAAAAGCTGATAAAAGCTGAAAAAAGCGACTGATAAAAGAATCCTTCTTTCGCCTCCTCCCCGTGCGATGTGATGACGATAGTGCTGACCGAAGACGAAAAAACGGCATCCATCACCGCGTCTTTTAAAAAGCAAACACGGCCTCCGAAACTTAAAATATGGCGTGCGCAGTCCAATCTCGGAGGCAGGAAAGGCATCTAAAGACCAAGCTTAGTCAAGCCGACGGAAAATCCAACATGGCGGCGTTCACGATGGCTTGGAACGTGGCACAAGACGAAAGATTTAGTCCGAAAAATCGAACTTTCAGGGGCAAATTCGCCCGAAAAATCGGTCGAAACAATGCATTAGCTCTATGGGATCCCTGACGGTGCATTTATGAAGTCCGGAATATCCAACAAGTCCGAATTTTTGGAGTCCGGAAAATCGGTCGGCGACTGTACGAACAAAAAAATTACGGTCAATCTATTGCCATCGGCAAATTCAAAATGGCCGCCCCCTATGTGCATCTGCATGGCGCGTCGGCCATTTCTGCCTATGTGTTTCCCATGTGCGGCACTTCGTACGTGTGCTGAGGAGTTCATCTAGTAGTGCATTAGCATCGACGGCGTGGAAGGGCCGACTCCAAAAACTCGAGTGCACCACGATGCCGCTTTTAAAAGAAAAGTCATCGCGTGTGCAGAAACGGACGGAAATCGGGCCGCATCGCGGTCGTTCGGAGTTCCCGAAACGTGCGTGCGGGACCGGCGGAAACAAAAGCAGAAGATTGTCGACAGCAAAGCTTCACGCAAAGGTTTCAGTGGACCACAGCAGTGTCGGTTTCCGCAAATTAAAGAGCTGCTTGGCGAGTATGTGCTTGAGCAGTGAGCGGCACAGCGGCCCGTGACGACAGAACTGCTCCAAGTGCGGGCTATGCAATTGGTCTTAGAAAAAGGTCTAATGCGGAGCCAGTTTAAAGCGAGCAGGTGCTGGCTAACTAACTTTATGAAGAGGAAAGGCTTTTCCCTCCGAAGGGGTACATGCATATGGGAAAAGTTTTGCGGAAGAGTACGATGAAAAGCTTCACAGTTTTCAGAGGTTCGTTCTAAACTTGCGGCGCAACAACGGCTACATGCTTGGGCAAATTGGGAATGCCGATCAGACGCCTCTTTACTTCGACATGCCTGGCACCACAACCGTCGAGAAGAAGGGGGCGAAGCAAGTTCGCGTGCTGACATCGGTCCACGGTAAAACTACAGTGACGGCAATGCTCTGTTACACGTCAGATGGGCACAAACTTCGCCCGTACCTCATATTTAAATGGAAGACGCTCCCGAAAGAAGTCGTTTTTTTTTTTTTCGAGTGGTGTGATCGTGCAGGCCAGCGAGAAAAATGGGTGCGCGTTGCAATCGATGTCTTACGTTTTATTTTTTTTTCGCGGTGGAAATCGGGTGCGCGTTACAATCGAGGGTGCGGTAGAATCGAGTAAATACGGTAGTCCTCCGACAGAAAGCACTCTCGTAATGCACGACACTGAATAATGCATTTAGGATGAAGTCCACAGCACCAGTCAGTTCGCATTAGCTTGGCACAGGGCACACGCACGTGGATAGTCTGGCGGCATATTGTCTTTTAAATTTACAACACCACACGGCCATTGTCCCAAAACGGCAGACCCACTCCATGCGCCCTCCAGGCCCCGCATGACACACTCAAAGAGAGAGACGGACCCAGCGCTATAGGTATACTTCAGTCTGAATGGATCGCACCAAGACAAAAATTTTTAATGAACTTCACAAGTAATACCCTATTTTATCTACAAAATTATTCCTACAGAACACATAAACTACGCCTAAAAGCAGTTCTACCACTTAGATGCAAGCTCGCATCTCAAAACAACACAACAAACAAAACATTTTCACATCACACCGGATCTATTAGTCTGTTCGACTCGCTTAAACATCACGCTTAACACTTAAACATGCGATGCAAACTACTGTACAGTCAATCAATTCACAGAGACTACTTGAGTTGCAATACAACAACAATAACAACAAAAAACTCAACCATGAGACAGACTAAACGCCACCTTAGTACAAAGAGTTACAATCACGCAACCCAGTGATCATCCGAGACGCGTAAGAGCACAAGCAGCCTCGTTCAGAGCGCCCTAATTACTAATCATTTTTGTTTCGCATTCGCCTCTCGTTCAACTGTGGACGCCTGCTGTTTTGACTGGTTGAGCCTCTCACTGAAGATCGTGACTGATCATGCGCATTCCCCTATCGTTTGGGAGAGGCAACCTCTAATTGTCGTTTCCGATGCGTTCGTAGCCAAACAAAAAAGCTTTGCTGGGGTTGGTTGCCGTCAACTCAGAGACGAACGCGAAGGCCTCTAACTCAATCAACCGCTACCTGTGTCTCTACATTTCACGGCAGCGTGTTCAACACTCTTGAACCGCCGTAACTGAAAAATAGCCGACTCCATATTAAAGGCCTTTCACCATGTCACCACTCT